CTACCCTACAAAATCTGCAAATTTCCGATAAACATCTTCAATCCAATATGGCCGCCGCATCACGTGACTTTTGACATAGGACCAAGAACAGAAAATGTTCAACAACCAAAGGCCACTTCAGAACAAGCGTTTAAAGTGTTGTATGTGCTAAGTTTGGTTTGGCACAAAATGGCAAAGAAGCCCGTGAAAGTTTTTGAAGACAACTTTTGCCCCAGAAGTAGCGTCCAATATGGCGGCCATCATATAAACATAGCCACATTTGACGATGCTACTGTGTAGTAACATGCATAGACACAAAGTATGCAAAGTTTGAAAGCCGTAGCCCTTGTAGTTTTAGTGCAGCACATTTTGGGAGGTATGCAGTCAGGATTTTTGCTGAAAAACATCACCAAAACTTTCAATCCAAAATAGCGGCCAAACGGTGCATTTTAGCGACTTGAGCCGTCCAGGCGAAATTGTAGGCATTTTGATTGCGCATCTGCTCAAGAACTTTGGTAAACATTGGAGCAGTAGTTTTGGAGAATTTTGCATTTGAAATTGAAATTTTTGAATTAATTTTGAATTATCTGCCCTTTGCTATTGGGCCTACAGCCTAGGGATTTTAAAGCGCGATATGTACCCCTCGGTGGGCATCTGGGTGATTTTTTGTCAAGGCATTCTGTCCAGCGGTGCTCTCTGTAGGTCTGGTACAAAATACGGCGGAAGAATAAATAATAATAATAATAATAATAATAAAACAACACGAACGATTACAATAGGTCTCCTGCCTAAAGGCAAGGAGCCTAATTAAAATCGTTATTTTGAGTTTTCGGGGTTTTGAACCCGGAACTTGATAAGTATGTCAAAATGCTTTCTAATGGTCAAGGTCACCAAGGTCACGGGGTCAAGGTCATTTGACCGGTCCGTCACAAGACAAAAACACGTTTTTGGCGAGCTAAGACGCCGTTGTTATTGCCTCTAGGGTGAAAGGAATTAGTGTTTCTGCTTTGCCCAGACCCGATGTATCATATGCGCTGGTCAGATTTGGTGACAAATATGTCCGCCGTCTGTCCGCAAGTCTGTCCGCCAAAATACTGTATAGTTAGCCATTTGCTCCGGAACTATTAAATGTACAGAGTTGAGATTTTGCACACAGCATTCCATTGACTGTGCCTAATGATGCTGTAAAATCAAGTCATTTGAATTTCAACTGTTGTTGCCATGGCAACCTGAAAATGAAAAAACTTCAATCCAAGATGGCGGCCAAACGGCTAGAGATATCGATCTGGGACTACCAGACAAAATGATCGGCATCTCATGACCAAGTCACATACCAAATATGGAAGCGATTGGGACAATAGTGGTGGAGTTATATGCTGTTTTATGCCGTTTTGGACACATAATGCATTTGTGCAATTTTCAATGCCATATGGCCGCCAAACGATCAAACTTTTTTGATATGCATGTAAGAACACGAAATGTTAAGCATCCTATGTTGATGCATACTGCCAAGTTTGACTGCCTTCTGTGCAGAACCTGACCAGCTATGCTGTTTATAATGTAGTATCATCAGAATCTGACGAAATCCAATATGGCCGCCAAGCAATACACATTTTGACATGCACCCAAGAACAAAAATGTTCAACATACCAAGTTACTACGTACTGCCAGATTCTAGCTGCATAGTTGAAATAGTAATGACGCTGCGATTTTTGAAAATACATTTTAGTACAAAATAAACAACAGAAGCAAACATCTAGATATCCGTAACTAATCAAGATATCGCAACATAGCCTATGAGCATTAATATTTGAGGTATATTATGTATATCTGCACATTTACAGCGTTCTGCAGTTCATACATTCAGAGTTATGGATTGCGAAAAATGCCTACCCACAAAATCTGCACATTTCGATAAACATCTTCAATCCAATATGGCCGCCGCATCACGTGACTTTTGACATAGGACCAAGAACAGAAAATGTTTAACAACCAAAGGCCACTTCAGAACAAGCGTTTAAAGTGTTGTATGTGCTAAGTTTGGTTTGGCACAAAATGGCAAAGAAGCCCGTGAAAGTTTTGAAGACAACTTTTGCCCAGAAGTAGCGTCCAATATGGCGGCCATCATATACACATAGCCACATTTGACGATGCTACTGTGTAGAAACATGCATAGACACAAAGTATGCAAAGTTTGAAAGCCGTAGCCCTTGTAGTTTTAGTGCAGCACATTTTGGGAGGTATGCAGTCAACATTTTGCTGAAAAACATCACCAAAACTTCAATCCAAAATAGCGGCCAAACGGTGCATTTTAGCGACTTGAGCCGTCCAGGCGAAATTGTAGGCATTTTGATTGCGCATCTGCTCCAGAACTTTGGTAAACATTGGAGCATTAGTTTTGGAGAAATTTGCATTTGAAATTGAAATTTTTGAATTAATTTTGAATTATCTGCCCTTTGCTATTGGTCCTACAGCCTACAGATTTTAAAGCGCGATATGTACCCCTCGGTGGGCATCTGGGTGATTTTTGTCAAGGCATTCTGTCCAGCGGTGCTCTCTGTAGCTCAGTTACAAAATACGGCGGAAGAATAAATAATAATAATAATAATAATAATAATAATAAAAACACGAACGATTACAATAGGTCTCCTGCCTAATGGCAAGGAGCCCTAATAAGACTTTTGGCTGGGGAGTTTCCACGTAGACGAGCATACACAGCGACGAATATAGCCGATGCACAGTATCACAGTATACGTAGTTAGGCGACGAGGAAGTAAACATAAACCGGTTTGTTTTTAGAAGAATTTGGACTCATTTGCCCTTTTAGGGTATCGGGTACATTGATGTATTTTTATTTTGTATAGTGTACATTTCTGTATACAGAAACGTACCTGGGGTAGATATCTGTAGTACCTGGGGTAGATATCTGTAGTACCTGGGGTAGATATCTGTAGTACCTGGGGTACATATCTGTAGTACCTGGGGTACATATCTGTAGTACCTGGGGTAGATATCGGTGTACCTGGGGTACATATCTGTAGTACCTGGGGTAGATATCTGTAGTACCTGGGGTACATATCTGTAGTACCTGGGGTAGATATCTGTGTATCTGGGGTACATATCTGTAGTACCTGGGGTACATATCTGTAGTACCTGGGGTACATATCTGTAGTACCTGGGGTACATATCTGTTGTACCTGGGGTACATATCTGTAGTACCTGGGGTAGATATCTGTAGTACCTGTGCCCACCACGACCCAGCTTTACTGTGATATTGTAAATTATGGATGTCTCTTATAGTAATAAGGTGTAGACCATGATACAGTGAGACTATTTTCCAAGTGTTTCAATATGCCAGATATCCTATGTTAGGGCTGAATAATGTATACAAACGATAAGTGTGACAGTGCTTTATGTACAGTGATCAATGCAAGAGCTGATTATCTACCCTTGGCAGTATTGCTGTTCATTTCCTTAAACCACACTCCACAGAGAGTCATTTCCACCATTAGCAAAGGCATCCACATGGAAACTCTCCTGTCCATAGCAACAGCACGGAGCCAATCTGTATGTTCCCAATAATTTTCCCCTGAAAACAAACCATAATAAAAGCAAAATATAACATTCAAAATGTACAAAAATAACTTTATTCAGAACAACACATTGTTAACAAACGCTAGTGGACAGATTTCCATGGTCATCAAAGCACACATCTCAAAATAACAACAAAAGGTACAAACTCAATAGTGAGAGAACCTCAATTTAATACCAATCCGATTCCACTTTTGGAAATAAATATGTTTAAAGCATTATTCGCTTGAATCACATATTCACCAATTTTATAATAAAGAGTGTTTTCACTTGAATTTGAGGGTTGTATTCAAGATAAGTGAAAAGGAATATACCCAAGCCAAGCAGGATAATCATAATAATAATAGTCAGCACTCATATATTTTTCATTGACAGTAACAGGGCTACTTTTCAAATCCCAGTCAACAACTTTAAGGAAGTATAGAAACACACACAACACATAAGTGGTTGAATACACACAAGGTTCGTCAAATGTAGGACCGTTCATCAGAGGGAGATAACTCTTGGCTGCATTGCTGTACTGACATGGTTTTGGAAATTCATTAACACCCACTGCCATTGCAAGGTATTTTCATTATGTAGTAGTTTGCTATAAAATCATAACTTGACAAGTTTTGCTAAATATAGCGCCTTTTTAGGCAAATCACTGTCAATAAGGGCCTTTTCAAGGCTAAAACGAATATAGGTTCTTTGGGGGTATAATGTCAAAATTTCAGGCTTTTTCAAGTCTGTGCAAACCTGAGTAATGTGGTCATTGGTGTCATATACTAACAGAGTCAAAGGAAGTGTAAAATTTGTATGTTATTTTATACTGATTTTAAGGTTCAATTTAGGGGGTCGGCTTATCTATGAGATCGACTTATCTACAGTAATATACGGTATATTCATCTCACATAGGTTTCATTGCACCTAATGCAACCTTAAAAAACACTCAGTTAACTGAACAAGCCTTTACGTACAGTGAACCAGCTGACTTTTCATGCTTGGTAAAACATCAGGGTTATTTGTTCATGTTTCCTTCACTATAGTCCAGATAGTGGAATGTTGAAGGGTGAACACAGCTATGAAACTCTCAAATCTGACATTCTTGGTCAGAAGCCCTTGGTCAGAATTTAGTGCAATGGCAGATTACATAGCTACAGAGAATAATCTACTAAAGCTTCAGAGCTCCAGAAATGCTTTGTAAGGGCCGTACCCCTAATCTGAATATTAGTGCTGCTAACTTTACCCATATTTTGTGGATTAGTGCTATGTATAAAATCACTGAGTTACTGTCAAAACAACCTAATCAACACCAACTTACAGAGAATAAAAGAACACCAACACTTGTGCAACCACAACTTGACTTTTCATTGTGTTTGACATTTTATAAGGATATTCAGACAATTTAATTTGCATTACATTTTCATGTGCGAATTTACGCTAACAACCTAGAAATCTATGAGCACCAGCCTCCCACACCATGAATGCGTCTATAGCCCACATTCATGCAGATAGAAAGCAGTTACTATCTGCTTTCGACTCCACAGCAGTACCTGGAATGTCTGACTTTCTCAAGGAAGATTTTCTCAAGGTGTCTTTTCAAGCTTGTGATTGGACATCTTATTTTCAACCTTGGAATCCTTTGCCATTCCTGGTGCAATCCCTTGATCTGTGAAGATCCAGGTGAGAATTGGGTCTTCAGCAACCCATTGTATCCCAACTGTATAGGTCAATGTTCGTCATGGTGATCCCTGGATTGTCTGTCCAGACTCAATAATTTACAGACCTCAGCCATATTGTGCGGCGTTAAACAATAAACAAGCAAAGCAGTTCCTGGATCGGTTCACTCAGGTTTTGAACTGGAGGGTGTCTTGCTCTCACTTTGTGATCAAGGTAAGACCAAAGATGTGAAATTGGGTTCAGACCACGATTTGTCATTTTATATATGTGAGTTTGCAGAGTGCTTAATTAATACTCATGTGTATAAAATATAATCTTAAAATGAAAGACATGTAATATCGGCCACATCCTGTGAAGGGGAAGACTTTCCGCTTCACAGAAATAAGACCCCAAGTAACTAAAATGATCTTATAATCATATATGGCAAGACTCAATATTTGGCACAAAATTGAGAGAAACAGGTTCACACAAATCCAGCAATGTCACGTGACCCAGACATCTTTCTGGTATCTCTCACATCTCTCAAGGTCAGCAAGATACTGGATGGCCTTGACCTCTGACATGCGACCTTGACCTTGTATAACATTGATGAGAGCCACATGTACATCACGAGCCATGTTCCTTGCATCCCCACAAATGTAAATGTAGGCACCTTCCTGGAATAATCAAAATACTAGTGAAGGTCAGTGATCACTTTTAGACTTTTGAATGGGTGTTGTTTTATGCCACAGTGAGGAATATTCCAGAAATACCAAAAAAGGAAAGCAGAAATGACCTTTACATATTGTACCAAAGGTGGGAATTGAAGCTAGGATTTCAGTGGGAAGTAAATCCTTGAACCACTAGTATCATAGACACTTTGGTTTTATCAGGGATTTCTAAATATTCACTGAGTTATGTAAATTAGATATACTACTCACACTTTGCTAAGGATCACACAAATTCACAACTTTACTTAAACATAGATTCATAATTTGAATTTGTATCCATTTAAATCTTGATACATAATAATATTGTAACCCCCCTTTAGGCAAACAGTCACTTTAATCTAACCTTATGCACTTGATACATGAGTAACCATAAAAATGGTTTTCATGGCACCAATCAACCATTTTGCAAATCATGGAACGAGTCATTGACAAATAAACAACACCAGTCAATAGCACGTATGGGATCCACAAGATGCAATGACATACTGAACCCTAGGATCTATGCTTACAATAAGCTCAGATAATTAAACCAAATTTGACTCCACATCATTGTTTTCTGTTGAATCCATGATTTGATCCTTAGCAAAGTGTGAATAGTATATATTCATCTAAATAATGACCTTGCTGTCGGCACAAACGAAATCAAAGTGGGTTGACCATTATTATCCTGGCCAGCAGCACAGAGTCATTACAAGTCAGCTGTCTATAATCACAGTTACATAATGGCTGGTCGTGGATGAGGTGAAGAATTCTGCATGCTGACCACACTCCGGCGCAGTGATGACTTAGCATAACATCACTGCCACAGGCTAATTTGCATATCAGGTGACCGGACTTTTCTCTTGTTTGTAAACAAACGCGCATATTCATGATAAGAAGAGACTGGCCTTACGCGAGCTTTTCGGCGCGCTCTTTACAATGTTTTACATTGTTACATATATTTCTTCCACAACTGCGACAGTAACATTTATGACAGTACATATTTAGATATCAAACTGGTTGCATCGTTTGCTCCCTGTCGGCGTCGATGACAGCACGTGGAGCCGTACAACCTACGTAAACAAAGGATTGCTACGCAAATCGAAATAGTGTTACATGTTTTAGCATATTTTCTCAGTGAAACTAAGCCATTCTATCAAAGATGTTTAATTAGATGTTGAGGCTCGTCAGAAATAAAAGAGTTAAGAAATATGTACATTATACTGAACGGACGGTGCAAGATGTGACGAATCGTCACATTTTTCTGGCCTGTGGCAGAGGTACTATGCTGGCTGGCCGCATGGAACTCTGGGTAGGAGATTGCATGCTGACCAGACATCCTTAGCAAATGCAACACATGACAGTCTGACCAGGATTCGACCCTTATGGATAAAGTAAGAATGCTTTACAAGAGTTGACCTTCAAACAATGACTGGGCAGGTTGGCTGCCTACAGCCTCCCAAATGTCACCTCGCTATTGCTCTAATACCATGTAGTTACACATATCAAATCACCAAAGTCATTAAGCCCTGTGAGCTGCTGTCACTGACCTGGCTGACGAGGCTCCAGATGAGTGGGGCATCCTCCTCCAGGAGATGCTGGACATACACCTTGTTCTGTCCCTCCCGTGAAAAAGCTGTCCTCAGTCGGATAACACCTGCTGTTGACAGCCTCTCTGACAGATGATGTATAGGATATATGTGATGCTGGGGTTATACAGGATATATGTCAGAAATAACAGCCTCTCTGACAGATGATATATAGGATATATGTGATGCTGGGATTATACAGGATATATGTCAGGAATAACAGCCTCTCTGACAGATGATGTATAGGATATATGCAGTGTGGGAAAGATGTAGAAAATCTAGCCTGTCCACAGGACTGGCAGGTCAATTTTTTTTACCAGTCCTGCCAAAACCTGGCCTGTCCTCCAAATATAAATAAAACACCTTCGGCAGTAAATATTCAAAAAGGTTATAATCATTATATATATATGTCATTGGTTTGCTAAAATTGACCCGACATAAGGACGGAGTAGATATTTTTTTAACCCGTCCTCCACAAAATCCACCCGTCTCGGACGTTGGGACGGGCTATCTTTCCTACACTGATATATGTGATGCTGGGATTATAAAGGATATATGTCAGAAATAACAGCCTCTCTGACAGATGATATATAGGATATATGTGACGCTGGGATTATACAGGATATATGTCAGAAATAACAGCCTTTCTGGCGGATAATATAATAGGATATATGTGATATAGTGATTATAAAGGATGTGGTGAAACAGAGCTACAGATAACTTTTTAGGGTCATTGAGTTATGTACTCGCTTGAGTTCATCTCAATTGGGTATCCTAATTTTCCTTTGAGTAACGTAATAAATTGTACACACCGCACTCAAACTCAATTGGGTACTTTGCCATTTTCCATTAATTGTAAAAATATACTGAGGGAAATAAATAAGGGATCACATGAAAGCACAAGTGTTCCTTTATTATTCCTCCAGGTTTCTTCACAAGCTTTGTATTGCACAACTTATGAAGAAACCTGGGGAAAAAAAAAAGGAACACTTGTGCTTTTATGTGATCCCTTAATTATTTCCCTCAGTATATGATAAGGTTTAAATGTTAGTTAACGTGTTTGTTATTTATATTTGATCTGTAATATGAGAAAGCCTGCAAGTTGTCAAGTTTATGTGCTGAAATAGACCCTCAAAGTATACCTTAGTTATTTTATCTATGCACCGGTATGCACATGCAAGATTTCACATTTTTGTGTGTACACATGTGAGATCACATTTACTGAGCATTTACAAAAACATCAAGCGTACTTGTACACAATAGACTTAATAGGAATTGAGTTTTCACATAAATATTTGTGTAATTTACACAGATGCACAACTTATCTGTACCTCTGAGGTGAACAGGAACTGCTGTAACAGCCTCTCTGACAGATGATATATATTATATATGTGGTATGGGATTATATAGGATCATATGAGATACAACAGCCTCTCTGACAGATGATATATATTATATATGTGGTATGGGATTATATAGGATCATATGAGATATAACAGCCTCTCTGACAGATGATATATATTATATATGTGGTATGGGATTATATAGGATCATATGAGATACAACAGCCTCTCTGACAGATGATATATATTATATATGTGGTATGGGATTATATAGGATCATATGAGATATAACAGCCTCTCTGACAGATGATATATATTATATATGTGGTATGGGATTATATAGGATCATATGAGATATAACAGCCTCTCTGACAGATGATATATATTATATATGTGGTATGGGATTATATAGGATCATATGAGATATAACAGCCTCTCCTGACAGATGATATATATTATATATGTGGTATGGGATTATATAGGATCATATGAGATATAACAGTGATGTGGTATGGGATTATAGGGATCATATATAATAGATGATATATATTATATATGTATATGGGATTATATAGTGATCATATGAGATATAACAGCCTCTCTGACAGATGATTATATAGGATATAGGATATAGGATTATATAGGATCATATGAGATATAACAGCCTTTCTGACAGATGATATATATTATATATGTGGTATGGGATTATATAGGATCATATGAGATATAACAGCCTCTGACAGATGATATATATATATATGTGGTATGGATTATAAAGGATCATATGAGATATAACAGCCTCTCTGACAGATGATATATATTATATATGTGGTATGGGATTATATATGATATATAACAGCCTCTCTGACAGATGATATATATATATATGGTATGGGATTATATAGGATCATATGAGATATAACAGCCTCTCTGATATAGATGATATGTGGTATTATATATAGGATCATATGAGTATGACAGGATTATATGGTATGGGAGGATCATATGAGATATAACAGCCTCTCTATACAGATGATATAGGATATAGAGTGATGATGATATAGGATGATTCAGGGATTATAGACGATATATGAATTATGAGAGCCCCATTGAGAGATCATATTGGATATAGTCTCTCTGACAGATAACACAGGATATATAACTGAGTTATACCAACAGTATCCACTACTTTTCAAATCTGTCCACTTATTTGTTATTATCAGTAAGCACTTTAAGATCACGTATATTCTCACTTACCAAGTTCATCACGGTACAAGAAGTCTTTGTCTCTGCCACGACAGCCGAAGTAGAGGGAAATCTTGCCATGGGCTGCTTCATGTTCTAACAAAGAAAGACATGAATAGATTATCTACTTTAATATAGTTTGTCAATGAATATATTCCATTTCAAGGCAAAATAAGAGTTCACTGTATTTCTACTACAAGGGGCACATAAAACAATCATATTTCTACTTATGTGACCATTTTGATGATAATTAAACCTGTACTGAAAACAAACCCTGAAAATTTATTTTGGAGTAATAATAATAATAATTAGTCCATTTGTATTGCGCTAAATCCACACCGACAGCATGCTCATAGCGCAGACAAGATAGAATTTAGGAGTCACTTGTAAAACATAGAGAAAAGGTATGTCTTTAGGTTTGCTTTGAAACATGTGACTGTTGGGCTTGTTCTAAGGTGAGCTGGTAGCTCATTCCAGTTCATCGCGGCCGCCACTTGAAAGGAATGAAACCATAGGATTTCAACTTCCATTTTTGAACATGAAGTAAGTTTTTGTCACTGGAGCGAAGCTGTCTGCATGGAAGATATGGTTTGAACAGTTCTTTGAGATAGGCCGGAGCAGTGCCTAGTATGCACTGGTAGACAAGGGTTAAAACTTTAAAGTTCACTCTAGCTCTTATGGGCAACCAGTGTAACTGTTTCAGAATAGGGGTCATGCTTGAGAATTTTGGTGCTTTGCTCACAATACGTGCCGCAATATTTTCTATGTGTTGCAGACGGTTTACAGAGTACAGTAAACGATGGCTATAAGTTCAGTGGGGACTTCTGAGTTTAGTTGTTTGTTAGAATCGTAGTTTATTATTTGCATTTCTGTTAATGTATACATCAAGAGATCAGGACCAGTAAATAAACAAATCCTGGCCGTATAAAAGGCATGATTAATATCATGAGCACACCTTCAGGGAATACTCATGCACTCAATTCAGTCACTGAGCCAAACTATCTGGGCGCCGTTCCTCAAAGCGATTGTAGCGCTACGACAGTCGTAAGTCTATGTTAAAGTATGGGAGTTACGATCATCGTAGCACTACGATCGTTTTGAGGAACAGGACCCTGATCCATTAAGTTGTGACTTACAAGTAACTAGACCAAATGAACCAGTGATTAATATCAAGAGAAGAATGTCAAAGAATGACCACACGACCAGTTTAGTTATGGAGCCTAGCAATCTGATCTGGTAAGTTGTGTCTTACAAGCTGATTCTAACCAAGGGGAATTTGCGAACTGAGTGAGTGAGGTGGGTGGAGTGGGTGGGTGGGTGGGTGAGTGAGGAGAGTGAGTGAGTGAGTGAGTGAGTGAGTGAGTGAGTGAGTGAGTGAGTGAGTGAGTGAGTGAGTGAGTGAGTGAGTGAGTGAGTGAGTGAGTGAGTGAGTGAGTGAGTGAGTGAGTGAGTGTAGTTTTTATGCCATTTTACCAGCAATATTCCAGCAGTATCACGGCAGGGGACACCAGAAATGGGCTTCACATCGAAGTGTACTGACCTCGTTCCTGTATGAAGGCTCGGAAGGGAGCTAGTCCAGTTCCGGGACCAATGAGGATGATGGGAGCAGCAACATCTTGAGGCAGCCGGAAGTCATCATTTGGGCAGATGAACACCGGACACGGGTCTCCAACGGTTACTCGATCCTGGAGGTCACAGGTCGTCACCCCTGACCTTGACACACCCAGAGTTTCATATCGGACAACTGCTGCCGTAACACACAGAGTTGTACTGTCCTGTGTTCAGAAGGAGATGACAGATACAGTACCCACCATACACCATACATCTGTGGGGGGATATACAGTGGTACTCAATACAAAAGGAGAGGATAATACAGTATAACCAGAAATTATTGAGAATTTAAACATTGTAAATTTTTATATTTTTTTCACTCATTACTCACGTATTAAATGTGAATATTAGCAGAACATAACTCCAGATTCAAAGACAGGTGAACAGTTAGTATTTTGTCAAGTCACCATGGGCAGCAATGCAGGCTTCAATGCGGCGGGGCATACTAATGATCAAAGAAGTTAGAAAGTCATGGTCCCTGCTGTCCCAATATCGGACCACCTCTTCTTTTATTTCAGCAATATTTGTCAGAGTTTTCTTATTGACACTTTCCTTCATAAGTCCCCAAACATTTTCTATTGGATTTAGGTCAGGGCTATAGCTTGGCCAATCTAATAATGTCATATTTTGGGTCCGAAACCAGGCCTGTGAATGCTTTGAACGATGTTTTGGGTCGTTGTCCTGCTGGAAAATCCAAACATTTCCATAGAACACGTGAGCAGATGGAAGTGAATGTCCCTCGAGAATATCTGTGTACCGCTCACTGTTCATATTCCCTTCAAATACACAGAGGGGCATTGCACCTAACACAGATATGCCACCCCACACGTTAAGTTTCGGACTGTACTTTGGGCGCTAATACAAAGTTTTTTCAGTTTGTTTGGTCCAGAATTTCAGTGTATTAGGAAACAGCCACACAGAACTTTCATCTGAGAAAATCACATTGTCCCAGTTAAAATTTCTATGCTGTAAGCACCAGTACAACTTTCGCTCTTTTTGTTCAGGTTTCATGATCGGTGATGGAATTCCTCGACTTTTCTGCCAACCCATTGCATGAAGCTCAGTTCTAATTGTCTCCTTACAGACAGCCACAGTTCCTCTATCAATCATATCCAGCCTTAAGTTTTCTAAACTCCTTCGTTTGTTTTTAGAAACAAGAATACCAAGCCGCCTCCTGTCACCGACAGTCAATTTTCTGGGCCTACCTGTGCCTCCCTGGTGCTCAATGCCATATCCATTTGCAATATTTTTCAAAACACGATAAACAGTGGACAAAGGGATGCCTGTTCTACTTGAAATCACTTTACTGATCTGATGTCCTTGTTATAATACTCTAAAATCAACTTCCTCTTCTCTAAATCATCCATACTGAGGATCACTGAAAATGTCGTCTGCTAGCAAGTAAACAAAGGGGGATAACTCTTCACAAACTAATGAAAAAGGATTAACGGAGTTGTCTCTCTTGAATAAAACCAAGCACTTGATAGCTGGTCAAGGTTGTTTATATTAGAAATCCAATTAAACATATTCCTAAAATTCTCAATAATTTCTGGTCATACTATAAAAGGCAGTACCTACCACACATTGGAAGCAAGATGATTTCCTCAGGTTTCACATCTCACGGGGGATCATTTTCAATTTAAATGGGTTTATTTGTAACTATCAAAATCATATACATTCAGACACTAAGCGTTAGTTGAGGGTATATACAGTAGTAACCAATACAAGTAGTGAGTACTATATCGACTTAACTCACCACACACAGATACGATGATATGGAGTAGTACTCAACTCATGGGGTACCATATCCAAGAAGGAAGAATGACATCAACTATTACTCACCATGCAAGGGGAGTAAGACATAGAATTATACTCACCACACGAGGGGAGGATGATATAGAGTAGTATCTTGGCTGCAGTGGACGCAAGCAGGTGAGAACGTCACGCAGTGTGAGCCCGACAGACACAAACTCAGAAACAATGTCCCTCACCTCTCTCTCATCCAGGTAACTGTGTAATGCAGTATTCATCTTGGACAACTGGATGGAGCAGAAAAAAGATTTACCACCGCCTGATTGTACCACACCTTCCATGTCCCTAACCTTTGTCTCTACACAGCTCACTTTCCGATCAAACAACACTGGGCAAACACAATCCCCCCTAACTGTATGCTTCATACCATGTGGACACCTGATTGTACCACACCTTCCACGTACCTAACCTTCGTCTCTACACAGCTCACTATCCGATCAAACAACACTAGGCAAACACAATCCCCCCTAACTGTATGCTTCATACCGTGTGGACACCTGATTGTACCACACCTTCCACGTCCCTAACCTTCGTCTCTACACAGCTCACTATCCGATCAAACAACACTGGGCAAACACAATCCCCCCTAACTATATGCTTCCTACCATGTGGACACCTGATTGTACCCACACCTTCCACGTCCCTAACCTTCGTCCCTACACAGCTCACTATCCGATCAAACAACACTGGGCAAACACAATCCCCCCTAACTGTGTGCTTCCTACCATGTGGACACCTGATTGTACCACACCTTCCACGTCCCTAACCTTCGTCTCTACACAGCTCACTATCCGATCAAACAACACTGGGCAAACACAATCCCCCCTAACTATATGCTTCCTACCATGTGGACACCTGATTGTACCACACCTTCCCGCCCCTAACCTTTCGTCTCTACACAGCTCACTATCCGATCAAACAACACTGGGCAAACACAATCCCCTAACTGTGTGCTTCCTACCATGTGGACACCTGATTGTACCACACCTTCCACGTCCCTAACCTTCGTCTCTACACAGCTCACTATCCGATCAAACAACACTGGGCAAACACAATCCCCCCTAACTATATGCTTCCTACCATGTGGACACCTGATTGTACCACACCTTCCACGTCCCTAACCTTCGTCTCTACACAGCTCACTATCCGATCAAACAACACTGGGCAAACCACAATCCCCTAACTGTGTGCTTCCTACCATGTGGACACCTGATTGTACCACACCTTCCACGTCCCTAACCTTCGTCTCTACACAGCTCACTATCCGATCAAACAACACTGGGCAAACACAATCCCCCCTAACTGTGTGCTTCCTACCATGTGGACACCTGATTGTACCACACCTTCCACGCCCCTAACCTTCGTCTCTACACAGCTCACTATCGATCAAACAACACTGGGCAAACACAATCCCCCTAACTGTGTGTGTTTCCTACCATGTGGACACCTGATTGTACCACACCTTCCACGCCCCTAACCTCGCGTCTCTACACAGCTCACTATCCGATCAAACAACACTGGGCAAACACAATCCCCCCTAACTATATGCTTCCTACCATGTGGACACCTGATTGTACCACACCTTCCACGCCCCTAACCTTCGTCTCTACACAGCTCACTATCCGATCAAACAACACTGGGCAAACACAATCCCCCCTAACTGTGTGCTTCCTACCATGTGGACACCTGATTGTACCACACCTTCCACGTCCCTAACCTTCGTCTCTCACACAGCTCACTATCCGATCAAACAACACTGGGCAAACACAATCCCCCCTAACTGTGTGCTTCCTACCATGTGGACACCTGATTGTACCACACCTTCCACGTCCCTAACCTTCGTCTCTACACAGCTCACTATCCGATCAAACAACACTGGGCAAACACAATCCCCCTAACTGTATGCTTCCTACCATGTGGACACCTGATTGTACCACACCTTCCACGCCCCTAACCTTTCGTCTCTACACAGCTCACTATCCGATCAAACAACACTGGGCAAACACAATCCCCCCTAACTGTGTGCTTCCTACCATGTGGACACCTGATTGTACCACACCTTCCACGTCCCTAACCTTCGTCTCTACACAGCTCACTTTCCGATCAAACAACACTGGGCAAACACAATCCCCCTAACTATATGCTTTCCTACCATGTGGACACCTGATTGTACCACACCTTCCACGCCCTAACCTTCGTCTCTACACAGCTCACTATCCCATCAAACAACACTGGGCAAACACAATCCCCTAACTGTGTGCTTCCTACCATGTGGACACCTGATTGTACCCACACCTTCCACGCCCCTAACCTTTCGTCTCTACACAGCTCACTATCCGATCAAACAACACTGGGCAAACACAATCCCCCCTAACTATATGCTTCCTACCATGTGGACACCTGATTGTACCACACCTTCCACGTCCCTAACCTTCGTCTCTACACAGCTCACTATCCGATCAAACAACACTGGGCAAACACAATCCCCCTAACTGTGTAAGCTTCCTACCATGTGGACACCTGATTGTACCACACCTTCACGTCCCTAACCTTAGCGCTCTCTACACAGCTCACTATCCGATCAAACAACACTGGGCAAACACAATCCCCCTAACTATATATGCTTCCTACCATGTGGACACCTGATTGTACCACACCTTCCACGCCCCCAACCTTTCGCTCTCTACACAGCTCACTATCCGATCAAACAACACTGGGCAAACACAATCCCCCTAACTATATGCTTCCTACCATGTGGACACCTGATTGTACCACACCTTCCACGCCCCTAACCTTTGTCTCTACACAGCTCACTATCCGATCAAACAACACTGGGCAAACACAATCCCCCCTAACTGTATGCTTCATACCGTGTGGACAGTCGGAATCCATGAAAATGTAAAGCAATTTCCTTAAATTTCTTCAAGGTATTGGTTGATAACTAAGATAAATACCTCCCTTGTGTCTCTGTGACAGTAGTCATGGAATTAGTCACTCTACTTTCCCTACTGTCTACATACTAGAACATTGTTGATACATTTATTCAGGTTTAGTTACAGTATACCAATATGCATGGGGTTAAGATGGCTGATTGGTTTACCATGCACACTCATGCGAGGTTTATGCATGTAATGTGCTTCACATGTAAAGGAGAGTTACCTCCGTTCAGTCTTCATCACAGATTTATCACAAATATGTAAACAATTTCCTTAATTTCATTCAAGATATCTGAGTTTCTGCGTTTTCAAGTTTCTCCCGTTTCTGTCACAACCACCCTAGAACTACACTCCATACTCACAATACTGTCTGAATCCTAGAAAATGTGAATCAAATTCCTAAATTTCCAGGACATTTGTAGATTATAGAAAAATATTTCTCCTGTTTCTCACTGTCATAAGTCTCCAGCTCTTACCCCTTTGTCCAGAAGCTTCTGAAGGCTGTCTGTGTGGTTGCTGCCTTTACTGTGTATCAACTGGAGCAGCTTTGGTGGAACATGCTTGATGTCATAATACCGCAGGAGTGATTCCTTCACGCTCACCTTGTCTGCATGGATAGTGAAGATGTGGACTGAACAGTTACTAAAGATAAGGTTTCTGTCTGTTATGAGTTAGGTTAGGGGAGAGGGAAACACAGAGGTGAGGTGAAATTGGGTTTTTACGTCTTGCTTGAGAATATTTAACTCATATGACGATGTGCATGCGTGTGTATGTGTATGTGCGGCTGCTTGTACTAGCCCAGACTTAAGCTGGTTTTATAGTGCTAGCCCACTGAGATACCATGCCGCAGTGAAGCATGAATACCCCACTCAGACACATTATACTGACTCCGAGCCAACCAGTCCTTCTTGTACCCATTAATGCCGAGCGCCAGGCAGGGACCAACAAGTACCATATTTTAACGTCTTTTGGTATGACGCGGTCGGGGATCGAACCCGCGACCTTCCGCTCTCCGGGCGGACGCTCTTACCACTACACCACGGAGGTGGTCAGAAACACAGAGGGAATGGATTAGTATCAAAGCAATCAGAAGCATCCCAGCCTCATCATGGCAGTAGGACATTACAGTCAGATATTGTCTGGACAAACCAGATGACATGAGCAACAGTGAACACCAATTGGCTACACGGCCACACAATCAACCGGGGCTCCACTCCACAAAGAGATCTTAGTGCTATGATTGTTGTGTGTGACATATGTTTTTATGATAATCTTGTTTGAAGGAAAATACAATGAGATTATGTTTTTTCCATTTTGTTTCATTCAGCTCGTAATCCATTTTTCAAAACTGTAAAATAACCGTAGAGTATGTTGCCCCTACCACATAATGTTTAACCCCTCAGTACCTGGTGCTGGCTCATAAGCCCAGTGGGGAGTGTCTACATACATCTCAGGAGGCACCCCCAGGGTTGACAAGATGGCCGCCACATGTGCTGGATCATTTTGTGGGTAGATCCCTACAGCATCTCCTGTGGAAGTGGGGGAAAACAAGAATATATCTCAAGAAACTGTCTTACAACAGTTGGCATAAGGAAATCAGTTTGGAGTTGAAAAATCAATAGCAACAGAGGAATATATGCATTATATAATGACATCATCATATTCAATTTTATCATCTTGTATTTACCTGCAGTCTACATCTCTCTCCCTGTATTTACCTCTCATAGTCGCTCATGTATTTATCTACCATCCCCACGTCCCACCACATATTTACCTGTCACAGTCAATGACACATTTACCTGCTGTCCAGTCATTTCCGCTTTTTTCACCTATTCCCCACTTCATCCCTTTACTTACAACATGGTGGCGCCCCCACCCTCCTTCTCCCACCCTACCCCTGTACTACCTGCTGTCCAGACAAGATTATCGCCCACATGGAACTTCAGATGGACAGTCTGTTTGTCCTCGGGGTCTGACACGGCCGTCAGCTGGCGTTTAGTCTGGAAACAAAAAGTAACTCAACTGTTGGTCAAAACTCAAACCTTACATTGCACCACAAAAACTCCATGGCCTTGATCATAGTATCTGTACAAGTGGTATTTGGAAAACATCAGGAGTTGGTCTATTATGTCCAAAACTGATGGGGATTCTGGATCCCCAGCAACCCATGCTTGTTGTAAGTGGCAACGTAAGTGTGTTCGTAATATCAATCACTAGACCTTATGGCCCACAGGTTAATATTACAAGCCACATATGGATTGAATATTGCTGAAGGCAAACAAATAACTGTTTTCTGTGCCTGCTCCAGCTAGAGTGTTTATCCTTTGTCTTTATTGCCTGTGGTTATTCTTTGCCTACTGTCTGCATGTACCCAGTACCTACTACAGTCTGTGTTTATTATTTGCCTACTGCAGTAGGTGTATCTGTGTATCCCGTGCCTACCATAATCTGTTTATCCCATGCCTACCATAATCTGTTTATCCTGTGCCTACCATAATCTGTTTATCCTGTGCCTACCATAATCTGTTTATCCTGTGTGTCTACCATATTCTGTTTATCCTGTGCCTACCATAATCTGTTTATCCTGTGCTTACCATAATCTGTTTATCCTGTGCCTACCATAATCTGTTTATCCTGTGGCTACGTCTGTTTATCCTGTGCCTACCATAATCTGTTTACCCCGTGCCTACCATGATCTGTTCATCCTGTGCCTTCTACAATAGCCTGTGCCTACCATAATCTGCATATCCTGTGCCTACCATAATCTGTTTATGCTGTGGCTACCATAGTCAGTTTATCCTGTGCCTACCATAATCTGTTTAATTTATCCTCTGGCTACCATAGTCTGTTTATCCTGTGCCTACCATAATCTGTTTATCCTGTGCCTACCATGATCTGTTCATCCTGTGCCTTCTACAATAGCCTGTGCCTACCATAATCTGTTGATCCGTGCCTACCATAATCTGTTTATCCTGTGCCTACCATGATCTGTTTATCCTGTGCCTTCTACAATAGCCTGTGCCTACCATAATCTGTTTATCCTGTGCCTACCATAATCTGTTTATCCTGTGCCTACCATAATCTGTTTATCCTGTGACTACCATAATCTGTTTATCCTGTGCCTTCTACAATAGCCTGTGGTTATCTTGTTTCTACTACTGTCTACTTATTATGTATCTACCATAGTCTGTTTATCCTGCGTCTTCTATAGACTGTGCCTATGCCTACTACTGTCTGCTTATCCTGTGTCTACTGTTGGCCATTTATCCTGTGCTAACTATAGTCTGTTTACTCTTTGCTTACCATACCTACCACAAGTTTGGCCATGTAAGGCTTGTGTCTGTTGAAGCCTGTGTCCACGCCTGATGGCCCAATGTCAATGTAGTCAAGGCTCGGGGTCACGGTGACATTGGCCAAGGCTGCCAACACATCACTCATCCATTGGTCAATCACTGACCACTCCTCCTGGTCTACATCCTGGCACTTTACAATTGCCATGGCACCGAGTTCTAGAAGTCTGAAAACAGACAGCAGAGGTTGGGACAGTTTTAAAACAATAATTGTGTGGAAAAAATATTTGACTCAAGTTTTCCAATAAAAATTATATTGTTTGCAGGACATGAGGGATGATATAAATAAAATGTGGTGATGGGAAAACACACTGTTTAACTTCTTCTTTCAGTGGAATAAATTAGAATCCCTTACTGCCCAAAGCCACTAAATGATACAACTTTACTGTGTAACTACATCTCTAGCACAAAACATAACAGACACAGTTTAACATACTAACACGAGACAATAGCTTCACATATTCATCTGAAGTTGTCGAAAAATTAATTGGATAATATAAAGGTGTCGTGGACTAAAACATCTTCCCATAGGCGCCAAGGCAGGTAGATTTCATGTCATGCCGATAGTTTCACAGATGTTTAAGTCCTTATGCCCTGCAGTATATGTTTGGGTCTCTCCTGTCACAATAAGCCGCAGTTTTTAAAATGAGGGCCTACAGAGTTTAGTCAGGGCTTTCAGCTAATAAAGTCTGTTTGTGCTGATGGGAGCCTGGCTATTTATATTAATTTCAAATACTGCTATGAATTCCACGTACTTGGCACCGACTGTTCTCCCAGTTTGACAGTAGTGGGGATAGTTGGAATCCCCCAGGGCCAGGACGGAGAAGTTGAGATGTGTAAGTGACTCAGTCCTGGCCAGCAAGCTGTCATAAAACGGACGGGCTTCTGAAGGAGGTACACCTGCAGGTGCATAAAATGAAACATAGATACTAGAGTACACTGTTCCCATGTATATACAGTATTGTGGGCACCTGCAGGTGCTAAGTATCAAACATAGATTCTAGGAGTACATTGGGTTACAGTAGAAAGGGCACCTGCAGGTGCACAATATCAACATGGAGAGAAGGAATACATCAAATTGAAGCAGAGAAAGCACATGCAGGTGCACTAGATCAACAATGGATAGAAGGAATACTTCAAATTGAAGCAGAGAGGGCACCTGCAGGTGCACAATATCAACATGGACAGAAGAAATACATCAAATTACAGCAGAGAGGGCACCTGCAGGTGCACAATATCAGCAATGGATAGAAGGAATACATCAAATTAAAGCAGAGAGGGCACCTGCAGGTGCACAATATCAACAATGGATAGAAGGAATACATCAAATTGAAGCAGAGAGGGCACCTGCAGGTGCACAATATCAACATGGACAGAAGAAATACATCAAATTACAGCAGAGAGGGCACCTGCAGGTGCACAATATCAGCAATGGATAGAAGGAATACATCAAATTAAAGCAGAGGGCACCTGCAGGTGCACAATATCAACAATGGATAAAAGGAATACATCAAATTAAAGCAGAGAGGGCACCTGCAGGTGCACAATATCAACAATGGATAGAAGGAATACATCAAATTGAAGCAGAGAGGGCACCTGCAGGTGCACAATATCAACATGGACAGAAGAAATACATCAAATTACAGCAGAGAGGGCACCTGCAGGTGCACAATATCAGCAATGGATAGAAGGAATACATCAAATTTAAAGCAGAGAGGGCACCTGCAGTGCACAATATCAACAATGGATAGAAGGAATACATCAAATTAAAGCAGAAAGGGCACCTGCAGGTGCACAATATCAACAATGGATAGAAGGAATACATCAAATTAAAGCAGAGAGGGCACCTGCAGGTGCACAATATCAACAATGGATAGAAGGAATACATCAAATTAAAGCAGAGAGGGCACCTGCAGGTGCACAATATCAACAATGGATAGAAGGAATACATCAAATTAAAGCAGAGGGCACCTGCAGGTGCACAATATCAACAATGGATAGAAGGAAACATCAAATTAAAAGCAGAGGGTACCTGCGGGTGCACAATATCAACAATGGATAGAAGGAATACATCAAATTAAAGCAGAGAGGGCACCTGCAGGTGCACAATATCAACAATGGATAGAAGGAATACATCAAATTAAAGCACAGAGGGCACCTGCTGGTGCACAATATCAACAATGGATAAAAGGAATACATCAAATTAAAGCAGAGAGGGCACCTGCAGGTGCACAATATCAACAATGGATAGAAGGAATACATCAAATTAAAGCAGAGAGGGCACCTGCAGGTGCACTTGATCAACTATGGACAGAAGGAATACATCAAATTAAAGCACAGAGGGCACCTGCTGGTGCACAATATCAACAATGGATAAAAGGAATACATCAAATTAAAGCAGAGAGGGCACCTGCAGGTGCACAATATCAACAATGGATAGAAGGAATACATCAAATTAAAGCAGAGAGGGCACCTGCAGGTGCACTTGATCAACTATGGACAGAAGGAATACATCAAATTACAGCAGAGAAAGCACCTGCAGGTGCAAGTATCAGCATGATGAGTGATAAATTCATCATGGTCTACCAAAAGCTGAACAAGGACTTTTCACTTAAGAACTGTCAAACCAAGACACTGTAGGTTCTCCTCACTCACCATCTCCACTGGTTGAGATGACGATCAAACACAACTGTTCAGTATTCAGGTCAACATAGGAATAGTCTCCAACATTAACAAGCCTTGGTTGCCATGGATACTCATGCTGGCTTGACAGTTCCACTTCACATAATCTGCCAGAAACAAGGCCATTGGTGAAACAGAATGTCTTATAAAAACATAAACTATAAACATAACGTTCATGTGTACTGTAAAGATTCCAGGCAACTTTTGTTTGTTTCTTGTTTAACGTAGCTTTCAGCAATTTTCCAGTTATATGGTGGCAGTCTGTAAAAATGGAGTCTGGAAAAGACAATCCAGTGATCAACAGCATGATCATCGATCTACACAACTGGGATACGATGACATGTGTCAACTAAGTCAGCGAGCCTAAACACCCAAACCCGTTAGTTGCCTCTTATGACAAGCATGGGTTGCTGAACGCCAGGAGGAAGCAGAAACAGTCAAAGCTTTCTTGACCTGCGACAGGTTTATTACGTGAGTTTACAAAAGACGTGCGGAAGGACGACGCGGATAACCCGGATGGAATATGACGTAAGATATTCCTAACAACTACTGGCGGAAGGCCAATTCTAACCCGGATCTTTACAGCTTTTCATTAGCAAGGTTTGGGGTAGACTCAGAGATGAATATTGCAAAGCTGCTTCAACGGAATATTTTGGTTTTAGATGCTCTGAAAATTATCATATTTATTTTATCAATGTTTGCATTTAATACAATGCAAAATTGAACATTTACCCAGTTTCAAACATATTTTTGCAAGTTCTGCAATATACATTATGTACAAAACTTCACAAACATGACACAGTCAAATGAATTACACTGCCAGTTTAGAAACAGTTGCATATCGTATCTGTGTATCTCTGACGAAATGAGTCTGCAGAGAGTTAATATATTCCTCTGGGATCAGAGTACAGCTGCACAGGGCTTCCTCAGTGTTTAAAACTCCAAAAAACCCAAGCCAGACAGCCAGACTGGTAACTTTAAAAAATTACCAGTTCGGATACAAACTTGCCTGTCCGATTTTCAACAATGAATAAAAATTTAAAATCAGGTTTCTGAATACTTTAATGAACTACATAGCACTAACAGGCAATGCACCGAGTTTAGGTAAACTGAAAGTACATGTGTTGTGATTGGTTATTGTAAAATGAACAGAGCAATCGTACTTTAAATAGTTTAACATAATTATCATAGTTCCTTAAACACCTCAAACTGACGACAAGAGAACCTGTCTGATGTTATGATATATTTACTGTTAGGGGTGAAAACATCTACCAGACCACCGGACAGGCTACTTTTGAAGTTTGACCGTCCGAGATGAAAATAGACCGTTCCGGACGGTCGGGCAGGCGGGAATTTGAAACGATGGCTTCCTGTATCCACATTTGATTGACAGCTGACGTCAATAACAATTACATGTGTAATACAGTCAATGTTTGTGAAATGCTGATAATTATCTGCAACATGTCAGCAATAAAATGTGCCATGATAGAGGATATATGCCTCAGTCTCTGCCTTAGTCTGGAAAAGCGTCATTGCTGAGGTTTAAATTAACATTGCCATGATTATCATGAAATGTGTTCATCTCCGACAAATCACACAGAAGCCATTTTATCACTACATGTGATCACATGGAGTTGAAGGAGAATCACGATAAGATTGAGTCACACTTTTGTCTAGAGGAGAATTAATTTGAAGATTTGCGGTAGCTGCTTGGACACAGAAGCATAAAACAGATCGTATAGAGCTTACTTGCTGAACAAGGTTTGGGCCAGTTCTTCACTGAATCCATACTCTGTTCCATACAGCACCAAAATCTGCCTGCCGATCACATCGTACTTCCTGCAGTACTGATTCTCTCTAGAGCAGTTCTCCCTTGTAGCATCAGGCTGACTGATGTCTGACAACATTCCAATACAACAGAATTTGAAACAAGTAAAAACGTAAGCATCAAATTAAACCACATAAATGTCAAATTTGAAAGCTGCTAAATATTAATCCAGACATATTGCACATGAAACATTTTCTTTATCATGATACAATTAAAAGAATTCATGGCATAGTTTGCATTCTGTAGCTCCCAGAATTGGCATCTTGGGGAGTGAGTGAGTTTGGTTTTACGCCACTTTTAGCAATATTCCAGCAATATCACGGCAGGGGACACCAGAAAGTGCTTCACATTACTGGCTTGCTGGTGCCCTAGGAGATGTGAATTTCCGAACCTGAGTATTGCATCAATATCGCAGAAAGTGGTACATAAACTCACTCGGCTTCATTTCAAACACATTTATGAGGACATTAATAGGTGAGCTTTATCTCAATCCTTACATCACCCTGAACATTCGTGTTAGAATCGATCTTCAGCAAACCCATGGCTGTCACAAGAGGCAACTAAATAGATTGGGTAGTCCGATTTCCTGACTGTATGGATGCATGTTATAGTATCCCAGTTGCCCCAGATAGGTGTTCATGCTGTCAGTCACTTGACTGCCAGTTCCAGATTCAGTTATTGATAGTGATACAGCTGAACAAATGCTGAGTATTTCCACATTTAATTATATGTATAACATATGGCAGATTAGTTTTAAGTAAACAGCAGATTTTCAGAAAAGGGCCATGTCATGTAACAGATCAAATGAAATATGTAAGAAGCCATACCAGTGTCGATGAAAGCATCGATGGATGTATCCTTGTTTTGGTAATCAGGTGAAGATCTCACAGTTCTCCAAATGTAATAGAAAATACCAACAGCTCCAAGAACTGCGTACCACATTCTTGGTCGGCTTCAGTTATCACCTATAGTCCAGCATATAACTAGACGACTTTGCACTATACCAAGGTGTGCACGACGTAGGCCTTGGCTGGAATACGAGTTTATTCATATGAACTAATTATCACCCTGCAGCCAGCTGATGGGGATTTTCCGTTTTTATAATTAAAACAATGATCTTCATCATCTTCATTGCTAAATGTCATCTCTGCTCTGTATGTTATTATCGAAATGTGTAAAAGCACGACTTTAATTAATTGCTATTAATTAGAAAGTCTAATAATGAAGATATCGGTGTGTTATTTTTAAATTCTTTTAATTTTAATTTTTTTATTCTTTCAAGACGACATCAGAAGTGCCGTGTGCTGCAAATTTGACAGCGCATAGTGACGGACATTTTGGGCTGGTCGATGCCCTCCCCTCCACCCCCTGCCTTGACATAGGTCTACAGATTGAGAGATTTCACACTGAGACTGAAACGAGAACGGATAGGGCGATATGGCCGACACAACCTGCTATGGTATTGACATACAGTCTATTGGTGTCAGTTTCAGTAACAACCTCACACATGAACTAAAGGTCCATGTTACTGTAAGTTCCAAGTCGAACATTCAGCTGAGACCCGCCGGCGAGGTCAAAGGTTGATAATGTGATCGGAAGTAAACAACACACTCTTCAGCTTTGGAGACACAAAACTGCAATTTCCACTAAAAACGAATAAAGAATCCATGCGAAAGTAAAATAATCAAGACACTCTACCAACTTTGAACAAAGGTGCTTTAGACAGAAACTTTGGTATAGCAATCAAGGGATCAATTCATACACTTTATCAGGAAAGGGTTACATTGTAGCAATCACAATTCGTTTCCTAAACTGCTGGTAAGTATCACAAAAAAATGGCGGGGAATTTGTTATGTCAGGTTTGACAACTAAACCAACAGTACGTGAAGACAATCGATGTCATTCTGTCTTTACAAATTCGCTCATTAGATTTGAAGACTATCGTATTCATGCGTTTTGTGTCCTTTTTCATTTATAACTGAGGATCAGCAGCGTGCTATTTTGTGATCGAAAAGGTAAGCGCATCAAAACCGTAACAGGAATGAAGCTACCAAGTTGTATTGTTTATGGCATATTTATGTTTCAAGATGATTCTGCTCGGGATGGTGATGGCGATAAAACATAAAAGAAATGTACTGATTTTCCTCAAACTGCGTTCGATTTATTCATTGAAAGAAGATGCCTCCAGTGTTCTCGAATGGTGTCTGACCCATTGAAAATTCACGGGACTAATAGAATAAAATTAAACACACATTTCAGATTAACATTTCTTATAATAGGCAAGTTAAATTATTAGCAAACATAAGATTTATACACAGCAAACAAGTGTCACATGTCACATATAACAACTTCAGTCAAAGTCATTGTGAAATATACAGTCAGACACTGGGGCCTGCGGGTTGTACACTTCAGTCGGACTGTTGGAGAATCTGCCGGATTTGTCAGAGGGTCCGACGTTATTCATGAACACTGTGCCTGAGAAGCAAGAGTCGACATTCTAAGCCGATTAGTGGTACAGTAAGCCGTGCCCAGTAAATTACTCTCGGATGCCACTGTTACTGCCTCGTCACACAGGTTTGATTAGTTATATTTTCCTCGGACTTTCTTTAAAGAGGGAAAGACTCCAGTGCTTCGTCAGGAATTATCTTGTTTGTGACGATGTAAGGCTTGAGTTTGAAATCCTAGATAAATCTCTTTAAGATAGCTGGACTTTTTCAAATATGTCTTTTTCAGATAGCTGTCCAAGGTCAAGGATACAGATGTGATGATCACATAGTTACATGCAGTAGTCTCCACAGCTCACACAGGTCACCATGGTGAAAGCTGACAAGAAGAAACAAGCACCTGCGGATAAGCAAGATGTAAGGTTTCTTACAGAAGTTAGACATCTTTTATAATCATGTGTTTTGTTAAGAAAGGACTTGCCACTAGTCTGAACCAGTTCTGAAAGAAACCTTGTAATTTTCATCCCAATTTTTCAAAATGATCCACTGACTAAGTGGATTCAATATAGATATTAATCTGTTAAGACTGGTCAATTGGTCTTCAGCAACGCGTGCTTGTCATAAGAGCCATTAAGTGGATAGTAATTGTGGTTAGGCATAGATTTTTGTTCATGACATCAACCACTACATTGTCTCAGTTATTTACAGACTGATGTCATATAGCTGGATATTTGCTGAGTGTGGCATTAACAGCAAACAATGAATTAATAGGCAATAATGAAGGTTGTTGAACACTTCCATGGGTTTAGAGGTACGTTTTATGAGCCACAATGTATGGTCACTTCGTCAAGGTATTTATTGTTAAACAACAGAAGGTGACATAGTGAGTATTACTTGTTTTCTTTTTTGTATTCCTTGACTGAAAAGACTTTTTTTTTCTTTTTCAGGGAGAGAAGCAGAAATCAATATCGTCATTCTTTGAGGTATGTTCATGAGGTCAAAATTATCCACTGACTAAGTGGATTCAAGTTAGATATTAACCTGTTGAAACTCAGTACTTGCCTTAGGCTCAGATATATGTGTCAGAGTCAGATTCTGTGTGGGTATTCACTTGGGCTGAAATTAATCCACTATGAGGCAAATATGACATCATCACAGTTGGATAACAAATACAAATATTTTCTATTGAATGCAATGTCAAATCAGCAGTTGATGTATTATTCATTATTAAACTCACTTGCTCAGATGTCAAGGGCTTGTGCAATCATGTCTGCTGACTGAAGCATTCACACATCAACTACCCATGAAGATCCGGGTTAGAACTGATCTTCAGCAACTCGTGCTTGTCGTAAAAGGTGACTAGCGGGATTGGGTTGTCAGGCTCGCTGACTTGGTTGACCCACATGTCATCAAATCCCAATTACGTAGATCAATACTCATGATGTTAATCACTGGATTGTCAGGTCCATCGTAATATAGCTGGAATATTGCTGAGTGTGGCGTTAAACAACAAACAAACAAAAAGTTTACATTCACTCACTCCTTACTCACTTCTCTCTCATCCACACTCACTCACCCACCATACTCTTCTCACACTTATTGGGGCGGTGGGGTAGCCTAGTGGTTAAAGCGTTGGCTCGTCACGCCGAAAGACCCGGGTTCGAATCCCCACATGGGTACAATGTGTGAAGCCCATTTCTGGTGTCCCCCCGCCGTGATATTGCTGGAATATTGCTAAAAGCGGCATAAAACCAAACACAGTCAGTCAGTCTCACACTTATTCAATAATATATTCAATAATATGATCTTGGTGACCAGTGTATTGTGTTTTTGTATCAATCAAGATGCATATGCAATGTTTGATGTGTTCTTGTCTCCAGAAGAACCCAGTTCCTGGAGGTGGCCAGAGAAAGCTGTTTTCTACTGTGGGGTCGAAACTGTCTACACGGAAACCCTCCACTTCAGCCCCGCAAGGGACAGTGACGTTCCCCGTCACCCAGCAGAAGCCATCATTCCCATCCCAACAGCAGCCAGGAGCCACGTTTACCCGAGTCAAAGAAGACAATGGCAGAAAGTGTGCAATGGAACCAACAAGTATACCCGAAACTCAGTTCCAGTCACCTGACAAATCATGTGACTCTATTGTCATGGTTACTGAGAGTCCTGACATCATAATACCAGACACACCCGAGGGGGATAAGATGAGGAAGATGAAGAAAAAGATCTTCATCAGCCGAAGCTTCCTCAGTGTCAACAGCAACCCCATCACAAGAGCTCCGCCGCCGAAAGTGGTGAAGAAACGTAAATCAAACTTAACTGGGATGGTTTCCGTGTCTTTCAACAGTCCAGGTAGCATCTCAGGTGATGGGGCACTAGAGAGAGGGCTATTGAGGGAGGACGCCAGTTTGGATATCCCAGCAGACGTCAGCCCCGAGGCCCAGACACCAACTAAAACGTATGAAAGTGATCGTGTTAAACGGTTAGCTAAATCTGGCACTTCCCCTTCATCAAAACGGACTTTGTATGCAGATTCTGATGTCATACCTTATAAAGAAAATTTTGTGAATAACTCACCGGAAATGAAAGTTGCTCAGATGTCAGACAGCAAGGTTAAGAGTAAGACGTCTGAGTCTGTTCCAGAGAGGAAGACAAGGGTGGAGAGGATCCTGTCCCACATGAGTGCCGGTCAGGCTGTGGGTAGTGTGAGTCACAAGCTGACCAACTACCAGCTGGGTGCCGCCCCCTCCTCCAAGGCTGGCACCTCGGATGTCATGGATGATGATGAGCTGCTAGGGGAGATTCTGGGAGAACTTGGAGCAAAGTCAGAGACTCGGGCAGGTGTTGTCACGGAGAAATGTGTTCCTGTTGCTAAAATGTCGAGAACTAAACAAGAGAAGGTGATGCAAAAACATGTCGACGTTGCTGCAATAACTGAAGAAGAATTGGAGCTGTTCCGTACTCTTGACAGCTCTTTTGAAGGTGACAAAGGGGAGTTAACTCCCAAGTCTGAATCTCCAAGTATTATCATGCCAAGGAGAAAGAAGAAAGACAACATGGAAGATGTTAGCAAAGCACCTGTGAGGAATATTTTCCACTCTCATCTCACCAAGGTTACCCACAGCAATGGTGGTTCATCACAGGGGTCAGATGTCAAAGAGTCATCAGAAGAGTCAGAGGTCATGGAAGTTGGGACTCCATCACCGACCTCAAGTCAAGATCTGTGTGAAGAGCTGTCACATCTGACACCATTCAAAGATGTCAATCAGTGAGTTAAGTTTAGTTGAGTTTTTCAGTGGAGAGACACAGCTCATTTGTTTCTTTTTATTCTTATATATATTATGATCATGATGATTGGTTTACCAAGGGTAGCACCATGATTAATATCAGTGACACTATGCATGAAAGAGATTTGAAACTTTTTTAGCAAAAAAATATGAGTTTGTGTTAAATTTGAGGGAGGAATCGTTGCAGGGATTTACCTTGACTCCTTCTTTTGAGGGTCCCTGGGACTCATGCTCTTAACTTTTAGGAGTCCAGGGCCCCCTTTTACAAAGCTCTCGTAAGCCTAAGATCTCGTAACTTTTCTCGTAGCATTCGTGCCTCCTGTACTGTAACATAGGAGGTACAAATGCTACAAGAAAAGTTATGAGATCTTAGGCTTACGAGAGCTTTGTAAAACGGGGCCCTGGACAACAAAATGGAGGTCCCAGACACTTTAATATTTTTATTTATACTGATTTTGTATTGGGTATCATGATCATCACATTGTCACAGTAATTAAATTGCAAATGATACCATAACCCAGCTAGTAGTGAACTCAGTGATAACCTCTTCTTACTTGATTGGAATTTTTACAAAAAGTATTTGGACTTTTTCTGCGTCCCTGTAGATGCGCTAATAACTTTTCTTGCATCCATTGTCAATTTATATGCATATGGGACACAGGAATTTGCATCCTGTAAATCTCTGTCGTTGTGTTTTTACTGCAGGATTGATTGTGTTGCCAGGCAACAGGGGTTAGCAGATCCTGGCTGTGCTGCAGACAGGTTTAACCGCTACAGGGTGTCGGCTGTCACTCACGGAAGGTCAGTCAGTGTCAGAAATGTTCCAGAGTATGGTGGGGTAGCCTAGTGGTTAAAGCTTTCGCTCATCATGCCAAAGAACTGTGTTTGATTCCACACATGGGTACCATGTATGAAGCTCATTTCTGGTGTTCCCAGAAATATTGCTAAAAGTGGCATAAAACTAAATTCACTCACTCACTCCAGAGTAAGGTTCACCAAATGATACGTAACAGCCATAATAAATACCACATTCCAAATTACCAATATGTATTCCATAACATCATAATGCTATACCTACAGCTGACAAAACCATCGGTCAGATTTAAGTCAAGACTATAAATTACAGGGATGGAGAGTTATCTCACTTATATCAATGTTTGCTAGCTCAATTTGAACAACTTGCGATCGTCAGAGGTTTAGCAGATACTGTATATGCTAAAAATGAGATAAGATGACTATAGTATGACAAGTAGTTGGATTCCAGTTTGGTCTGTGTTTGTCACAAACCAAAATTCAAAGTGGTTGCTGAGGCAGACATATCTGAGAAACTCTCTTGTGGATAAATATCAATTGGTGTAGTTGCAAAACATGAATCTATAGATGTTTTGCAGTTTATCTTGTTTTTGTCACTGCCCTTAATACTGATCTTATATAATAGAGATTGACTGATGAATACATGTCAGAATACTGGCGTCATAATGGTGTTTCTATTGATGCTGTGTTAGGGAGGAGGTCGTGCTAAATCTGGCGAGTGTTGAAGAGCGATGTTGAGCGGTAACAGCATTAATGCAGAGGAGGAGCGGAAGTGTGTTCTTCATGGCTTCTGGTGAGAACTAGTGTTGGGAATTGGTTAAAATCTTATAATTGATGATTGGTTCATTACAACCGATCAATCATCGAAAAATTGGTTAAGCGTCATTAATGAAATTTGTTAATGCACATAAAATTAAGGAAAAACATGTAGTTCTTTTGGGGTTTTGGGCAAAATTTCACATCTTTAAAGGATGACTAGTATGTTAGGAACATTAATTTCTTGGAGTCTTTAAGATAAATTCAATCATGAGTTGAAAGCGAGCTTGTAGGGCTTATGAAATGTAACAGACAAAACCAACCTTGTGAAAAATATTGTTAATGAAAACAAGTGTTCCAGAATTGTTTGTGTTTGATTATGAGAAAACATGATCGATTGCTTAGTCGTTTAGTCACTCGCGACCAATCTTGATTATTTCAATTAATCGGACCACCACTGGTGAGAACTTCACCTGCCTGTCTGCCTGGTTACAACATGTAACCTAACATTTACCGAAAGACTTTAACATGGAGCTGTTGATTCCATAGACACTTTCAACAGGATGAAACATCTAGAATAATAGTAATATTAATAATAGACTTACTCTTCAAAGGAAAATGAGAGGTGTGTTAGGGGGCTCTTCCTTTGCATGGAATTAGAAACTTCGATGTGAAAGTTATCTGATGTGTTCAAAAGTAGGAACACTTGCTTGTTTCAGACATTCAACATCACTAAATGTATAGGTAAGACTAGAATGTGTTGAAAGAGTGATTTTAAGGAAAAGCTTTTTCAAATGTATTTTATTTTTTTATTATGAGAATGATTGGGAAGCTGCCTGGTTAAATCATTCTCTCTTCAAGCCGAAAACCTGGGTTCTATTTGCCATATGGGCCATTCTTTTAAGCCCATTGTGGTGTCTCATGCTGTGATATTGCTGGAATATTGCTTGCTAAACCATACTCACTCCCTCACTTTAATGCATATTTAGTTCAAAGCCACTCTGAATGGTGTTTCATACATACTCCCCGGGGAGCACGTTTGCCCTGTCCCAAGAGCTTGGGGCATTTGGGTAGCCAAGTGGTAAAGTGTTCATTTGTCTCGTCGAAGACTTGGATTCAATTCCCACATGGGTACAATGTGTGAAGCCCATTTCTGGTGTACCCCGCTGTGATAATGCTGGAATATTGACTTAAAGTGGCGTAAAACTGAACTCACATTTGACCCAAGCTGTTAATGAGATGTAGAAGACTACAGACTACCTTGGACAAATTTCTCACCGTGTCAAAGACTCGGTTGTAGTTACATTTACTCTTAACTTAAAATAGTGGCACTTTTTCATTGACTTTAGCCATATATATGAGTAATCATGTGGCAAGTCCAAAATTTGGTGGTTGATCTTTAGTAACCCATGAAGGTCGGGTTAGAATATTGGGCCTTCGTAAGAGTAACGGGATCCATGCTTGTCATGTCATCGGTTCCCAAGCGCGATGCTAATGTTGTTGATCTGATTGTCTGGTCAGACTCGATTATTTACAGACCGCTGGAATACTTGGTAAAACTACACTCACTCACCCACTCACTTGAGTAACATGCTTGTCATGTAACAGGATCAGGTGGTTCCCAATGTCATCGGGCATTAGCAGATCGATGCTCTTGCTGTTGATCACTGGATTGTCTGGTCCAGACTCGATTGTTTACAGACCGCTATATAGCTGGAATATTGCTGTGTGCGGTGTAAAACTAAACTCACTCACTCACTCCAAAATTTGGTGGTGTTATTTTAACCAAAAAGGCTAGGATTGGTAGTAGACCATTCGCACCATTTTCATATTGCTCAAATTTCCCCGAGTTTACATTTTCACCAGTTCAAATGGGTCAAAGGGCCATATTGTACGTCGACCTCTGTCTCTTGCAGGATGGACAGTCATGTGTCTGAGGGTGACATTGTGCGTCTTTGCCGACTGCACTGATGGTGTGTACTATGTCACTGACCAAGCTGGGCTCATCGTCGTGTGTCCCGACCTACTGCTGTCGGGGACGTCCGTCGTCTCGGGAGTCTTCTGCATGAGGAGGTAGGATGTCGTATCTTGTCATTACTCATATGAAGAGGGCAGTGGGGTAGCCTAGTGGTTCAAGCATTCGCTTGACAAACTGAAGACCCGGGTTTGATTCCCCACGTGGGTACAATGTGTGAAGCACATTTCTGCTGTTCCTCGACATGATATTGCTGGAATATTGCTAAAGTGGCCTAAAACCATACTCACTCACTCACTCACTCACTCATAGGAGGAAACTGTAAACAAATCAGTAAACAAATCAGGGTTGGAATCTGGGTACACACCTTCATGTTTCCCATTTCTGTTGTCCCCTGCGCCGTGATGTTGCAGGATTAAACCTAAGCGTAAACTCAACTCACCCACTCACCCACTCCAGGTTTCCAGGTTTGTCAGCACCATACTGGTGGGTTTCAACAAAGTGGTAAAATTTTGAGACATGTATTATTTCAGGCTTTCTTCACACAGTGAAATGAAATGCTGTGATAAAGCTGGAATACTGCTCAAGGTGGAGTTAACCAACTCACAATGAGGAGACATACAGAGTTATGTCCCCTTGTCAGACTCCACTGGTTGTGGTTCAAAGTCTACACTTTCCTCCCATCACCCACCCACAGTTTCATCACCTGGGAAGATCCGAAGTTAGAGTTTGTCTTCAGCAGGCCATGCTTTTGTAAGAGCTGACCAATGGGATCGGAGATTGATGGTCAATGTATTGCAATTGTGTTGTGATGTTCAAGATGTCAATCAGTCAGTCAAGGGTGTGTTGCAAGCCGGGAATCGCTTAGAGTAAGGCAAGGAATCACTTAACCAGGAAGCATAACAGCTCGAGAAGTGTTTCTCACTCTTCCAAAATGGCAGAGCCGATTACCGCTTTTGCTGGCCTGGCCCAAATGAAGAACGTGTTAGAAGAGTCCTCGATGACGAAAGTGATGAATTTATTATTGTTGATGACTACATTGAAGATGTGGGACAAACTGAGGATGCTGGGATGTAAGCTGTCTTTGCCAATTTCCCAGCTGATTAAGTCAAACAATTCTTGTTCAGCAGTCAATTCAAATTTCCCTAAGCCGCCATTTTGGTTTGAGAACAAAGCCGACCTCATCCAGCAATTGGTTCGATTGCAAGCGGCTGAAAGTTAGCACTCTGTTGTCAGACCAATCGCTGTACATAATTTGCAAGCGATTGGTTGTTTGCAACGCACCCTATAAAACTTAGGCTCAGTATTATTCGTTACACTGCTATACTGAGTCTAACAAAACCTAGTAGAAGGTCGGTGTCAGCTAACCTTTGAGCGACCTATGACCATCCAAACAGTCATGTAGACGGCCCGAACAGACTACTCGACTACTTGTTAGGGTTGTTGGGACTTACAAAATGGTTTTTGGGATTTTCTCTTCCTGGTAAGCTGACACTGATCTATCAACAAACAAAAATCTGCATAAAACACAGATATTTGACCTGCAGTATATATATATACGCTTATGGGTTTCTAATAACATGGTTACTATTTGCTTTTATCTTTGCAAGATGACAGCCTTGAATATTGACAAAACGCTATTTTCAGCGACTGTTTACTCATTTGCGTATCACTCGGAAGCAATCATGAGGAAAATAGCATTAGGAATCGTTCGAGTTTTTAGGTAAAGATTCAAACGTATGTGTGAATGTTAACTGTCGCTGCTGTTTGATAAGCTGTGTTCTGATTGATAAGTCCCAAAGGTTAGCTAGGAGCGACCTTCTTCTAGGTTTTGTTAGACTCAGTACAGCAGTGTAACGAGAATAACTGCCCAGTTTCATTTATCTGTTTAGGGTCATAGTGCTGCATCAGACATCATTTACATGACTTGTATATCTGTTTAGGGTCATAGTGCTGCATCGTTCACATTATTACATGACTTGTATATCTGTTTTTAGGTCATAGTGCTGTATCGTTACATCATTTACATCACTTGTATATCTGTTTAGGGTCATAGTGCTGCATCGTGACATCATTTACATCACTTGTATATCTATTTAGGGTCATAGTGCTGCATCGGACATCATTTACATCACTTGTATATCTGTTTTGAAGGTCATAGTGCTGCATCATTACATCATTTACATCACTTTGTATATCTGTTTAGAGGTCATAGTGCTGCATTGTACATTATTACATGACTTGTATATCTGTTTAGGGTCATAGTGCTGCATCGTACATCATTCACGGCATCACTTGTATATTCTGTTTAGGGTCATAGTGCTGCATCGTACATTATTACATCACTCTGTATATCTGTTGCGAGTCGGTGCTGAATGAAAAGTTCAAGGTGAGTTTTCATAGAGGAAATATATGTTTTGGAATGTGGCAGTGAGGGTGAGTGATGTAAGCATCTAAGGGTTATCACAGTGACTTCGTATATGTTGTTTATGTATCAAGAGGGAAAGGTGGTGTGAAGTGTCATTGGTAACTGCTTAAGTCTCATGAGAAGTGATGACAGTTGTGGTCACATGTTGTTTGTGTTTCAGGGAAGTGATGACAGTTATGGTCACATGTTGTTTGTGTTTCAGGAAGTGATGACAGTTGTGGTCACATGTTGTTTGTGTTTCAGGGGAGTGATGACAGTTATGGTCACATGTTGTTTGTGTTTTCAGGGAAGTGATGACAGTTGTGGTCACATGTTGTTTGTGTTTCAAGGAAGTGATGACAGTTATGGTCACATGTTGTTTGTGTTTCAGGGAAGTGATGACAAGAGTATTCACATGTTGTTTGTGTTTCAGGGAAGTGATGACAGTTGTGGTCACATGTTGTTTGTGTTTCAGGAAGCTGATGACAGTTGTGGTCACATGTTGTTTGTGTTTCAGGGAAGTGATGACAAGAGTATTCACATGTTGTTTGGGAGCATCATCCACTGCTTGTTTCCAGCAGGTAGGTAACAGTTGTTGTATGTAAAGTATGTGATGATAATAAAAAAAACCAGAATATATAAGGAAAATTCTTCAATGTGTACTAAAAGCCCTGAATTGAAAATCATGGAGGAGGTACTTGTTGAAGCCTGGAAATGCCTTCAATGCCCAAGTACAACAGTTTAGCTTTCAAGGCCATAAATTTTATAGTACGACCTTGAACAGACAGCAGTATGGTAGGCCAACCTGGAAAGGCCTTAACCATGTTAACTGTGGTTGTCATTATAAATATGCCTTAAAACGCCATGAAATATGGAGTCTAATAGTGAAATGATATGAAAATGTCTTAACTGTTATTTGAAAGCATGCTTCAGTCTTTCAGGCTTGAATAATGATACTAGAAATGCCTCATACATTGTACACATATGTGGGAATTAACAAAGGGTCTTCAGTGTGGTGAAGAGTTACCCTCTAGGCTACTCCAACTCCACATTCTATATATGACATACAAGCAGGCTTGTGCCATTCACTGTGATATGATATTGATTAGGGCTCGCCAATATAACCGGTTTACCTGTATTTACGGTTCATGACATCGAAATCGATCAATGATTCGCGATACCGGAGCGAAAACCGTTTTCGACATGCATTGGAAACTTCGTAACACTTCGAAATCTTTGGATATTTCCGTATTTTTCCACCGGAAATCAAGTTAAGTTGGTTTGAAGTTGTGTTCTTAATTTTTATTCAAGTGTTTACTATAATATTTTGGATCTGTATGTTATATATATATTTACTCATTATTGACCAGTGATCCCTGATATGTCCTGACCAGGTCAAGTTGCTGTCTAAAATCTTCAGGGCTTTTTGAGCTTAGCGAAGTGGAGAAGCTAGTTCAAACTAGTAAACCACTGTGTTAATGTTAAATTGTTCTTTTCCTTGTTTCCTTTCCATTCTTTAACATGATTAAAAGGTTTTATTAAAGCTTAACTGCCATAGTGATTTTGTTGTGTTTTTGCTTTATATAAATTCAAGCATTAGCTTCCATTATAAGTAATTTCATGAAAAAAATATTCTTGCAATATATTACCCAATACATATGATCGTGAATATATGTTTTCGAATCGCAGTGCATGTCTCAATATGAAAGTTCTCTGCAATACCCACTAATATTGATGTGACTAAACAATAACTAACTCTACATTAGTAGGGGATACAAATTATGTGCACACACACCATTGAGTAAAGGGCTACAAATTGTATTTCATGATTATTGAGGATATGACCTAGATTCCATTCCACAGTGTATCTACTCTTCCACTGTACAGGTTGTGAAGCAGGGTCCCTTCTGACAAGCTGAAGCACATGCTGGAAGTGGCAAAGAGTCTGTCATGAAGCTGAACAAATTCCTTCATGAAATGTAAGTCCCAGATTAAAATATTAATAATAAAATACTATCGCGGAACCTAATTCCATTAAGTCAGTTGGATGCTCCAATACATTATGTGCACTTAATTTTCATTCTCACTCCCTGTGGGACCCACAACTCACATGGCCTGTGAAGTTGGCTTATGATTATAGTCACATTACTATCTCCTACTGGAGCACTCCATTCCGCTGAACAAAGATGCTTGTCCCTGTTTATGTGCAATGTGTGCTCCAGTGTATTGTATACTCATTTCATTATTAACCATTTTAAGGAAATAGGCCACTCCTGAGAATTGTTTGTATGTTTTGTAAATATATAAATAGCTTTCTTTCTAAATGCTTGGCTGAAGTGTGTAAATCCAGCAGGTCCACACAGGAAGGAAAAGTACAAGTAAGTCCTTCAGTTGTTGTGATGATCTATTTTATATTATTATGTCTATAGTTTTATATCTATATCTGTGTGTTATTCTTGTTGTTTTTTAATGTCCAATTGTTGACAGGTTTTGTCTTCTAAGTTTATGTGTCAGGAATGTGTAACTTTTTTAGTCAGCTGAATCTGTGGAAACTCTCAGGTCAAACTCCCAAAAATGATTACCCTTTGTAAGGGATTACCCTCTGCGACAGTAGACAAGTCAACTTCACTTAATTATGTCAAGATTTGACACCATGGGTTAAAAACCAAATATTCCTGAACCATCTTGGACTTGTGATATGTGTCTAAATTCCTAGAAATTCCTTTATAGTCGTACAATTTCTTGGAGCAGCCACTCTGGGCAGATCTAGTGACTGTGTCTAGGATCGTGTGGGCCTTTATACAGTGCAGTTTCCGTCTTGTGCTCCCACTCTCCACTGGTAATGTCAAAATCGAAAGTGCAGTGTGCCTTTGTCCTTTTTTGTCTGTCAATGTCACTTAATCCAAATGAATGCTGTGGCTGTGAAGAGTGTTTTCAAGCAGGTACATTCCTACACTCAAGACATCATGAGAAATAATCAGCTCTAATGCTTCTCAGACCCTGGCAGCAAACAGGTGTGTGAAACATAGCTTCTGTCATACCTCATGACCCGGCCCTGTCATAATTCACCTCTGTAGCTCATGCCCCCGCATCCTGTCATACTTTGCCTCCTGTCATACCTCATGACCTCACTTCCCCGTCATGGCTCCTCTATCAGAGCCCCACCCCCTGTCATATACACCTCCTCTCATACCTCATGCCCCGCCCCTGTCCTCCGCCTCCTCTTACACCTCATGACCGCCCCTGCTGCTACTCCTTCCTCCTACCTCATGCTCCGGCCATGACCTGTCCTCTGTCATACTCCTCCTTATCCGCCTCCTTGTCCTGTCATACTCCATTCCTCTCATACTCCTTATGACCGGCCTATCATACCTCCGCCTCCTAGCTCATCCCTCACCCCTCCATACTGGCCATCTGTCATACCTCATGCCCTGCCCTGTCGCGGCACCTCTCATACCTCATGTCTTCTCTGCCTCCTCATACCTCTCATACCCTCCTCCTGTCGTACCCCACTACTTCTTCTCATGCCTCATGACCTGTCTCCTATCATACTCTATCCCTCTTCTCGTCACTATGCTCCTCACCACCTCTGTCATCTCCACTTCCTCCTACCATGACCCGCCTCCTGTCATACTCCGGCCTCCATATGCCTCGTCCTCGCCTCCTCCTCTCCTCATGACTCCTCTTCCTCCTGTCATACTCCGGCCACCTCTCATACCTCCTCATGATCTGGGCCTTCATACCTCTGTCTTCCTCCTACTCTCCTCTTCCTCATCATGACCCGCTTCCTCATACCTCTTCCCTCCCTGTCTATCATCCTCTCATACCTCATGATCTGGCCTGCCATAATTCACTTCCATACCCATGTCTACCACATACACACCTCTCATACCTCATGCCATCACACCCTGTCATCAGCTCCACCTCTGTCATACACCTCTCTATACTCCTCTGCCTCATCATACTCTCCTCTCATACCTCATGCCCCTACCCTGTCATGCTCCACCTCCTCTCATACCTCATGCCCTGCTGCTATCATACCTCCGCCTCTATCATACCTCGTCTTTCCCTGTCTATGCCCTGTCATGTCTCCTCCTCTCTCATACCCTCATGACCACTGGGCCCTGTCATAATCACTCCTGCCGCCTCCTCTCATGACCTGGCCTCATGCCCTCCTCCCCCTGTCATACTCCTCCTCCTCTCATACCTCATGCCCCGCTGCTGTCATACTCCGCCTCCTCTCATACCTCATGACCCGCTCCTGTCATACTGCGCCTCCTCTCATGCCTCATACACCGCCCCTGTTTTACTATATCATGCCCTTGTGTCATATTCTCCTATACTGTCATGCCTGCCTGCCCTGTCATTACTCCTCCTCATTCATTCCTCATATACTCATCCTGTACCCGCTTCCCTGTCATGCCTAACCCTCACCCTGTCATACTCCTCGCCCTCTCTTATACCTCATGACCCGCCCTCCTGTCATCACTCCTCCTCCTCTCATACCTCATGACCATTGCTGCTGTCATGCTCGGGCCTCGCCTCATGCCTCATGACCGCCTCCTGTCATACTCTCGGCCCTCTCATATACCTCATGCCCCGCCCCTGTTACTCCACTGCCCTCATACCCCTGTCATGCTCCTGTCGCCCCCTGTCTTATACTCCACCGTCATGCCCTACCCTGTTATCCTACCCCTCATGCCTACCCTGTCATACCTAACCCCTGTCATGCCCCGCCCCTGTCATGCCCTGCCCCATCATAGCCCACCCCTGTCTTATCCCACTCGTCATGCCCTACCCGTCATGCCTCACCCGTCATGCCCTACCCTGTCATGCCTAACCCCTGTCATACTCCGCCTCCTCTCATACCTCATGCCCGCCCTGCCCGCCCTGCCCGCCCTGTCATGCCCCGCCCTGTCCATGCTGGGATACAGACCGTGATGAAGGTGTTGTTAGATCTTGTTCTGTTTTCAGCTCAGATGTGAAGGTGGTGAAGGTCCACGACATTGAAGAGAACATCTGGTCACCTCGGTAAGTAGACCAGTAGTTTACAACTCTCCACTGTTTAGTCCAGTTGCGGCAAATGTCGAAATGAGTTACATTTAAAATAGCCACAGTTCTTACACTCTGCAATATGAACACACTGCCTCAAAGATACTATTCATTGAACATGATACAAGAGAATTATTCGTGTGTTGTATGTCATTATTAGACCAGTACCATCAGGGGTGGAAATAACTTTAAACTTGCTAGTGTTCTCCGGTACAGTGGCACATGTAAAATCACTTGCCCTGATCATTTTTCCACTATACCGTCCGTTTTCTTGTTAATTTTGTAAATAAACAACATTATTAACATTGGAAAGTCAACAGGACACCGGTACAGTGTGACATACAAATTTGCTTGCCCGAAAATAGCACTGGACTCGGACATCAGGCAATGGGTTATTTTCACCCCTGACCATGTAGTAAATAACTGTATATTTGCCCATATGTATTCATTGATTTGGAATTGGCATTCGGGTAGGCTAGTGGTTAAATCGTTTGCTCGTCAAGCCGAAGACCTGGGTTCGATTCCCTACATGGGTACAATGTGTGAAACCCATTTCTGGTGTATCCCCCCATGATATTGCTGGAATACTGCTAAAAGTGGCGTAAAACTCACTCACTCACTCACTCACTAATTGAATTTGCCACCACTGCCACACAATATAGTTATTTAATGATGTATTACATGATGTTGGCAATTGTTTCCCATACGTTGGTGACAGGCAGAAAATATTTGACTTGATTCAGTTCGTATTATCTATCTAGTTGATAATCTGAACTCATTAACCTGAGATACGGTAACTCTATTTTCTTGTGCATCTTTCAGATTTGGTGTAAAGGGAAAGATCGATATGACTGTACAAGTTGAGGTTGGTATCGGGTTTGTGGGGATTAAAGTTTTATTCTTTATGTATATTTTTCTGGGATTGTACATATTGTAAGGCCCCATGCTTTCACTTCATACACATTTTAATAAAGTTCACAAAGTTGACTGTTTGGGATCAAACAGGAATTTTGAAATGCTTGATATCCTAGAGCGTTCTTGACTTGTACCACCTTCAGCCATGATGAAATGAAAGAGTATTCTTGCTTAAATGTTCAATGTCATTCACACAGAAGACGAAAAGTTCAACCATAAGGTCAAAATGGCAAAATGGAACAAACTCACGTTACAGTTTGATGGGCACATTCCTTGAAATTCTTCTTTAAAGTCGCACATCCTTCAAAGCCCTTCCATGTATCCACACTATCCCATCGCTAAGGTCTTCAGGCCCACATAACACACAACACTGATATACAAACACAAGGCGTTTACTCAACGCGAAGACAAAGGCGAGACTGAATACAATCGAGATACAATCACATGTCACAGTTGATGAGTCCACATGCAGTGCACACTATTGTTGATGATGGTTTGCGTTTGTGTGATGCTGTCCAAATACCAGGAACAACCTCACAATATATACAATACATTATACATTATACATACATGATACACATTTATACAATTCTTCACCTGCATTTAGTCATTGGTTAACTATTAACATTGTTCAGTAGAACATTAAGATTGGTACACAACTTATATGTCCATTATGTTGTATGCTAAGAGCATGCATGTAAATGGCCTTTTCATCAAATTTCAAGGTGTTTAGTTTAACCATCAAAACTTCAAAACATCAAAAGACCTGCATCACTTCAAGCTTTCCTGCCAAGACATACCTGGAATACTGTTCAAAGTAATGTCAAACCAGCTCCCTCACTTACTGTGCTTGCTTTATGTTCCCATGACACCTTCGTGCTGAATAATTTGCAGTTCCCCAAAGCAGCGAGGCAGAAGAAGAAAGTTCTTCCCCTGGAACTGAAGACAGGGCGATCCACCTTCTCCATAGAACACAAGGGGCAGGTAACTCTTGTCAGGGGGGATGTCGTAATTTGTCTCTGTGTATGTACCCATGAAGATCCGGTTAGAGTTGGTCTTCAGTAACCCATGCTTGTTGTGAGAGGCTTAACTTAAAACAGTGGCACCTTTTCATTAACTTTAGCCATATATATGAATAAGCATGTGAGAAGTCCAAATTTGGTGGTTGATCTTCAGTAAGCCATACTTGTCGTAAGAGGCGACTAACGGGATCGGGTGGTCAGGCTCGCTAACTTTGTTGACAACGTCACATCGTATCCCAATTGTGTAGATCAATTCTCTTACTGTTGATCACCGCATTGTCTGGTCCACACCTATGACCATCGCCATCATATAGCTGGAATATTGCTGAGTGTGGTGTTAAACAACAGACAAGAAAATGTAAGGAATGAATAAAGAACCCAACTTCAGTCTAGAATAATTTCTCAAGATCATATGGACCAATCAGATCTTAGCATTAGGACACACAGATAATGTGTTGTAGGTGATGTTGTGTGTTGTAGGTGATGTTGTGTGTTGTGGTGATGTTGTGTGTTGTAGGTGATGTTGTGTCTTGTAGGTGATGTAGGTGATGTGTGTTGTAGGTGATGTGTATTGTAGGTGATGTGTTGTAGGTGATGTTGTGTGTTGTAGGTGATGTGTGATGTATTGTAGGTGATGTATGTTGTAGGTGATGTTGTATGTTGTAGGTGATGTGTGTATGTGATTGTAGGTGATGTGTGTTGTGTGTGTTGTAGGTGATGTGTGTATTGTAGGTGATGTTGTGTGTTGTATGTTTTAGGTGATGTGTGTTGTAGGTGATGTTGTGTGTTGTAGGTGATGTTGTGTGTTGTAGGTGATGCTGTGTATGTGTGTTAGTGTGATGTGTGTGTATGTGATGATGTGTGTTGTAGGTGATGTAGGTTGTGTGTTGTAGGTGATGTGTGTTGTAGGTGATGTGTATTGTAGGTGATGTATGGTGTGTGGTGATGTATGTTGTAGGTGATGTATGTTGTAGGTGATGTGTATTGTAGGTGATGTTGTGTGTGTTGTAGGTGATGTTGTAGGTGATGTGTATTGTAGGTGATGTGTGTTGTAGGTGATGTGTGTTGTAGGTGATGTTGTGTGTTGTAGGTGATGTGTGTTGTAGGTGATGTGTGTTGTAGGTGATGTGTGTTGTAGGTGATGTGTGTTGTAGGTGATGTGTGTTGTAGGTGATGTGTGTTGTAGGTGGTGATGTTGTGTGTGTTGTAGGTGATGTTGTGTATTGTAGGTGATGTTGTGTATTGTATTTGACGTGTGTTGTAGGTGATGATGTGTCTTGTAGGTGATGTTGTGTATTGTAGGTGATGTGTATTGTAGGTCATGTCGTTTGTAGGTGATGTTGTATGTTGTAGGTGGCGTGTGTTGTAGGTAATGTTGTGTGTTGTAGGTGATGCTGTGTGTTGTAGGTGACATTGTACTCTATGATGATGTCTGACCGTCCGTGAGGATCCTGAAGAGGGATTGTTGCTGTACCTGAAGGAGCCTGTCATGACTAAAGTGGCTGTCAAGGGAGATAACAAGAGAGGTGTGTAACACAGATACCACAACTAAATCAGATCAGTCCATGTGTTCCATATCATGCAGTGCTATTGCCTAACATATGTTATATTTGGGATTACACTTTCTTAGTAAAGTACAAATTTCAGTACTTTTTTGAGTTGAGCCCCATCCGGGATTCAAACTCACACCCTCAGAGTCAAGCACCTAATCGCCAGCACACAAAGTCAGCCGCTTAACCCGCTCAACCACCGCGACTTCCACAAAAATGTAAGTCGGACAACTGGTAGTCTAGACTGCAGACTGCAACCAGAGATCGCAGCAGCAACAACTCTTAACAAATGCAGCATACCTTAGAAAAGGCCTTGACGTTATCAGAAGCATCATCAACCCTGCAGCAGTCTCAACATACGCCACAGAACTGCAACCGGGGCTGTTTATGAAAATCAAGCAGAGGCGACAACGTTGCAACTGATTTGGGTCGCACGCTCCAATTGGCCAGCGAGGGTATGGTTTCCCGCCCTCATAAAAGAACTCGGAAGTCCAACCCTGAAACTACCAGAGTGGTCGAACCTGCTCGTCCATCCACACACCAAGCAAGCTCACGAGAATCCGGCATTGTTCCAGCTATACGCATGTGTGTGGAGCGTATCAAAGCTTACCTGAAGACTAGAGGGTACTCTGTCAGAGCAGCTAAGTTGAAAAGCAGTGACACTAGCTCTACACGAGATCAACTCGCAACTTGTACCGATGACAAGTGGCAGAGATTTGAACAGTATGCAACGAGGAAAGGCTTTACAGCAGTGAAAGCAACCCATCCTTAAGTGGCGGAATACTTGTGTCATTTGCGACAGGCGAGACACTTAAAAGTTCAACATTCTCAAGCGCACCTGGCTGCTCTCAGCACAGTTATCACCATGAAGGCGGGTGTCAAGTTGACCAAAGTACCAGAGATACTGGCACTACTACGCCTCGTTCAAGTTGGAAGACCAACAAAAGAAATTCAAGGCTCTTGCCTGGGATCTCAACATAGTTCTAGTAACTTCTACAACATCTCACCAGTGATGCCTACGAGCCTCTAGAACGGACAGGCTTTGAACTTCTGACACAGAAAACGCTGTTTCTGATCGCACTAGCAACAGCAGCACGGATGTCAGAAATACATGCTCTGGACTTTGAACGAACACGATTTGAAGCAAGACATTGTGACATCGCGTACATCTAGGTCTGAGATGGGACTTTATTGTTAAGAACCAACTGCCCGGCCAGCCTGACAGACAGTTTCACATCCCAGCACTTTCTACAGTCCTTGGGCCACAGGATACATAGGATTTATCCTTATGCCCTGTCAGAGCATTGAAAGTCGACCTACAAAGGATTAAAATAATCAGACGAAAATTCAAGCCTATTCATCCCCTTATCCACTGAGACGCCCTCAGAAGTCTCTAGGACTATATCAGTTGGATGAGAGCCCGTCATACTAAGGGCCTACAAAGCAGCAGGACTTGAGCCTCCACGAGCCTCCAATCCCCACGCAAGTCAGAGCCCTGCCGCCTACACTTGCTCTGCATGGAAACTGCTCGATAACAACAATAATGGAGGGCTGCTTTTGGAAATCGGACATGGTGTTTGCCAACCACTACCTCAGAGACATTGCCACCGAAGATGTCTCAGGCATTCACCAGTTTGGGCCACTTGTTGTAGCACAACAACTAACGGTTCCACAAAGGCACTGAGAAAAAATCTCACCCTTTATCACCTGACTTGTGAAAACAAACGCTCGGAGAGAGCAAATGGTTAAAGTCCATGCACACACGATAGGACAGACTAGCATGAGTGATAGACCCACTTGTATATGAAACAAACCATTTTGACACTCATTTCAAGGGTCAAGCTAGGGGGTCGGCTTATCTACGGTAATATACGGTAGGACTTACTTTGTACATGAAGAAGGGTCGCATCTCCACTTGATGCATGCATCAAGAGATGGAGATGCAATAGATAACTAATGGAACATTAGTATATCTAAAATCCACACGGAAATGTCAGGAGAAGTTTTGGAAGAAATCTGACAAGTTGTGGTTTTTCCTTTTCCTCTTCTTCCTCACATGTTAGAAGGGAACCTGTTCTCTCTTCAGGTCTGATACAGCTAGCATGCGTAACGAGTTAGTCAGAAATTATTATGTGAAACAACAAAGTTCAGGTCGAAGACAGTAGAGAATGGCCAACAAGTAACAAAGTCAGTAGAGAATGGCCACGTGACGTACCAGTACGGACATCTGCCGAAGCCCATCAACAACTACAGGTCCTGCAGCAAATGTCCACAACTGCTGAACTGTGCAGTGTACCAGCGGTTGGTGCTGTATAAATCACTTTCCTTATCAGTATGTCAGTGTATAGTGTAATCGGAGGGTTAAAACATGATTCACCTGTGTTAAAATTGGTCTTCAGCAACCCATGCTTGTCATAAGAGACGACCAATGGGATTGGGTGGTCAGACTTCTGACTTGTTTGACAGAACATTGTTATACCAATTACATAAATCGATGCTCATGCCGTTGATCACTGGATTGTCTGGTCCAAACTCATTATTTACAGACTGCTTCCATAAAACTGTAATATTGCTGAGTGCGGCGTTAAACAAGAAACCAACTCAGGGGTGGAAATAACCCATTGCCCGACGCCCGAGTCCAGTGGTTTTTTCTGTCGGGCAAGCAAATTTGTATATCACACTGTACCGGTGTCCAGTTGACTTTCCAATATTAATTATGTTGTTTATTTTAAAAATCAACAAGAAAACGGCCAGTATAGTGGAAAAATTATCAGGGCAAGTGATTTTACATGTGCCACTGTACCGGAGTACACTAGCAATTTTAAAGTTATTTCCACCCCTGCAACTAATGAAAACTAATTAATATGTAGCATTTCACTACCATTGATTTCATGTGTGAGTGTGCAGTGTACTAATACATGAGAGTATCAGGACACTCCTAATCTGTGGTATTTTGCGGAAATTGGGTATTAGGTGAGCAGTGATCTCTCACTAATCTTTTGCATTAAGTTATGTGCCTTAGTTTTGTCAGAATCTGCTTAGGATGAGTTTCAATCCCGGCTTAAACCACTGTCATGATTCCTTTTATCTTCCCAACCCTTATGCTTGTGGGGTAGCATAGTGGTAAAACCATTTGCTCACCACAGAGAAAACTATGGTTTGATTCCACACATGGGTATAATATGTTAACCTAAATTTTGGTGTCCCATGCTGTGATATTGCTGGAATATTGCTGATATCAGCATAAAATAAATCACTCTCACTCACTCACTCATTCACTCTGAGATGTACCTCACTTAATTTCCACCTCTTCCCACATGAATCATGATACAACAATAAGACTACAGTGTTGAACCGCGCCTATGCTGCAGACATGTTGAGGGTGTGAACCGTGGCAGCGGACATGCGATGGAGAAGTTGGTGCCGGAGACTCTGGGGCACCTTCAGCAGCATCACGTTGACTACTACCTGCACTGGTGTGTGTGTCTGGAGCTGGAGAGTCGTGTTGCCAGGGGCAGCAACATCACCGACATCTGGTGCAGCAGCAGTCACGACAGGTGGGATTTGTTGCTGAATATATTTGTGTACTTTTGTGTGATGAAATAATGGTTGTAATAGTAATATAGCTGAGCACAGATTAAAGTATTTATAGTGTTCCTGAGCACAGACTGAAATAGTTATGTTTTGGGCTCGACAGGGAGAAGAAAGGGGACTGCTTGTCAGGAATGAAGATAAAACACACCAAGATGGCCAATGTTATGGAAAGTCAGCGGTTTGCCGAGGGAGAGAGCTGTATTGTTACGTTCAAAAGACACCCCAGTCATCTCAGGTAAGCAGAAATCTCAGTCTCCTCAGGGATTGGGTTCAAACGTAGCTTGAGAATATTTCGCTTCATATGAGGATGTGTATATAGTGTATGTGTACACTAGCCCACACTGAACTGGTTTTATAGTGCTAGCCCACTGAGATACAGTGAAGCATGAATACCTCACTCAGACACATTATACACTGTCTCAGTCCTTGTTGTACCCATTAATGCCCTTTCCTGTACCCATATTTTAACGCTCTTTTGGCACCACCTTCCGCTCTCGAGCTGGATGCTCTAACCACTACCACTCAGGGAGACAGACACCCCAGCCATGTAGACACCTTCCTGCACTCAGTGTCTGCTGGAATTTCCCTACCTTTCCTACATAACTGTGCTCTGCTGCAGGCAATTCCCAGCACCTTGAATGTATATCTGTATTCTCCTGCAGGCAGTTCCCAGCACCTCTCCACACTCTCGGCTTCTCCAAGAGCGACTCGGTGGCCATCAGTTCTGATGATGGCCGTCTGCTTATCCTCTCATCCGCTTCATCTACAGCATCAGTGAGGCTGAAGTGGACATTGTTGTAGACAGGTAGCTATTAATGCAGCACATGAAATTATAAGTCTCTGAAACAGAAATGAATGAAGTTTCACCACAATGTCAAAGTCTGCCATGTCCTTCCTCTCTCTCAAACAAAGGGGGTAACTCTCATCTCAACACTCAGGCAGGGGGAAATTCACATCATGAAGGTTTTACTCATAACCAATAACAGCTGTTGAAATGTGTGGTTGTTATGCCCACTATTCACTATGCTATTAGGCAGTTTCAGATTCTTAGCAATATGGCTGTAGCATTGCAAACAATTGCAATTCACTGATATAACATATGTTATGTTTGGGTTTAGACTTTCTCAGTAAAATATAGATTCTATTACTTTTTGTTGGGTTGAGTCCCATCCAGGCACCTAATTCGTATGTGGGGTAGCCTAGTGGTTAAGACCCAATCCCCAATGTGTGAAGTCAGGCACCTAATCTCCAGCACACAAAGTCTAATCTCCAGCACCTAACCCATACCTCAGCCACTGCAGCATCCACAAACTGGAAGTCGGACAATTGGTAGTCTAGATCATGGACTTTGTGTACCCCTCTGATAAGCATTGATTGGAATGGCACCCATAGCCGAAAGCTATGAGCACACAATGCCATTTAGAATGTCATCAAATGTAACATATTATATATTTGGGATTACACTTTCTTAGTCAATTCATTGAAAGTTGGATATATCACTACACTCCTGGTCCTAGATTTTTTCGAAAGCTCTCTTAGCTAAGATGAGTCGTAAAGTGCCATACATTAACGTTAACTTACGACTATCTTATCGAAAGCTAAGCATTAACTTAAGACGATCTTAGCTCTAAGAGAGCTTCGAAAATCTAGGACCTGGACTTTACAAGCATGATGGTGCTGGAGAAGATGACTGACCTTGTCATCCTGCTATTAGGAAATGCCTCTAATGTCTCTAATGATGGTTGATGGTATTGTATAGGGGTATCTTTCACGAGGACCCAACGCTGCGGAATCTCACCTACCGCCTTGACCGATGTGACAACTTCAACACCCTCGGCTACCTCTTCACCAACCTCTCCCGCCTGCTCACCAACCAACATTCCAGGTAAGGGCTGACCACCTACACCCACACTCTAGGTTGGTCCATATTACACACTGTATCTGTACATTGGTGAGGTGAGGTGAAATTGGGTTTATCGTCGTGCTTGAGACTATTTCACTCATATGACGACGTGCATGCGTGTGTATGGGTATGTGCGGCTGCTTGTACTAGCCCAGACTGAAGCTGGTTTTATAGTGCTAGCCCACTGAGATACCATGCCGCAGTGAAGCATGAATACCCCACTCAGACACATTATACTGACTCCGAGCCGACCAGTCCTTGTTGTACCCATTAATGCCGAGCGCCAGGCAGGGACCAACAAGTACCATATTTTAACGTCTTTTGGTATGACGTGGTCGGGATCGACCAGCGACCTTCCGCCTCTCCGGACGCTCTAACCACTACACCACAGAGGCGGTTGTGCATTGGGTAAAATGCAAAACTTACAATAATACTTTGTGTAGAAACCACTGGAGGTCAAGAAAAACACATTTGAGTACACAGTTTTAACTTTAGTTGTGTGTGATCTTTTCAATTACCAGGGAGAGGCTAAGAGAGCTCATTATAGACAGGAAGAAGCCGGAGTTTCAGCTGACAATGTCCAAGGGCACCATCGAGAAAGGTGGGTTCATACGACCCGGGATATTCAGATAAAATTTTCATTCAAAATTTCATAAGGAGTCATGGCGAATGTAAAGTATTCCCTTACACAGTTTACTTTACTATATTTCCAGTGATTTAACTTCAAATTACCCCCCTTTTATGCATGTTATAATCTAGAAATATATGCTGTAAGTTTTTGTCTGTTGTCTGCGGTCTGCATTTGTAGTGTGAATTCTAACCTGTGATTTTGAGTAAGAAGCATTGAGGATATGAGGTCTTTGCTAACAAGACTCTGAGTGACACAGGACTTAGGGAGGTGGGTTTGCATCCCTGTAGGCATGCAGATTTGTGTCCCCTAGTTGTCTTGAACCCCGATACTAATCCTTGGTCTTACAACAGCATACCTGTATTGGAGCTCACATCTATACTAAACTGCCTTATGTTTTATAGCTGATGTACTGTTTAAAGTGTCCCAACTCACTTACTAATTATATTGGGGGCGGTGGGATAGCCATGGTTAAAGCGTTGGCTCGCCACGCCGAAGACCCGGGTTCGATTCCTCACATGGGTACAATGTGTGAAGCCCATTTCTGGTATCCCCCGCTGCAATATTGCTGGAATATTGCTAAAAGTGACGTAAAACCATACTCACTCACTCACTAATTATATGGTACACGTTTTGTTGCAGTGAAGCACATCTTCAAGTCCCTGAACAAGCCACAGAAAGCTGTAATCCTCAAGGTTGGTATCTTGGTATCTTCACTTGTACATGTTTGTCACTTTTATCTTCACCAAAAGGCTGAGAAACTCTGAGATCCAGTTTTGGTCTTCAGTCACACAAGCTTGTCATAAGAGTCGACTGACTGGATCGGGTAGTCAGTGTGACTTGGTTGACACCTGTCATTGTATCCTGTTTGCATATCAATGCTCTATCACTGGATTTGGTTGTCCAGACCCAATCATTTTGAGGCTGAAATCACCTGGAAGGCCCAGCTCCACAAACTGATCTTAATCCTACAACTATACTGTACCTGTGTTAAGGGAGTTACGGTCTTCTTAATGCCTATTTGTGGAATGGGGCCAAGGAATAGTGTAGTTTAGCATTTAACAGCTAATTTTATTATCTAGTCTATTATATCTCCATTCTGTTTGCGTAAGGACCCAGAACCTAATCTCCAGAATTCTGGAATATATTCAGGCTGACATCATAAAGCTGGAGTACAGCTGGTTTTGGTGTTGGACAACTGAAAACAATTGAAGGGGGAATTTTATGGATTTCAACTTGAGGAACACAAGGAATGTCATATTATGTGTTTATCATGTTACAGAAGGTGACCTCCATGAACTTCCCTCATTATGTGTTTCACTTCTGAATGCCGTTCAAAGACTTAAAACACAAATAATGTAATGGATGAGAACTAGTGGTGGTCCGATTAACGTGAAACATAATCAAGATTGGTCATAGTGACCTAAAGGCAACACAACGCTCAGTTGATTATCAATCAAAATAGTCATAGCCAATCACACAAGCTGTTTTAGAACAACTTATTTTCATTAACAATATTAGCTACATGGTTATTTGTCTGTTTCAAAGTCATGATTGAATTTATCTATAAAGACTCCAAGAAATTTATGTTCCTAAAAATTTGAATCCTTTAAAGATTTGAAAATTGGAAAAAAGCCCCAAAAAGAACTACATGTTTTTCCCTTATTTATTATGTGCATTAACAAATTGTATCGATGACATTGACCAATTATTTTAGATGATTGATCGGTTGTAATGAACTCCTATTTCAATCAAGAATTATGAGAACACAAATAATTCCCAACACTAATGAGAACTCAAATTCACAAGTGAAACACATTTGCCTTTTTACGACATGAGATAGTTTCCTTTAACTGGATTCAGAACACATTGTGTTCTTGTGTCCCAGATACTGATGTGCAAGGACTATGTGCTGATCAAGGGCTACCCTGGAACAGGTGAGGAACAGCTTGTCATGTACAGTGGAACCTGTCTAAGCTGGACTCGCACTAATCTGGATCAATAACGACCAATATACTGCCCAGAATTTATTCTGGCTTCACCTCATGTAAAATTTGTCTAATCTGGACTGAAATTGTGACACATAAGAAAATTCATGTAGTTTTTGTGTAAATCTAATCTAAATTAAGTTTTCACACATCTTCTGAGTCCACCAAATCAGCTTCTTTCATCAGTAAGTGATTTGTCTACAACATAGATAGAAGCTGAGATTGGCCTCAGCTCTCAGATGTCTCGGTGTTTGTAAGTCATTAGGATGGGAAAGCCGCAATAACTTGGTGCGCCTAGTGGCTGCAAGAGTTGTATGATCCCCAGGGAGTTGAGTTTGATAATATGATGTGCCTTTGAGATTGACATCCAATGATCGAGGGAGAAGAAAACAGCGCTTTGAGCATGTACTAGTTGCGTGGATATGTGCGCTATATAAATATCCTATCATAATAAGTCCACTAGTTTTAGACAAAGACTTTGTAGTGGATTACCAACTCTATCATTAGGCAGATAGCAATTCTGCTGCAGATCATTAAAAATAAGAATTAGTTTCCAACTCTGAGTGCCACTGTCTAGCAGGTGTATTTTATCATTTAAGTAAAAATTAATCAGTACAGTACAGCCTAAAAACTTTGTGCAATTACATCAGCCCACAGAGGCCCAGATAAGCTGCATATCCGGGTAAAATACGCATAGAAAATTTACAATTACGCTTTGAAAATAATTGTTGGCGCATGCCAATTATGCATTTAAATTAAAAAGGTTAGATCGCCAAACGTTTAAAACAAAATGCACGGAATATATTTATAAAAATCGCTATTGTAATGAAAAGACATCGATTGCTATCAAGTTTTACTGTTAGTATAGGACAAGTGTTGTACTGTCAGTATAGGATGAGTGATTTTTGATGGAGCTCTGAGCCCATATCACCATGGTTACCATGTGTATTATGTTAGTGGAGTGTAAATGTCTCATGAAGGTAAGACGTCCACCATCGTGGCCCTCGTCCGCATCCTCAACTGCCTCGGTCTCTCCGTCCTCCTGACCAGCTACACCCACTCCGCTGTCGACAACATCCTGCTCAAACTCAACAAGGTATTTATGTTTTCAGTAGGGCTGCAACAATCCGCCCAGACCTCGATTCGATTCGATTTTCGATATTGGACCCTCGATTTGATCATTTTCGATTCGATTCTTTATACAAGTAAAAACATCAGACTTCATTAAACTCACAGAGTAGGCTTTTTCAGCGTGAAATCTATGGTCAAATTGGCGATATCTACTAGCAATAATTTTCATTGGATAATTAACCCGGCATAAACCAATCACGTTTCACCTTATTTCAACACTCGAAACTGTTCGAGTTTGAGTCAAAATCACATTCTCACTGTGTGGAAATAATTTAAATAGGTATTCAAAATCACGTTCTGGCTGTGTAGAAATAATTTAAATAGGTATTCAAAATCACGTTCTCGCTGTGTTGAAATAATTTCAATAGGTATTCAAATATCGAATTGAAGTAGTGATAATGGCTATCGAAAATCGAAACTAAGGTGTCAGATTCAATTTCCGATGAATTGAACCGAATCGTTGCAGCCCTAGTTTTCAGTTTAGTTGTAGAACCATAACCGCCATAATAAATACCTTAATTGACAAATTGGTATGCATATGAAGACAGTATTCAGCTTAATCTGTTTTCAAAGATTAAGTAGCAGTTAGCAAACATTGATGAAACTGAAACGTTTTCAGTAATAGCTAGTAAGCATTCATACATTGCATCAAATCTGTAAAAGTTTACACAGGAAAATATGGACTGTTATATAGATTTTCAGACATAGTATGGGTGCTTGTGAAGATAACTTATAGGCTGGCTGAGAAGTTTCTTTGCAGATGCTAAATATGACAAATACGGTAATCTTTTTCCAGCTGAATGTAAACTTCCTACGGTTGGGTCGTCTCGGCAGGATCCATCCTGATCTCCATGACAACGCCGCTGAGGTCCTCACGTCCAAGATAACCTCCGTCCATGAGCTGCGAACCTTCTATGAATCACAGGTCAGTGGGGTTTAAATGTTGGACATGGACACTTTCCAATTAAAATATAAAGATCTCTAATCAGCAGCGTCAGCCAGTGAAGAATGGATTGAAGCGCACATTTTATGAATCATTAGTCGATGAGAGCCTTTGTAAATTTGTATTTAATTTTGGACATTTACTTTGTCTGTATCCACAATATGAAGATCTCTGATACAAATCCTTAACCCCCCTGAATGCCACTTTGATATAGAATAAAATCAAAATAAATCACAATTCTTGTACAGCATTCACTTTTAAGACCTTATAAACACGTGCGTCTGAAAAAACTCATCCAGGGGTTTAAGCCTTTAGATACTGAAATTATTTATGGGTTAAATAGAGTAGGTTAATGGATTGGATATGTCTTTCTGGTTGGTTTGTCGGTAATAAAATATACTAATGTATAACTCCACACCTCTTATCTACTGATGCATAAAAACTTTGTGCCTAATCTTATACTTATGATGTAGAATAGTTTGCTATATGTTGTTTGCATGGAAACAAGAAAAATAAATTATTAATAACATTTCTTTATCCAACTTATCTGACAACCATTCAACATTTACTCCTGGCATCATGTTGTCCTGGAACACTGCAAGGAAGATGCACATATAGGTATCCTGAAAAAATACAGATTTGTCATTACTGTTTAAGGTTACCGTGTGACAGTTCTGATTATGGCCATTCTCTACTTCTTTGTCTGTTGTTTCAGAACATAGTTGCCACAAGCTGCCTGGGTGTGAACCACCCGATCTTCTCACAGCGCAGGTTTGACGTGTGTATTGTAGACTAGGCGTCGCAGGTGCTGCAGCCAGCTTGTCTCGGGCCGTTGTTTGCCGCAGACCGGTTTGTGCTGGTCGGGGATCCCAAACAGCTGCCGCCAGTCGTACAGAGCAGGGAGGCACGGTGAGTGGTGGCTTACTGTCACACAGTGTAAGGGGGTTGGAGTGGTCTAGTAGTTAAAGCATTTGCTTGTCACGCCGAAGACCTATGTTCAATTCCCAACAGGGTACGAGATATGAAGTGTGTTCCCCGCCAGGATATTGCTGGAATATTGCTAAAAGTGGTGTAAAACTACACTCACTCACTCACTCACTCACTCACTCACTCACTCACTCACTCACTCACTCACTCACTCACTCACTCACTCACTCACTCACTCACTCACTCACTCACTCACTCACTCACTCACTCACTCACTCACTCACTCACTCAGCTTGAGTCTGTGGTTGCACTTGCACAATCACACAGGCCTTGAGTTTGACATTGAAGCCATGATAGTCGTACAATTAAATTTGTACAGTTGATTGGGAAAAGACCTTGGATTTGGCTTCCATGGTTTATTGTGCTGGTTAATTTATCTTATGTTATATATTTCCACTGATCATGTTGCCTTAACATGAGATAACCACTTATGTGTGAACGTGCGTGTTACAACGGTGTATTTTGATGTACTATTTTGGTGTCAGTCGACTATGAAATCAAGTAAGAATGTTCAAATAGACTGTTTGAAAGTTGTGTCTTACTTTTAGAGAAATCATTGCCATGAAGTAGCCATCAATGTGTGTAACGGTTGCCTTTGTTTTGGATACGGTTGCCTTTATTTTGGATACGGTTACCTTTGTTTTGGATACACGGTTTGCCTTTGTTTTGGATACGGTTGCCTTTGTTTTGGATACGGTTGCCTTTGTTTTGGTTGCCTTTGTTTTGGATACGGTTGCCTTTGTTTTGGATACGGTTGCCTTTGTTTTGGATACGGTTGCCTTTGTTTTGGATACGGTTGCCTTTGTTTTTGCACGTTGTGCTGTTGATTCTGTGTATATAGTAGGGTTGCACTTGGCTTGCAGGTACTGCCCTTGTCAAGATGCTAATGCCATGGCTGCCCTGCTATATACATATTCGTGAGATTGGCAAGTACTGAGCTTGTATCATGGAAAGCCATGTCGTCATGAATCTCTTCCATTTACTGCAGGGAACTAGGTATGGGGGAGAGTCTGTTTGCTCGTCTTGACGACGCTGGTGCAACCTTCGACCTGAACCTTCAGTACCGTATGAACAAGACCATCATGCACCTGAGCAACGAGCTGATGTACGGGGGACTCCTGCAGTGTGGGAGCAGCGAAGTGGCCGAGACCTGCCTGGCGCTACCTGAACCCACAGTCCACACCAGACCTTGGCTCAGTCAGGTCCTGGCGTCCGATCTTCAGCAGGCGGCCATCTTCCTGGACACCAACAAGGTGAAAGTCATTTTACAGAGTTGGCCAATAACTGAAGTTATAGCATAAACAAAATATTTTCCATAATGATGGATTGGGGTTTTTTGGAGTTTTTTTATATGAGCAATAGGGTAGCCTAGTGGTTAAAGCATCTACATGTCACACTGAAGACCTGGGTTTAGTTCCCTGTATGTCTCATTCAATTAGCATGTACTTAGCTGGACAGATAGGAATCTTCTGCCCTTGCTTAAAGTTATGTCAGTGGATAGATGTCATATGTTAAACTAATCAGCTCAGTTTATACTTATGGTTTACGTCACGTAACCCAATTTTGGAAAGTTGTCGTTTCATATTTTCACTTCACTGACTGGCTTTGTTATGGCTCTAGTATACATATGTTTCTGTGGCAAGAGTATACTGAGGTATTCTAATGTCCAAGACTGTTGCAGGTGCCAGCCCCTGAGTCATCGGACGGTAAGGGAATGTTGAAGAACACAGTGGAAGCCGAGCTGGTCCTCATTATCGTGGCATCACTGGTCAAGGTGAGTAGCAGTACTTGACTTTAGGGACCATTCATAATATATGGCTTGGGTGTGTGTGATGATGATTTTAAGGGGGGTTCACTCATTTTGTTCTGGGGAGGTAGGGACAGTCATCAAGTTTGTACACATGTACCAGGGGGTCGCCAGTGACTTTGTACATAATTATATTATTTATTTTTTTTTTCTTGGATGGGGTCATGCACATGCATGCTCCTCCATAACAATCATCATCACCCCCTCCAGCCATACATTATGAACGGTTCCTTCTCTCTTGTGGTTTGAATACCTGTGAAGGTACAACTGGACAAGATTAGACCTGGTTTTCAACAGCCCATGTTGGTCATGGATGCGACTAACAGGTGGTCAGATTCACTGATTAAAGTGTCCGCTCGTCACGACGAAGGCCCGGGTTCGATTCCCCCACATGGGTACAATATGTGAAGCCCATTTCTGGTGTCCTCCGCCGTGATATTGCTGGTATTGCTAAAAAGCGGCGTAAAACCATACTCACTCACTCACTCACTGATTAGACTTGTGCATGTCATTGCATTCTAATTTTGATCAGTAGTAATTATATCGATAGATGGCTTAGTTTTTAACAAGTCCAATAATTGGAACTGGCATTTTATCAGCAAATTTCTCTCTCTTCAAGGTGCTGCCCTTATCTATCTGCCATGTATCTACTATCTATCTATGTATCTATCCCATGTATCTAACCCATGCTTTAAATTTCCATTATGACTTGGTTCTGCTTTTGAATGACAATGTAATAAATAAAGTGTCTTTGATTAATAAAACTCAGGTAGCCGTGAAAAGCGTTTAGTGTGTACTACTACCGAGTTTACTAATGCAAACTTGTTCGTCGCCACTATATGGCTGGAAAAATGTTTACATTATCAGGATGTTTACGTTAAAGCTCAACTCATTTCAACTCATCTCAACTCAACTGTATCCATTGAGGAGACTTAACACCCATTACTCGGTGCTGCCTCATTAACACCTGTCTTGTGTTACAGTGTGGTTTGTCCATGGATGACATTGGGGTCATTGCACCGTACCGCCACCAGGTGAAACTCCTGCAGCAGCTGCTTCACCAGCGCCACCTAGTGGCTGTAGAGGCCAACACTGTCGACCAGTACCAGGGCCGAGACAAGAGCATCATCATCATGTCCTTCGTCCGCAGCAGCCGCTCGCAGAACAATAAGGTGGGTTTATACTGGGGTCAGTGTTGACTAGGCCGGTACAATGAATAATCCGGGTTAGAATTGGTCTATAGCAACCCATGCTTGTTGTAAAAGGCAACTAACGGGATCGGTGTCAGGGTCGCTGACATGGTTGACACATGTCATCGTATCCCAATTGTGTAGATTGATGCTCATGATGTAGATCATTGGATTGTTTGGTCCAGACTTGATTATTTACAGACCGCTGCCATATAGCTGTAATATTGCTGAGTGCAGCGTAAAACAACAAATAAACAAAAAGTGAATACTCAACCAAACCCTGTACCTTTGGGGGCACAAATTGCACAATTCGTTGAGCAGACCTGCGTCAGACAGGCATGTCAGAAGATAATGGGTTTGTGCTGAATCCATCTTTGCCTCTGTCGTCATTTTGTAAGCACTATACCTGTGTTTGTAGGTTCCCCAAACCAGTAAATGTATGAGACCTGCATCTCTCCTGCAGGCTTTCCTTCCACGTTAACTTCACCTGCCATGACTGATACTGATCTGTGTTAAGCCCAACTCACTTGCTCGGTCCTCTATATGTGTCATATCTTCCTATCAAGCAGCTTAATCAAACAACACGTGAAGATCCGGATTAGAATTGGTCTTCAGTAACCCATGCTTGTTGTAATAGGCAACTAACGGGATCAGGTGGTCAGGCTCGCTGACTTGGTTGACACATGTCATCGTATCCCAATTGCATAGATTGATGCTCATGATGTTGATCACTGGATTGTCTGTCCCAGACTCGATTATTTACAGACTGCTGCCATATAGCTGGAATATTGCTGAGTGCAGCTTTAAACAACAAACAAACTTAATCAAACATTTTGAGTTGTACATTTAAATCCTATCATCTAAACATTTGCAATGTGACAATTCTTGGAGATCAAGTGAAACAGGACACAGTTCACCAGCCTCTGTGACCTCCAGGACATGGTAGCCCAGTGTTAATATGACTCATACTGTTACTTTCAGCTGGGAGAGTTGCTGCAAGACATCCGGCGTCTGAACGTGGCCGTGACCCGAGCTAAACACAAGCTGATCCTCGTCGGGGACGTCGGGACTCTACGTCAGTTTGACCCTCTCCTCAAGGTCATCCAGACCATGGAACACGACAACCAAGTATCCTTTCACACACCGACAACTAATTTTGTCATTTGCAGTACAGAGTTACTTCCCTTAGTAGAGCTGGGATCTGGTGTTTTTCCTCCACACTGGCAACTGTCTCCGTAGTTTAATGGATACTGAATATCAATCCATTATCAATAAGGATCAGAGAAGTAACTTAGATTTAAAAAATGCCCAAAATTTTCGAAAGCATTCAACACAATTCACATCACTGGTGATTAGTGACATGTTTAGGTTTGGATTACTAATAAAACACCGTCCTGAACATAATCCTGACAGTTAGCATGTTTACGGTGAGGTGAGGTGAAATTGGGTTTTACGTCGTGCTTGAGAATATTTCGCTCATATGACACGACGTGCATGCGTGTGTATGTGTATGTGCGGCTGCTTGTACTAGCCCAGACTTAAGCTGGTTTTATAGTGCTAGCCCACTGAGATACCATGCCCCAGTGAAGCATGAATACCCCACTCAGACACATTATACTGACTCCGAGCCGACCAGTCCTTGTTGTACCCATTAATGCCGAGCGCCAGGCAGGGACCAACAAGTACCATATTTTAACGTCTTTTGGTATGACGGTCGGGGATCAAACCCGACCTTCCTGCATGGTTTACTCTGTCCACTCCTGACAGTCAGCATGTTTAAGGACAGGACGCTCTAACCACTACACCACGGAGACGGTCAGCATGTTTAAGGACAGGTCTAGTTCCTGCATGGTTGACATCTTGTTCCTTACCTCTACATTAGATCCTTGCCTTGCCCCCTGATGCCCACAGGTGACGTGCGGAGCAGCTACAGTGCTACGTCGGCCAAGTGAAGTGAAACGACAGTGCTTTGTGATCCTGTTTTGATAGCGAGTGTCTGCCGAGTGGAGTGAAACTAGTGCTGCATGATCGGCTTTGGGACATTGAACGTCAGCTGAGTGCCCAGGTGGTGCTGTAATAGTGACAGTGTTGTTGCCATAGTGATGACGAGTGGTACCGTCATCACTGTGGCCCTATGATATTAACTTCTACTTGTCTTCTATGTGTACCAAGAAGTGCTACTGACAGACATATTTACAATAAATAGGATGGCATTTGGAATTCAGTTTTTAAATATATTTATTTACTGAATTTTAATAAATTTTTAAATTGTCTTGCTTGTTTTATTGTTTGTACACATTAGTGCACATAAGTATCAGTGCATTGGTTTAAGTCAACTTGAAGACATAAAGCTTAATGGATGAGAACTTTCTGGACTGCAGCTTGATCCTCTTTCAGTTGGAATCAACACCGAATACGGAATAACGGGAGTTTCTTCTTATGAACTGTTTAAAACAAACTTCAATCACACCTGTCGACCAGCTTTTGGGTAATGTATTGAAACACCATATCTCATGACATCACCTTCTTCAGGAAGATCAGCAACTCATGCTTGTTGTAAGAGGCCACTAACGGGATCTTGTACTTCAAATTCTGTCTGTGGGTTCCAATCCCTGATTGTGGCATATAATTAACAAATAAAATCACACCATTGTCCAATAAAATGTTTATTCCAAATATTAAAATACACCCAGGAGCGTTCCTGCAGCCCACAGTATAACACATTCCCCTTCCACAAGCATCCTCCCCACAACATCGTCTCCCAAAGATGTCTCACAGGTGCTTGTCTGAGGCCCTTCACACCTCACCCCCACAACATCGCCCTTCACACCTCACCCCCACAACATCTCCCCAAGATGTTTTAAAGGTGTCTGAGGCCCTTCACACCTCCTCACAACAGATGTCTCCCACAACATCGCCTCACCTAGATGTCTCACAGGTGTCAGTTCTGTGACACCTGACCACATCGTCTCACAGGTGTCAGTTCTGTACACTGACCACATTACATTCTAACCAGGCTGCTGTTATGGCCTACGTATAGAATCTGGATCTGATTTCCATACACTAATTGTAGTTGCAATGAACAGTCATTGAACCAGCTCGATCGGGACCAACAAGTATGAAGCCATAGACTTTGAGAAGATAATTTTGCTCATTTTGGATGAAATTGACTTTGACCCAAAAATTCCAAATTGTCGAAGCTTCAGTTTCACATTCAGATCCAAATTCTATGGAAGCAATTATTTACATATAAGTTGATAATTCTAAACATTAGTATATGCTGTATAGTGTAACATTGACCTACAAAATCATGCCTGACATTAGCATCTTCTTTGGTTATCAAATATATACATATCTGTGTTCGGGGTGACAAAGAACATAAAGATAGAGAAGTAAAACAGGATGGATTTCCATCTGGAGCAGTGCAGGTCAAACAAGAAAATATTATACAGACATTTAGTGTTGAAACCTGTTTACATCATGCTTATTTCCCATTCTCCTGTTTGGAGCTTTAGTACAGCGTCTGTCATTCCCTTGGGTAAATGATCTTATAACACAGTTAGAAAGCAGTACATGCATGCAAGTGTCATCAGGTGATACAGATGTGTTACACAGATATATTGTGATATACGAACAACCACCACCATTTACACATCACCCTGACCTGGCCTTGTTACCCTTATCTGGTCATCACATGGACCTTCCACTTCAGGGAGGTCACTCAAGGTCATCACACTGCCCTTCTGCTGAAAGGAGGTCAAACGACATCACAGAGCCCTTCCACTGCAGGGAGGTCACTCAAGGTCATCACACATCACACTGCCCTCCTGCTGAAGGGAGGTCAACGACATCACAGAGCCCTTCCACTGCAGGAAGGTCACTGCACTGCCCTTCTGCTGAAAGGTCAAACGACATCACAGAGCCCTTCCACTGCAGGGAGGTCACTCAAGGTCATCACACTGCCCTCCTGCTGAAGGGAGGTCAAACGACATCACAGAGCCCTTCCACTGCAGGAAGGTCACTCAAGGTCATCACACTGCCCTCCTGCTGAAGGGAGGTCAAACGACATCACAGAGCCCTACCACTGCAGGAAGGTCACTCAAGGTCATCACACTGCCTTTCTGCTCAAGGGAGATCACTCTTGCTCTCAGCTGAAGTTATGGTAGATTGTACACAATATCTAATTGAGAACTTTGCCTCTTCTGCCCAGACAGCCATGGAACACTATCAATGTGATGACCAGCAAGATTAACACGACCACGCCGACAACCATCTCGACTCTGAACTTCTGAACCTTCAATCCTCCAACCCCCAATACCACCCATTATCAATGATACAGTAACCATGGTCCCAGTTATCAAATACATGAAAAATACAAAATAGCATCCTCCAGCTTCTCACATCAAGCACAAGTACGACCCACTTGACAACAGCTTTACATTCAGAATGAAGACGGCACCCTCAATATGGGAGGCTGAATGAATAGGTCTAATTCTGACAATTTCTAAATTCTAATACAGTGTTTCAACCATAGTAAGTATCCTAAAGTGAAGTAGAGTTAGGGCCACTCAAAAAATCGGTTTTATACAGTTTATACAAAAATATACCTGTAAAATATCTTCATAAATAAGATGGTAACTAGCTATAGCAGTGAGGCTCTGTGGCTCACCTATACACTGATGAATACATTTCTTCTTAGTGTCAATTTTGAAAGACTTAAAATGAAGAATTCTACAAATTTATATTAAAGACTGACTTTAGGGAATAGTTGCTAATATGTTTATAGGTTGTCAAAGGTGGCTAAAAAATTCATGCAATAATAATTGGCTAACAAAGCAATTTGTTTGCATTTGAATTAAAAACTACAAAATGTTTCTTTTAGCATTTATGTTTCCATGATCTTGTAAAGTTGACCATTATGAAACAGTAGTCTATGAACCTGTTACTGTTGATGTATTATCATGTAATAATTTCAATATATTTTTGCTTTCGTTGGAGTTCTAAATGTAAACACTGATGTGCACACACTGCAATGTGGGTTTACACAGTGAGCCCCAGTTTTACATTTATACATCCAAAATGCAAAAAATTGATGTCATTAAACATGTACACTTTCATATACATAAATAAAACGACTATCATGGACTCACGGTAGATTACCAGTAGTACCTATTATCTTGTTTATACACATATTTCAGATTTCTTGAATTTTCTAGAACGTGTAACATGTAAACAACACTTGAAAGTTAAAACAACGGACATCACGCCATGCCAAGCTCTCTCTGACCTTTGGCCGGAGGGCTGACATGGTATCTAGATTGGATAGATTTGTGTGTCTTGAAATGTGAAAATTCTACTTGTTACTTAGGGGCTGAAACATACACGTGTCCAGGGTTAGTGTTGATGGTGTACCCTTTGTCCACCATTTTTAACATATTACTAAAACCAAGTCGAAGAACATCCACAGTCGGAAGGGTAGTACTGCAGGACCAATCAGCCATTACAGCTTAAATATAGGGTTGGTTGTTTTAACTTCTTTTGAGTTGTATACAATGATAAAAGGGTAAAATTTAGGTAGACAATTTCTCTACATGTTTTTGAGTCGAAAAATACAGATAGAAAGTTATGGTTCATGAACATATGTCTGGATGTCTCGGATCAAGAGCTTTGACACGAGTCTGGACATTTGAATGTTTCAGCCCCTAATTGTCCTTGTCTGTTTTCTGATGAAGCAGTCTCTTGTATCTACTCTACGTTGCCATGGTTACTTCATTCAGTGGTTGTGACCAACGTGAAACTCCTTGTCTCCATGAACCTTCAGCATGTGCTCAGCGAACCTGGTAGAGGAAATACAGTGTCAGCACAATCTACAGACATCATCCTCACAAGTTTATCAACCCCTATACAAACACAGTCTCATACTCATATAGGGAAAGGCTTTGATATGACTGTCTTGATATAACTGTCTATTCAAGTTGTATACAATGGCGACCAAACTGAAGTACACGTAAAGATAAGGGTTAGAAATGATCTGCTGCAACTCATGCTTGTTCCAGCAGACGACAAATCAGAACAGGTGGTAAGACTCAGTGATTGGTTGATGCAAGTCATTGTATTCCAAATGTGTACACAAGGGGTGGAAATAACCCATTGCCCAATTCAATCAGTGTTTTTTCTGTCGGGCAAGCAAATTTGTACACTGTACCAGTGTCCAGTTGACTTTCCAATGTTAATTATGTTGTTTATTTGCAAAAAATCAGAACAAAACGGTCGGTATAGTGGAAAAATTATCAGGGCAAGTGACATTACAACACTGTGAGTACACTAGATAGTTTAAAGTTATTTCCATCCCTGGTACATTAATGCATAAATTCAATCAAATTCTGATCCACATTATTTACAGACTGTGTACAAGCGGGGAACATTTCACTGTGGCATTAAACAACCATGCAGAAACGTTCTGTTGTACATTGAACTGGGTATGATGCAGTACAAGCTGCATACAATAACTACAGCTGTAACACCATTGCAGAAAATCTAAAATGCTTCCAAATATGACAATATACTTGCACATTTAACAGAAATAATTTGACTGGAATTGTAGCAGTGAACTGATGGTGTATTGATGTATTGATAATGAAGGCTACACTGAAGGTAATGACTCAGACACAATCTGGTATCAAGTTGGGTGACTTACTTGTCATGGCAGTCTGATGGTGTATTGATGTATTGATAATGAAGGTTACACTGAAGGTAATGACTCAGACACAATATGGTATCAAGCTGGATGACTTACTTGTCATGGCAGTCCACGGCCAGGTCCCGCTTGCAGGACTCGGTGTGAGCGACCTTGTACAGGGCCTGGAACAGGAGAAACATGGTCTCAAGGTTTCAAAAATACAGGGTTTTCAAAAGCAGAATTGGAGCCGTGTTTCAAATAAGCTTGTGGAAGGTGGAATTTGTGTCAGAACGATAGTTTAAAATTCATTTGGCTCCTTGAGACATGGTTTAAAAAACTCAGGGTGGTAAAAAACAGAATTGGAGCCGTGTTTGAAATAAGCACCTACTCAGAGGCTCATTGCAGGAGGATTTTGTGTCAGAGTGATTCAAATTTATTTGACTCCTTATGGTCTGCAGTAAATGAATCAATTATATTTGTCAGGTTATTTGTCACAGAAGCTGCAGTTTTCCTACATGAAGAGTTTAGTGAAGGCCTTCAGTTTCAGTCTGCAGGTCCCAATGGCTGCCTGGTAACTGTCAAACACTGCAGTGGCAGGTGGGACACAACATTATATGGACATGGTGAGAGATGGTTCTGAATAGGAGTAGAGAGGCAGTATTGAGTGAGTGAGCGAGTTATTTTAGGTTTACACCACGTTTAGCAATTTTCCAGCAATATCACGGCGAGGGATACCAGAAATGGGCTTCACACATTGTACCCATGTGGGGAATCAAACCAGGGTCTTCAGCGTGACGAGCAAGCGGTTTAACCACAAGGCTACCCCACCACCCCAGAGGCAGTATTGAAGTGATTCATAGGATGAGAGACAGTGATGGGAATGGAGTAAAAGAGACAGAGTAGTGGTATTTGGAGAGAGGATGAAAGATCAAGGTCAAGGTCACACATACCAGGAAGACGAGGCAGTGCAGCATCAGCGTGTAGAAAAACGCGAAGGTGCGTGCCACCTTGTTCCCCATGATGAAGCGTCCCTGGAATCAAATTCATAAATTTAGTTTTTCAAGGTATGCAGCTATATAACAATGATCTAGTGGGTGAGTGAGTCTGGTTTTATGCCACTTTAAACATTATTCCAGTTGCATCATGGCATGTCAGTTTATGGGTTGGTTGGTTTCTTGATTAACGCCGCACTCAGCTATATTCCAGCTATATATCCAGCTGTAAATAATCGAGTCTGGACCAGACAATCCAATGATCTACTGCATGAGCATCAATCTACGCAATTAGGTGAGTGAGCGAGTGAGTGAGTTAATATTTATCATCACATCGGCAATATTTCAGCCATATCGTGACAAGAACAGTTTATAATTATATCTACGCAATTAGGATACGATGACATGTGTCAACCAAGTCAGTGAGCCTGACCACGCGATCCCGCTAGTCACCTTTTACGACAAGCATGGGTTACTGAAGACCAATTCTAACTAATGTTATCTTCACTGGTTATGCCATAACAGTATTCCAGCTGTATCATGGCATAGCAACTTGACATGGGAGGACAGCATGTACTGATGAAGGTTTCAGACATTTATCACTTCAGTGAAACCCATGGACACAGACATGGTGCTGACAAACCTAAACACATCATGGAAAGAGCAGTGTGCGAAATAGCCATTGGCCAGCTAGCCCGTGGCTGGTAAAATTACAGTCAGGGGAGTAAATCTCCACAGTCACTGGCCCGACTGGCTAGTGAATTTTCATGGGGTCATTTTTAATATATATCCCTTTCTCCAACTTGTTAACTTATAATACACTTTTAAATCATGCAAGATTATGGCCTGATAAAAATGTTCATCATATTAGCAGCTTAATGTTGAAACCCATGTCTTCATTTAAATTTCGGGCTAGTGAATAATTTTATGGGCTAGTAACTTTCAGGCATAGCTTGCCCGAATAATGTAATTTTTAGAGTAAAATTGATATTTTATACTTATCCTGACTCATGCTCTTTTGCTTTTGTCTTCTTCTTCTTGCTAACATAGTGGAACACTTGTATCTCCTTATTTGAAGCTCCCTTCAAAATAAAATCACTAATTGGTACTCACCACGAAGTTGCTCCCTTTGTCTCCCCTGATGGAAAGGTGTCGCCACCCTCTGGCCATGTGCTCCACTCTCTCCTGATTTAGCGAGCCCAACACTTGAATTTACAGGGAAATCCAAAGTGTTATGTGGGGAGGATGGGAGGGTTAATTTCATGAGTCAGGATAAGTATAAAATATCAATTTTACTCTAAAAATTACATATTTTTCCTTATCCTGACTCATGCTCTTTGTTTGTAGCATCCTAACGGAACGGAGGTGGGTAACAGAATACTTTGGATTTATAATTAGTGATTTTGTATAGATATACTGTAAATATCCCACACGGAACTTCATGAAGGCTTAGATTTAGGATGTTTCCTGTATAAAGAAAACCATAGGTTATATAAAGCCATTAAAGGGGAATTACATTATGAATATATTGAACAATACATATAAATTATATATATATATATAGGTGACTCTGATAGAGGCACTGAAATTGACTATACTGAAAGTATATGCTTAAGGTTGAATACTTAAGCTGAACATATATACATAGCCCTAAAACTCCGTAGAGTTATAAGCTAGATGAGTATGTATAAAATACATATTAATCTTGTGAGGATAATATTTTAACGCCTCTACGCAGGGACTGTCAGTTGCTGAGCGAGGACCAGTGGTCCGAAATGGTGAATGCCAGAGACATCTTCTGTAGTGATGTCTCTTAGGTAGTGATTAGCAAATACCATGTTAGATTTCCAATAGCATCCTTCCATAATCGTGGTTCAAGGAACAGTTACCGTAGGGCGAGGGTAGAGGCCAGTGCCCTGATCTCATGTGGATTTGATGCTGTTGGTGGGTCCAAGCCTGCTGCCTTGTAGGCACGGAGAATGACAGTCCTTATCCAAATAGATATTGTGGTCCGTGACACTTCTGTTTGATTCAGAGGCTTATAAGGGGATGAATAAACGCTTGAGAAATCTTCTCCTTTGTTTTGGATCGTCAGAATAAACTTTGAGCTCTTACCGGACACAGTGATAGGTCTTGTGTATCTTGTGATCCGAGAATAGAGGATAGCCGGATGTGGAATAATCTGTCTGGTTGACCTGGCAGTTGATTTTTGCGATGAAATCCCATCTTAACCGGAGGTGCGCTTGTGTTATGATTGTCATCAAACTGTATCCTCTCGTAATCCAGAGCGTGAATTTCAGACATTCTTGCTGCTGTGGCTAGCGATAGCAGAAACAGTGTTTTCTGTGAGAGAAATTCAAAGTTTGTCGATTCCAAAGGTTCATAGACCTCACTCGTGAGGTGTTGTAACACTACATTCAGATCCCAAGCTGGGCGTGGAACTTCCGCTTTGGTCCTCCAATCGAAAGCTCAGAGTAAGGCCAGTAACTCTGGAGATCTTGTCAATTTGACACCCGTTCTCATGGTGATTACAGAACTAAGCGCGGCAAGATATGTTGATATCGTTGAACCTTTTAAATGTTTGTTTTGGCGTAGGTAACACAAATAGTCTGCCACTTGAGGTTGTGAAGCCCTCTTGCTGTAAACCCTTTCTTTGTTGCATAATTTTCGAAACTGTGCCACTTGTCGTCGTACAAGTTACGAGTTGAGTAACGTAAGGCAAGCGTGACTGCTTTTGCCGCCCTGGCAGAATATCCTCTTGTTTAAACACATTTGTATACAGTCCATACGCAGTAGTTGGAACATTGCTGGGTTTCGCACTTGTTTGGTGTGAGGATGAATTAACAGGTTTGCGCGCTTGGGTAGCTCCAGTGTTGGTTGACCGATTTCTTGAATTAGTATGGGAAACCACGTTCTGGCCGGCCAGTAGGGCGCGACCAAAGTGAGTTGTAGGCTCTGTGTTTGTCTGATTTTCTGTAATACTTGAGGTATTATTGCTGGCGGCGGAAACGCTGCGACGCATTGAGGCCTTCCCATGATAGACTTAGAGCGCCCGCTGCCCAAGCTTGGGGGTCTGGGACTGGTGACACGTAATGTCGGTAGCTGATTGTTGAATCGCGCGGGCTTAATAGGTCTATTAGCGGCGCCCTAATTGCTTGATTATCTGTGCAAAATTTCCTGTTGATCATCCACTCTGTCGGTGATGGTAGATGAGGCCGAGAGAGCGCCTGCTAGTATATTTCTGGCTCCGGAATGTGCACTGCTCTGACATGTAGATTTAGATCTTGTATTAAATCAACAGTTGAAAGCTTAGGTTCAAAAGGTTCATCGATCTCGCTGAGCCTTGCTTGTTTATGTAGAACGCCACTGTCGAATTGTCTGTATGGATCATTAGGCCGCGATTTTGTAGAAATGTGCTCCAAATGTAGAATGGCGCTGATTACAGCTTTCATTTCTAGACTGTTTATATGGAGTTTGCATTCTTGCTGATTCCATAACCCTGATATCGCGGTGGTTGGTGAGATGAGCTCCCCAACCTTGGAGTGACGCTGGCCTACATACAGATGGGTTTTGTATTCCTGCTCTGCTAAACAAATCCCTTCGCAGACATTCGATTTCTTGGTCCACCATAGTAGATGCGGTCTGAGATGTTTCGTAGACTGAATGGTTGTACATCGCTGAGATGTGCGCTGATGAGGACCTGTAGGGGACGAACTGTAATCTGCCTGTGACAGTCATGTCTTGGGCTGATGTGAGAAGACCTAGTAGGCTCTGCCATTGTCGCAGTGGTAACGGAGAGAGTAGAGCTGGTGGAATGGTCTGCTGTATCTTGAGCCAACGGTCTTCTGGTACCATAATACGGTTGCGATTTGTGATGAATCGAATACCTAGGAACTGCAGGTCTTGGCGATGGTACTAGGTCCGACTTATGTAAGTTTACTAACCAACCTAGTTGTGTTAGTAGCTTTATGATGTAATTTAACTGTAGTTTGAGACGCAGTGGATCTTGATCTACTTGTATCCCGTCGTCGAGGTAAAACGACTGGCGAGCCCTTGACGATGTAGAAATTTGATAATCGGTTTCGTTATCCTCGTGGAATAGCCAGGGGCTGATGATATTCAATGGGAGTACTTTCCACTGGTAATGTAGCCCTTCTAGAGTAAATCGTAGGTATTTCCTGGAATCGGGATGAATGGGGATGCAGGTAGGCATCCTGTAGATCTATGCTGCCCATGTAGTCCATAGGACTAATCATCTGGCTTAACTGAGGTAAATGTATCATGCTAAACTTCGTGGTTTGCGAGATAGTTCTTGCTGAAAAAGCTCATGTTGTAGATGAGTCTGTATTTCTCCGCGGAGTTTTTCTTGGGAACTAGGAAAACTGGGGAGTAGAAACCTGGTTCGACGCTTGTTTGATCTATTACTTCTATGGCCTGTTTGGATAGGAGTGATGAAACAGCCTCTTATCTTTGGTAGTTGTTGCGCTTTGTAAATCGAACTTGGGGGTTTGATTGTCAGCGGAGGCTTGGCCTGTAGAGGGATACTTAAACTGCGGTTGAAGAATGTTGGAGACGTAAGGGTCTTGCAATATTCCCCAGTTTTCCCAGTGTAGTTGGAGGCGCCCACCCACTTGAGCTGGCTGTACTGGAACGGCTGGGGTGGAAGACTCCAGTCGCTCCAACCTGTGTTTCAGCTGCCTATAATTGCGGAACCTCTGGGTGTCCTGCCTCTTCCTGATCCTCCTCTATAGTTGCCATATGGGCTTAATTTAAAAGAATCTTTACCTCTAGAGCTGGCTATCTTCCTGTCTCTTGCTCTTTGTAGGCCCGTGAACTTAGATCTGCCTGAGTATCTTTGTGAAGTCTGACTAATGACGCTGGCTAGTGTGTCCATCGATCTAATCATAAGGACTTCCCTGGAATCCTTAGAGACTTCCTTGGCGACTTTGTCGATTTCTCCGCCAAAGATGGATGTTGTCGATTCACGGGCTGTATAAAGTGGGCTGTAAAGTTCTCCCCCAATTACAGGAGGCGCAGGAGGCCTTGACGACGAAGCTAAGGTCAGTGCTGCTGAAACAGATGTAAGATGATCCGCTAAAAACTGCTGATCTTTCTTTGCATAAGTAAGGCAGAATAAATCATTCTATCATCTTCCGCCGTGGAATCCCCGAATCTAGTAATAAGAGTCTCATTGATCGCCCTAGATCTATTTAACCCAAAGAACATACGCCTCGGCCATGGTTTCTATATGAGCCAACCTATGCATCATCCATCTTGTAAATCTTGTTCTTTACATCGCTGATGATCTTATAGTTCTCATCGATGTCCTGGGCCTTGTAGAAGGAGTCCATGTTATGCGTGGAGAACTTCTTGGCTTGAAAGTTGGGCAGATGTGGTATCTGAACTTTCGTGAGCTTCTGGAAAGCTGCATCTAGATTCTGTGGCACTGCCGCAATCGGGTCGATCGGGGTAGAGTGATTGCATCTGATCATCTTCCTTCATCAAATACGCCTGGCGCTTGTATTGCCACTTTTAGATGGTGATGTGAGATCTAGGTTATTGACCATCCAATACCGTGATTCTGCATCAGAAAATATGATTCCTCCATCATCCTCAAACCATCATCATTAACAAATTGTAGATGCTCTTCGACTGGCGCGGTAGCTGTCTGTATATCTGATGAGGTTTGTGGCGCATCTAGTTGACTTGTGCCGCTTCTATGTGGAGATCTGACGGGTGATCGCCTGGTGATGAACGGCGGAGATCGCCTATGGATGATCTTCTCGAGACTTGTGAGGTGAATGTTGATAGCTTCGCAAGCTCTTCGCAGTCCCTCGATGTTCTTCTAGATGATGAGGATCTGAATCATATGTCCTTCGCTAATGCCTTCGCTAAGCTTCATTTGCGCCCGTCCGGGGATCGATGATATGACCTTCGCAAGGCCTCCGCGGATGTCTGATGGTCTGAGTCCATATCTAGAGATGAAATCGAAGATGGTGATGATCTCTCCCGCCGCTAAGGCCTTCGAAGGCTGTACATCTAGGTCCTTCGGCCAAGGTGGTGCGGACTTCCTTCGCTAAGGTGACATCGCCTTGGCTGCTACGCTGCTGACGGGGTGCCTCTGGGTGTTGTTCACGCTGGAGCCTTCGCGGCGGGTTTCGACTTTCGCTTTGCGCAGTTTGTAGTGGTCCTCCATGATGTTCATAAACTGCCGATCATGTCTTCTGGGATGATTCAGACGAAGTCGCCGGGCGCCTTTTCTGCGATGGGGTTCACATCAATGACGCCTGACGCCGGGTGTAGAGGCATCAGGCTGCATGGTGATCTCTGCAGAAGTCACAGTCGCTGACACCGGGTCGCTTCTTCTGCCGTAAGTCGGGATGATTATCGGCTGATCATCGAGAGGCCCAATTCTGCTGCTGGAACGATCTCGCTGAGAAAGTTCTTGCTGTCTTCGAGATTTCCCTTTGGAAGTCTGGCGCTGCCCTGGGTGTCCTCAATCTGCTTGAGACGACGATGAGGCCCTCTTAGACTTGGTCTGCAATGACGGATGTCTGGGGAGGCCGGTCGCTTCTTCGAGGTAACGGACTGCGCCCCACGCCTCTGCCGCAGGGGTCTCTAGCAGAACACCAGACGGAGAGGGTCGATCGCTAGCAGCTGACTGGATGGAATATCTGGACTCTCTGCCATGTTTTGCCCTTTGTTTGCATGGATCTATCTGCAGCACGCCTTAAGACGCAAAGATGATATTTATTAAATGCAGAATGAGATAAATTAATGCAGTAACTGCAACGGAATTAAACGCACACGGGCGAGAACAACTAGGGCATATTACATGTGGATCGGAGGCAGAAAACGTAATCTACAAATCGCACAGATTTTCATCAACGTAAAGTTAGCTGAACAATCACTAATACACGGAATAAACAGTAGAAATACGATAATTAATCAATACAAATAGTAAAGGATACTAGCTATACCTCTATAGTAACCTATGAGAGGTAAAACTAAGAGATTATCAAAGGATATGGTGTGTAAGGAGACACAAGGCGCCTCACATCCTGCTCACTGGGCTTAAGAAGGAGAGAGTGAAGCACATGGCCAGAGGGTGGCTTACACCCTTCCGCCAGGGGAGACAAAGGGAGCAACTCGTACCGTGGTGAGTACCAATTAGTGATTTTATTTTGAAGGAGCTTCAAATAAGGAGATACAAGTGTTCCACTATGTTCGCAAGAAGAAGAAGACAAGCAAAAGAGCATGAGTCAGGATAAGGAAAAATACTACTAAACATGAGATTGTGAGTGAGTTTAGTTTTATGCAAATGGATGGGTTGGTTCTGACATTGAAACAGTGGTACTCACACTAGTTGGGTAACTCTGCAGGAAGCCGGATCTTCTCATACAGCTTGACATTGTCTGATCGCATTGTCAATCTCATTCTGGAGCAGACTGACCTGCTGCTGCTGGCTCAGGGTTTGCTGTTTGTCAATCTCACATCAACTCTGGAGCAGACTTGACCTGCAGCCTTCAAGGATAATCTTCTGCAAGATAACTCTGATGGCAGCTGGCTCAGGGATAACTCTGATGGCAACCTTGATAACTCTGATGGCAGCCTTCAGATAAAGGCAGCCTGAGGGCAATGAACATCCACATCAACTCTGATGGCAGCCTTCAGGATAACTCTGATGGCAGCCTTCAGGATAATTCTGGCAGCCTTCAAGTAACTCTGATAACTCTGATGGGCAACCTGATGGCAGGATAACTCTGATGGCAGCCTTCAGGATAACTCTGATGGCAGCCTTCAAGGATAACTCTGATGGCAACCTTCAGGATAACTCTGATGGCAGGCAACCTTCATGGATAACTCTGATGGCAGCCTTCAAGGATAACTCTGATGGCAGCCTTCAGGATAACTCTGATGGCAACCTTCAGGGATAACTCTGATGGCAGCCTTCAGGGATAACTCTGGCAGCCCATGATATCAGGATAACTCTGATGGCAACCTTCAGGATAACTCTGATGGCAGCCTTCAAGATAACTCTGATGGCAACCTTCAAGATAACTCTGATGGCAGCCTTCAAGGATAACTCTGATGGCAGCCTTCAGGATAACTCTGATGGCAACCTTCAGGATAACTCTGATGGCAGCCTTCAAGATAACTCTGATGGCAGCCTTCAAGATAACTCTGATGGCAACCTTCAGGATAACTCTGATGGCAGCCTTCTGGATAACTCTGATGGCAGCGTTATGTCCCAAAGGAAATATTTGTTCAGTTTGCGTGAGGTTTACTATGGGAGACCTGATAATAGAAGCATTCTTTCATGGTCAAAAAGGGTATGCTTTAAGGCCGCTTTCAGCAATATTCCAGGATTATCACCGCAAGGGATACAAGAAATAAGTCTCACACATAGTACCCATGTGGGGAATCGAACCAGGTCTTAAGCATGTTGAGCAAACACTTTAACCAAAAGACTACCCCATTGCCCCTGCAGTGTAACATGACTTGATAACCAGAAAGACTGACTGAGTTTAGTTTGAACTACGCCGCCCATTGCCCCTGAACAAGTAAAGTGTATACATGACTTGATACACTGTTTCAGAAGGAGCAATGATGTAACAACTACCATGGAGTGGTCATTACTTGTTATTGAGCTAAATCATCAGACAATCTAAGACACACACAGTTGGTTGGTCAACTCACGGCTTCCAGTTCCTGAGCCCGGATTCGGTACCGCTCTCGCTGACTCTGGACGATAGGCAGCAGGGAGCCAGCGGCAGACTGGGAGCCATCTGTTGTTGTTCCTGAGACATCAAACACTGATATTACCATCTACACAAATAATAACTCCTGGCGAGGTCATTTGCAAAAACAAAGACCCTTGCACCTGATGCCAGAGTTAATCTTGTCCAGACCATGACGCTTTCTAGCAATTGTTTGATTAGTTGGGTTGTTGTTTAACGCCACACTCAGCAATATTCCAGCTACATGTCAGCAGTCTGTAAATATTTGAGTCTGGACCAGACAATCTAGTGATCAACAGCATGAGCATCGATCTACGCAATTGGGATACGATGACATGTGTCAACCAAGCCAGTGAGCCTGACCACCCGAACCAGTTAGTCACCTCTTACAACAAGCATGGGTTGCTGAACACCAATTCTATCCCAGATCTTCACAGGTTTCTAGCAGAGGAAGTCAACAGAGATCAATAGAAGATATATAGGACTCATCCTGACAAGTTTATCTACACCTATACAAACACTCAATCAGATGATCACATAGGAAAAGGCTGGCATTATAACCAGGAGGACTGTATATCAGTTAATTCAAATGGAACCATCAAACAGCCAGTACTATCAGTTAACATCAAGATGTTCGGAAGGGATTAGCTGTTGTGTACCTGGTGGGATGACATCTTTCATGACCTCTGCCATGACCTCAGTCCCTGGGTCCGTGTGTTGGGATGGTCCTGGTTCTCCCTGGAAACAGACAATGTGAAATATTCAACAGAAGACACTCACTCATGCACTTTGGGCCATCTTAGTCCAGGATGGTTCAACATTGATCCGGACTCGACTGGTAACCAGGCAACGTAAACTATGCAACATAGAGGGATCATTCCTTCACTCCATCTTGGTCACTGGGTTCTTAAATGACATTACTTGAAATCTCATGGAACCTGATACATGACATGATGGGACATTTCTCTGGGACATCCACTGAGTATGACTTAAAAGAACAACTTTACCACAACATCATGGAAGTCCATGGAACAGTGAGGAGAAGTCATGTCATAGGGACATTAAGCACATGGGAGGATGTTACCTCAGCATCTGAGACTGGACAAGATGCTAAATGAGGGGATATTACCCTGGCATCTCCCTTAAAGATGAACATGAGGGAGAAAGTATTTCATGGGGATGGTACCTCAGTATCTCCCTGGAATATTTATGGAGATGATGGGGACATTACTTCCATGCAACAAGGAGGACAAGGAATTTCACTGAGCAATGGGGACGATGGAGACATTACCTCTGCATCTCCACTGAACAAGGACAAGGTATTTTACTGGGACAATGGAGACATTACCTCCGCATCTCCATGGAACATGGACAAGGTATTTTACTGGGACAATGGAGACATTACCTCTGCATCTCCACGGAACATGGACAAGATATTTTACTGGGACAATGGAGACATTACCTCTGCATCTCCACGGGACATAGAGGTCCAGGTATTTTACTGGGACAATGGAGACATTACCTCTGCATCTCCACGGAACATGGAGGTCCAGGTATTTTACTGAGATGACAGGGACATTACCTCTGCATCTCCACGGAACATGGAGGTCCAGGTATTTTACTGAGATGACAGGGACATTACCTCTGCATCTCCACGGAACATGGAGGTCCAGGTATTTTACTGAGATGACAGGGACATTACCTCTGCATCTCCACGGAACATTGAGGTCAAGGTATTTTACTGAGATGACAGGGACATTACCTCTGCATCTCCACGGAACATGGAGGACAGGGCGTTGACACTGCGGAGGTCCTCCTCCAGCTGGGTGATGAGGAACTTCTGTTCCTGGACCGTCCCGGCCGCCTCCATGTACACCACCTGGAGCTTGCTGAGCTGATCTGTGGCAGGAGAAGAGGCAAATCACATCTCTACACTGGACCCAAACACGCACATTTCTTACAAGTTTACAGGTTCCTGACTCCAAATGTAACTAGTGGAGAATAATTGAAACATTTAGATCTTTTTTTTATCCATGCTGTGTCTGTTAATTTTAATTTTAACAATAAGAGTTGTAGTATATGTGATGACGTAATTCTGTAACTTGTTTCAACAAATCTCTTAGTTGTATTTCACATTTACTCATTTTATAAGACTGAGAAAACTTGTAAGAGATATCCTACCCCAAAGCTGTTTTTAAATTAAAATTTTGACAAAAATCTGTCACCACAGTCACAGACAAGGAGCCATATTTCTAAGAAGAAACCAAATACTCAGAGATCGTGTAAAGGAGAACAACCAAATAACCAATGAAACAAAGGTGACACCGTGAACACATGAGTGACTTCACTAGGTAAACTAACACACACGAGATCAACCTTTTGGTTGGATGAATAGACACCTTGATCTAATCCTTGGCCAGTTGATGAGGGCTGGAAGAGATAATATAATTGAGAAGTTCTCCCTTGTACTGAGGATAATATGGTCACTGTTCACGTCCACTTGCACAGGGTTGAAAGACGACATTTGTCTTTTCTTGGAAAATATCATGATTCACCGGTATCTTAAAAACAGTTCTTGTTAGTTGTGATATTTTGTCATATGCGTCATATGTGCACATATCACTTTGTTTCTGTATTTTGTCGTCTGTGACGTTAGTAACAATTGAACGTGACGTCAGTGAAGAGGGCTGTCACACTTGCTTTCAGTGTTTTACTACAGACATATACATGAATAAAATGGATAATACAGAAATTATTACATTCGAGCAAGTGTGTCATATGATATGATACACTTTCCCCTTGTATTTCATGAGAATATGGTATTTATATAGCACCTTCCCACTGTATTTCATGAGAATATGGTATTTGTATAGCACTTTCCCATTGTATTGCATCAGAATATGGTATTTGTATAGCGCACTTTCCCCTTCAATTTCATGAAATTATGGTATTTGCATAGCACACTTTCCCCTTGTATTTCATGAGAATATGGTATTTATATAGCACCTTCACACTGTATTTCATGAGAATATGGTATTTATATAGCACTTTCCCCTTGTATTTCATGAGAATATGGTATTTGTATAGCACACTTCCCCCTTGTATTTAGTGAGAATATGGTATTTATATAGCACCTTCCCACTGTATTTCATGAGAATATGGTATTTGTATAGCACTTTCCCATTGTATTGCATCAGAATATGGTATTTGCATAGCACACTTTCCCATTGTATTTCATTAGAATATGGTATTTGTATAGCACTTTCCCACTGTATTTCATGAAAATATGGTATTGTATAGCGCACTTTCCCCTTGTATTTCATGAAATTATGGTATTTGTATAGTGCACTTTCCCCTTGTATTTCATGAGAATATGGTATTTATATAGCACTTTCACACTGTATTTCATGAGAATATGGTATTTGTATAGCACTTTCCCACTGTATTTTATGAGATTATGGTATTTGTGTAGCACTTTCCCATTGTATTTCATGAGAATATGGTATTTATATAGCACCTTCCCACTGTATTTCATGAGAATATGGTATTTGTATGGCACTTTCCCATTGTATTGCATCAGAATATGGTATTTGCATAGCACACTTTCCCATTGTATTTCATTAGAATATGGCATTTGCATAGCACTTTCCCAATGTATTTCATGAAAATATGCTATTTGTATAGCGCACTTTCCCCTTCAATTTCATGGAATTATGGTATTTGCATAGCACACTTTCCCCTTGTATTTCATGAGAATATGGTATTTATATAGCACCTTCACACTGTATTTCATGAGAATATGGTATTTATATAGCACTTTCCCATTGTATTTCATGAGAATATGGTATTTGTATAGCACACTTCCCCCTTGTATTTCATGAGAATATGGTATTTATATAGCACCTTCCCACTGTATTTCATGAGAATATGGTATTTGTATAGCACTTTCCCATTGTATTGCATCAGAATATGGTATTTGTATAGCACTTTCCCACTGTATTTCATGAAAATATGGTATTTGTATAGTGCACTTTCCCCTTCAATTTCATGAAATTATGGTATTTGTATAGAGCACTTTCCCCTTGTATTTCATGAGAATATGGTATTTGTATAGCACTTTCACCTTGTATTTCATGAGAATATGGTATTTGTATAGCACTTTCCCACTTATTTCATGAGAATATGGTATTTGTGTAGCACTTTCCCATTGTATTTCGTGAGAATATGGTATTTATATAGCACCTTCCCACTGTATTTCATGAGAATATGGCATTTGTATAGCACTTTCCCATTGTATTGCATCAGAATATGGTATTTACATAGCAAACTTTCCCCTTGTATTTCATTAGAATATGGTATTTGTATAGCACTTTCCCACTGTATTTCATGAAAATATGGTATTTGTATAGAGCACTTTCCCCTTGTATTTCATGAAAATATGGTATTTGTATAGCACTTTCCCACTGTATTTCATGAGAATATGGTATTTGTATAGCACTTTCACCTTGTATTTCATGAGAATATGGTATTTGTATAGCACTTTCCCACTGTATTTCATGAGAATATGGTATTTGTGTAGCACTTTCCCATTGTATTTCTTGAGAATATGGTATTTGTATAGCACTTTCCCACTGTATTTCATGAAAATATGGTATTTGTATAGAGCACTTTCCCCTTGTATTTCATGAAATTATGGTATTTGTATAGCACTTTCCCTTGTATTTCATGAGAATATGGTATTTGTATAGCACTTTCACCTTGTATTTCATGAGAATATGGTATTTGTATAGCACTTTCCCACTGTATTTCATGAGAATATGGTATTTGTATAGCACTTTCCCACTGTATTTCATGAGAATATGGTATTTGTATAGCACTTTCACCTTGTATTTCATGAAAATATGGTATTTATATAGCACCTTCCCACTGTATTTCATGAGAATATGGCATTTGTATAGCACTTTCCAATTGTATTGCATCAGAATATGGTATTTACATAGCAAACTTTCCCCTTGTATTTCATTAGAATATGGTATTTGTATAGCACTTTCCCACTGTATTTCATGAAAATATGGTATTTGTATAGCACACTTCCCCTTGTATTTCATGAGAATATGATATTTGTATGGGTCACTTTCCTCATGTATGTCAAGAATATTTTAAAAAGTGCGTCTTGAGTTTTGATTTGAATCCAGAGAGAGTAGGGAATATATATGCATTGTATTGCACACTTTCCCATTGTATTCCATGATAAAGTAATGTTTGTATTGCACAGTTTCCTCTTGTATTTCATGATAATGTCATATTTGTATAGCACTTTCCCTTGCCCTTGTATTTCATGAGCATATGGTTTTTGTGTAGCACACTTTCCCCTTGCATTTCATGAGAATATATTTGTATAGCTCACTTTCCTCTTGTATTTCATGAGAAAGTGGTTTTTGTAATACACGCTTTCCCCTTGTATTTCATGAGAATATGGTATTTGTATTGCACACTTTCCCCAACATATTTCAGGAAGTGATATTTGTATTGCACACTTTCTCCTTTTACTTCATGAGAAAGTGATGTTTGTATTGCAAACTTTCCCACTGTACAAATAAAAGAAAGCAATATTTTGGATTATGCACGTTTTCCCCTGTATTTTGTCCAAAGCTCATAGTGATCTATATATTTGTCCTAAGCGACACTTGTAATGTGCACTTGTCCCCTAGTTTGATGTAAGGCAGTATTGATATTACACACTTTCCCTTGTATTTTGTCATCAGGAGAATGCTTGTATAGAGGCCAACTTTCCTTGTACTTGAAGGAAAATTATGATACTTGAATCTGACCCTTTCCCCAAGTAGGCTGATACGAGAAAATATTTTGCTCATATTTTCCTCATGTTAAGATAGTTGTGTTATAAAGTGTAATGCACTCTTTCCTTTGAATAATTTTGACTGAAAAATGAGGTATGGACATGGACTTTCTAGTGTATGGTCAATACAACAAGTGTAGAAGTGAGCACAGCTCACATACCCCCGCTTCACACTTTGGGACATGGAAATGACTGATATTGATATATATAATGTGACATGGATCAGCAGCTCACAAGACTTTCTCCTTGACTCTACTAAACTTTATATACATGTTAGATAATAGTTTTGCCATGTACTGATTACAGTAATAATTTATGGAAACATTATTTTTTTTTTTTTTTCCGTGGAAACCTGACAAACAATTGAACTTGACTGTCTCATGTTGCACACAATGAAGTGGACCTGGATGAAGATTGTTATTTTTTAGCACATGGCATATCTGTGGGTCATGATTAACTTGTGTATTAAGTTTGGTGAACCTAGCATGTATAGTTTCGATGATATGCTGTGGCCAGGTAACCATCAAACACATTTTGCACCAAGTCATGTTTCCATGGAAACAACAACAAAACAAATTCTGAAAAAAATTTAAAATAGCAAAAGGCACATCAATGGGTAATGATTAACATGTGTGTGAAGTTTGGTGAACCTAGCATGTAAACTTTAAGAGATATGCTCCGGACAAAACCATCAAACACATTTGGCACTAAGTCTTGTTTCCATGGAAACAGCAAGAAAACAAAATTCAGAAAAAACTTCGTAGCAGGGGTATAATAAAAGGAAATGTTTGGATGTTGCACTTTTCCCCTATCAGGTTGACATGACTATGCGACATGACCGAAAGAACATGCCACAAAATAACCATAATCATGAGAATCTAATTTATTTCATCAGCATTGTAGATGTGAGTGAATCAATAAGGAAGCATAGATAATGTCTTGTTTATTGCATAGAGCGATGTTTCAGTGTCGATTTTTACACCATTATTATTTTCATGACAATGAACGCAAACACCAAAGATACACCAAAACAAACATGTTGAATAGTCTTGCATATATGTTTATTAACATATTTTGAAGCACCTAGGAAAAGTATATAAATGCACTTGAAGAATTGAAGACTAGATAATATTTAACATGTAACATTGTGCAGTAGAGGTGTAACCCCAGAACTGCACAGGCAAACTCAACTCTTTTCAAGTGAGGTGATCAACCTATGTAACAACGAATAACAACGTTGTGCTACATGCAACAATGTATAACAACGTTGTCCTAGTCCTTGGATAGCTGTGGAGCATATTATCGAGTTAATTACTATTGGGATATACAGTTACATGGTCAGTGTATGGGATAACATTTGATATCAGACCCTTCTCCTGCCTGTGATTAGTGGTAGATGTTTATAACGACAAGCTTTCGGTACTAAATAGCTTAACCAAACACGGTGAGAGAAAATCAACCAAGGGCTGAAAGGGAGTGTTACAATACCCAGTTCTGCATAAGTTGATAATAGGAAATATCTTAAAAAATACATTGTACAAATAACAAATACATGGTAAAAAGATTATCATAAAGATGGTACAGAAGGTGGTGCATTCATGAATACAGTGTACTGTTCAATAGCAAACACCACACTGAGATATACGAGATATATCTACCACTGGACTTAAACACTAAAGCCTAAACCAGGGTGTTAAAAGGCAGCACTTTTGCATTTTATTGGTTTACAGATTCGACTAACCAGAGTGAGTAAGTATGGTTTAGTGCTGCTTTTAGCAAATTCCCACAATATATTTGGAAATCAGAAATGAGCTAAATCGACTAACCAGAGAAACAATCTGAAAATTTAATCAAAATGAGTTTCGATTTTAATTTTTATTTAACGAAATGATATATTTTGGACTGAATAGAAAATTGAAAAGCTGTAACTACAAAGATTCAGACTGTAATTCAATTTGAAAGTTTTGAATGATATTTGAGTAAATGTATCAAACACCGTCCCTGGCAAATGTAAACGTCTTATAAAGAGACCATTGCCTTCTCAGGTGTAAACACATTTGCTTGGACTGACTGACTGAGTTTAGTTTTACGCCGCACATTTGCTTGGAAAAATGCTTATCATGAAAATGTGTAAGCAGTTATCTTTTCCATTAATTCAAACAACCCAAAACATTTTATATAATACTAAAGAAATAAAAGCAGCATTAAATACCAAAATTATGGCGGCATATATATCTGCTATGTTTTTTATCTTGACAGACTCCACCTGCTTGGTCAAAACAAATCTGTAAACCATAAAACCAAGAACACAAGTCCTGACATAACACAGCGCCCTCTTTGTCTTCAGAGGCAGCCCTCATTTGGCTGGCTACTCAGTGCTAATACACTATCTTATAGCAAAAAGAAGGAAAAAACATCTTTGGTACAAATGATATACATTGCATTTGGTATTTTGCATTTGAAGGATTTTATTGAGAAATATGCACAATGATGACAATATGTTGAATGAGGTGTGTTGTCATGTGATCTGTGACGAAGTGCAAATGTGGCCAGCGAGACTGCTGTTGCAATGGCAACCAGAATGAGGCGCTGATGCTGGCCACCTCCAACTTACATTCTAGCAGTAGATATGTAGGGAGTACCTGCAAAATGTCTGTTACAACTAAAAATACATTATTTTGAATCATGATTGCATAAAATATATCTCAACTAGATTACGTTTATAATGGGAAATGCAAGAACGATGTTGCGCCAGTTTATAAACCAACGCTAAAAAAAGGATAATTTTTGCACTGAGATAACTCAACTGATAAATGCTAACAAATAAAATATAAAAGCATCAAATCTAAAATGTGTCTGTTTATGATTTCATGATGTATATTTGTTATGAGGGAGGAACATGGTGTGATTATTCCTTCTTCCACCCTATCCCCCCACCCTGAAGTGGCACCACACTATCTGATGAGATAATGTTACGGCCCACCGCTGTACTATGAGAGGGGTCGGCAGTCCGGTACCGTCTACAACTACAACTCAAGCTCTGCGTAATTGGGTACATTGATACATACAAAGATATAATAAACTCTATATCTGAATATAACTCTCCGTTTCTATGTACAATACTATTGGCAGTCTACAAGCTCAAGCAAATACTCAGTGTAGCAGGCCTACATTCTGGTACAACTCAAAGCAACATAATTAACATACACTTTGACAGATAATGGATTGTCTTATACATTTTGATTATATTGTCAATTGCACAATAATAAAATAACATAAACAACTAGCTGGCTGCACTAGTCCCCTCTCGTCTACAGCTACTGTACATTGCGTCCCCCTACCCTTCTGTCGTTGCAACGTCCCATTTCAAAATCACACCACTTTTCCAAATCCACTCAGGAACAGTTCCCCCTTTGCCCGCCCACACCCAGCTTGTACCTCCCCCATTTCAAGTTGCACCTCCCATTCCAAGTTGCACCTCCCATTCCAAGTTGCACCTCCCCCCAAGCTGTACCTTCCCATACACCCAAGTTGCACCGCCCCCCTGCCATGTTTTGTCCTAATATCAATGAAAGTGCCACCTGTTGTCAGTACAGTGCCAAGCAAGAACAAGTCACCTCTACATGTCTCCATAGACAATCTAATAACGCTAAAACCTTGACTATTTGTAACAAATTAGCTTCAAACAAAATCAAGCAAAAGTTCAAACAGGTAGGGATGTTGAGAAAAACAAGATATAACAAAAACACCTGGATCTGCATTCACGGCAAACTAAGGACAACAACTATGATGTGTGTTCCAGGAGTGATGTACACACCTACACACCTAAACCAGGTTCAATACAAATCACTGTACTGCCATTCCAACTATACTGTAGCACCACGATTCCATGATCGCACCTCCCAACACTCTCAAAGCCATCATATGTCATCAAAACCCCTGCCTATTGAGATGAACTGTATCCTGATATACGTTACTCCCAGTGATACCCCAGATAACCTAGATCATCACTACCCCGGGAGAATCCTGCACCCCGCCCATTAGATAGTCACTACCCCAGGAGAATCCTGCACCCCGCCAACTAGATCGTCACTACCCCAGGAGAATCCTGCACCCCACCCAAAAGATCATCACTATCCCAGGAGAAACCTGCACCTCGCCCACTAGATCGTCACTACCCCAGGAGAATCCTGCACCCCACCCATTAGATAGTCACTACCCCAGGAGAATCCTGCACCCCACCCATTAGATAGTCACTACCCCAGGAGAAACCTGCACCCCTGGAGTCACTACCCCTGGAGAAACCTGCACCCCGCCCACTAGATCGTCACTACCCCTGGAGAAACCTGCACCCCGCCCACTAGATTGTCACTACCCCAGGAGAAACCTGTACCCTGCTGGCTAGATCGTCACTACCCCAGGAGAAACCTGTACCCTGCTGGCTAGATCATCACTACGCCAGGAGAATCCTGCACCCTGCCCACTAGATGTCACTACCCCAGAAGAAATCTGCACCCTAACCACCAGAAGAGCACTCATCCTGTATGCTGCCCATTAATCACAGCACTATGTGGTGGTCACACCCAATGGGCTGTGATGGAGTTAGGTCAGTCCCTTGTCATAACCACCAGAAGAGCACAGTACCCTGTTGATGAAAAAAGATCCCATGGCACCCTCCCCACTAGACGAAAGCTGCACCCTCCCCACTAGACGAAAGCTGCACCCTCCCCACTAGACGAAAGCTGCACCCTCCCCACTAGACAAAAAGCTGCACCCTCCCACTCAGAAAGCACCCTCCCCACTAGCCTAAACACTAGACAAAAGCTGCACCTGAGAATAACCAGCTGCTCCCTCCCCACCCAGTCTAAACAGAGACCTGAGAATAACCATGCCTTGCACATAACCCCAGAAGAGATCTACCCTGCTATAACTAAGATCCCCCTGTACCTAACCCACCCACTCCATCTCATCACAACACATCTCATCACGTCCTACCAATAGCACCAATCAAAAATGTAACTTGTTCCTACTTAGCACTGTACAATGATCCCATATTGTACTGACAGCACTGTACAATGATCTTATATTGTACTGACAGCACTGTACAATGATCCCATATTGTACTGACATCACTATACAATGATCCCATATTGTACTGACAGAACTGTACAATGATCCAATATTGTACTGACAGCACTGTACAATGATCTTATATTGTACCAACATCACTGTACAATGACCCCAGCTTGTATTGACATCACTGTACAATGATCCCATATGGTACTGACAACACTGTACAATGATCCCGTATTGTACTGACATCATTATACAATGATCCCATATTGTACCAACATCACTGTACAATGATCCCATATTGTACTGACATTATACAATGATCCCATATTGTACTGACAGCACCATACAATTATCCTACATTGTACTGCCAGCACTGTACTGGCAAAAGCTGTAGTCAACATGGCCGACCTATCTGTAGAAGGTGGAAATTCCTGTGTAAACATGAGGTGTATATACAGTGGTTATTGCACAATGAATGATATACAGGCTAGTGAATGAGTTAATTAAAGCAACATAAATGTGAGCGCAGTACCGATTGCAACACCGCTGGCCTAGCTTCAAGCCAATATTTATTGCAACATTCCTCAACTTAATGTGCTAGGCAGTAATATCAATCAATCAATTAATTATCCAGTATAAAAATATACAATCAAAGTGCCGAACATTTAGATATGTTGAAGTTTTCTAACCAACTAAAATTCTATCTAATGATTAAGCGAACATGTCTCGACTTGTGGTGGTCACACCCACTGGGCTGTGATGGAGTTAGGTCAGTCCCTTGTCTTTATGAAATGAGTACATCACCCTTACCACACACTGACTCTCTGCTCACTACAAGAGCAAGTTGCTGATGCAGCTGGGGAATCCCACCAGGGTTTGGTCATCTATTACAGCATATCAACCAGGTGAAAAATACCACCCTCTCAACCATTGTCTTGGCTCGGCTTTCATCACAGATTTCTTATAGACATGAAAGGGTTTTGTCAGTTTTATTTAAATTTTAAAATGATGCCCAAACTGTTCAAATAAAAAATCATAAACTTTGCATGAGATTTTGAAATTTAAATGTGATGTTTAATCACTTTTTAAACACTTTCTGAACTTTTACCAATATTTGACCCTCGCCGATTCAGTCCACTATTCAAAGACCAACCCTCAGGGTTAACTCCAAGTCTGCAGGCACAAGTGATTGAAACTGAAATACATATTTGTGATTCACCTGTATGTTACTGTTTAACATTTCTACTATCTGTATTAAGAGAGAACAAATCAATAACTTCGCTACTGACCATTCCCGAACTTAAGGGTTCACCATTAAATATACCTGTTTTATATATCTCAGTGTTGATTGTGTAAGTTCTTAATCTTGGTAGGGGTCGACGATACGAGTGCACGACAACTAAATCACGTGATCAGAGAAAGCGGGAGGGGGCCCTGTCTTAACAAAACGCAAATAAATGCTAAAATCCTGAACAGAAAACATGTCCCTTAAACTGTTCCAGCGTAGATATTTTGAAATTTAAAACGAAACATGACAGTCATACAAACAAAACATTTGGCAACAAGTTAGTGTCAACAAAACAACTGTTTCCATAGCAACGGTGAACAGCTGTACGATCCAGTCGTATAAATGCCTACACACAGAAACTCTTCCTGTAAGTAAGGGAGATAACTGTGACTATCGTCAGGCTATTTGCGATGTACCACATGAAATTTATTCAGTACATTTTAAAGAGGTTTCTGTTAATAATCTGTATCAAAACACAAGTCCTTTTCCAAATGGCCTACAACCCATAGCATAGTTGATTTATTCATTCGGCCATTCTTCCGACATGACTTGCTATCAACATATATGGGTTGTGGACACAGGACACCTGAACACTAGCAAATACAAAATGCTAAATTAACAATATGTAAATTAAAGCTTTGGTAATTGTAAACATTACGAATAGATAGCACTATCTCAATCAAATGGCATACTGAGAAGTTCAAAATGCAACAATGTCAATCATGAAACAGCTGAAATAGTGAAAATGACAGGATAGATGTAAGTTGAATTGGACACGACTAACAAGTGATACGAGAAAATATTCTACAGGAGACTACAGAGCAATTCAAAGGCTAGGCCCACCACTTCTTGTATCTGTGCTGGCTATCGTGGTCCCTTAATTTACAGTCCTGGAACATTTTTCCTGTTTTGAAACCTGGGAAAATGACCGTCTAAGCTAGTCACTACGTCAAGGCTAGTCATGTACGCGTAAATGAGGGATATTTATGTACAACTAGGCAAGGCTAGTCATGTATGCGTAAATGAGGGATATTTATGTACGACTAGGCAAGGGTAGTCATGTACACCTAAATGAGGGATATTTATGTACGACTAGGCAAGGCTAGTCATGTACGCCTAAATGAAGGGTATTTATGTACAACTAGGCAAGGCTAGTCATGTACACCTAAATGAAGGATATTTATGTACGACTAGGCAAGGCTAGTCATGTACGTCTAAATGAAGGATAATAATGTAAAACTAGGCAAGGCTAGTCATGTACACCTAAATGAAGGATATTTATGTACAACTAGGCAAGGCTAGTCATGTACACCTAAATGAAGGATATTTATGTACAACTAGGCAAGGGCTAGTCATGTACGCCTAAATGAAGGATAATAATGTAAAACTAGGCAAGGCTAGTCATGTACACCTAAATGAGGGATATTTATGTACATCTAGGCAAGGCTAGTCATGTACACCTAAATGAGGGATATTTATGTACAACTAGGCAAGGCTAGTCACGTACACCTAAATGAGGGATATTCATGTAGATCAGTCATATACGTCTACACATAAGCTAGTATTGACACTTCGACAAGGCTAGTATTGACATCTGAGGCTAGTCATATACGTCTATACATAAGCTAGTATGGACACCTTGATAAGGCTAGTATTGACATCTGAGACTAGTCATATACGTCTACACTTAAGCTAGTATGGACACCTTGACAAGGCTGGTATTGACATCTGAGACTAGTCATATAGGTCTACACTTAAGCTAGTATGGATACCTTGACAAGATTAGTATTGACATCTGAGACTAGTCATATACGTCTACACATAAGCTAGTATGGACACCTTGATAAGGCTAGTATTGACATCTGAGACTAGTCATATAGGTCTACACTTAAGCTAGTATGGACACCTTGATAAGGCTAGTATTGACATCTGAGACTAGTCATATAGGTCTACACTTAAGCTGGTATGGATACCTTGACAAGATTAGTATTGACATCTAAGACTAGTCATATACATGTACATCTATATGCACTTTTATGAATACCTTGATAAGGCTAGTATTGACATCTGAGGCCAGTTATAAACATCTATTTGTATGGACATTGACACAACACTAGGATCGACACCTGGGGCACACCAGATAGCAAGAAGTGGAAGGCCTTCGCAGCATAGGCACGGTAGAACCACAACCATCCCGAGGTTACAGCTGTGTCACACACAACCACCAACACCACACAACAGTTGATGAAGCTGCTCCACCTGCTCCGTGGTCCGCCCATCGTGGAACACCACCACGGAACATGTTGGTGCCGCCATTTTAATTATCAGAAATCACAGATTCACAGGTATCTAGAGTTTAGTTGCTTCACTTATCTTACTTCTGTCCACAGGACTATCTCCTGACATGTTTTCAATAAGTGCACACAAATATTAAATGAATGTCTTGCTATATGTACTTTAGAACCAATTATAACCCTAAAATGGGACTAATAGATGAATGAATCGCAGATGCGGTCAGTAAGTGAACTAGACTGCATGAGCGTCATAATTGCAAACTCAGTATTGAGATCATTTAAGGACATTGCGAGATTCTTCTACGGCAGCTTCTTAGCTCTATGTTACCCTGTGCAACAGCGCACACCTCTCCCAGAACATTCTAAACTATTATCTACTTGATATCCAGAACGTCTTCATTAATCATTTCATGATTTGACAGTTACTCTAATGACAGTCTGACCGTTGCAATCTGGTAACAGGGGCTTAACACTACATACAGCTGATACATCGTCTTCTCGAGACGTCTTTAACATTCAACAAAAAACAGTCAGACGAGGAAAAAGGCCATCCAGGCATCAGATTCAATCTAAATATTGCACAAATATTTCTCCTTTGGAGAATGTAAATCACTACGTTTGGCTCACAAAAAGGCAATTATTTTGATTTAATATCTCATTGAATAAATCACTTGAACAATTCTTTCAGCTTCTCCCTGCATAGGTAGACTTTGTAGACACTGGCTGTGATATTGCACACATAACTTGCACATAACCATGGTAACACAAACACTACTCACAGTCAAAATCAAAATATCAGAAGTAAAAAGCCATTAAGATGAAAACTGACTTGAGTCTGCTGATTGAGCCATGTGTATAACTAGGTTCCTAGGTGTTACTACGAAGAGACTATCTACTTTGGCAGTAATACATGTAATATACAAATAGCAAATGTAACATAGCGGTCGACACATACAACAATATACAATGTAAAAGTAAGTGTAAGGGTACAACTCCTCAATAAGACTAGATCTTTGGTGTGCATATATTGAAGTGGAAGATTGCGGAAATAGCTGTTGTAGTAGGACATAGTGCATAGATAGGTACAGTGATCTGAAGTCAGTGAGCAAAGTTCATTCCCACAATATCCAAACTGTAAAGAAAGAGGAATCACTTGAAGTGAATACACAACACAAACTCCAGCCAGATTGTCCCCCTTTGTTGCCAATACACCTGAGAGGTGAACTGTCACACTTTAAGACCATGATGAAAGAAAGGAGTTGTCCCCCTTAGCAAAGGAGTTATCTCCCTTGTAATGAGAAGGAAAGGAGAGCACTAGAAAGGATCATTGACATGCAGCCCCTGCTGCAAAGCAGTGATGTATTTGAGCTGTGCGTCTAGCAAGCATAACAATCAGGGTTATTTTGACATATGATTTAACATTGGAAACACAAGACTAAAACATCTCTACATTTCCATGGACCTCAATCCCTTCAGACTGAAGCTTAGCACCACAATATTAGTACATGATATGACAGCCCTGTATGAACAAAGGGAGACAACTGAAGCTGGTGACAAGAGTGGCACTGCGTGCCCAATGGGTGTTGACTTGCATGTAATGGACACAATCTGACCCAGTTCAATGAAAGAAACTCCATTACAGACAAAACAAATCTGAATATAAAACTGTGTTAAACAGATGAAAATATTCAATCGATAATGACATTAATGATCAGATGGTTATTTTTGGCAATTGTTTAACATCAGAAAGCTCTGCAGGTAGTGACGGAACTTCCCATTACATTGCAAGTCAAGTTCATCCCTGCCAGTTTCACGCCTACCCCACAGCCCCCTTAGTTCAGGGCAACACAGAGTGACAGGCTCACCACTACACTACCCACACTTTGGGCTCACCCTCAATTCAACCACAGATCATTTTATCAGTTTTGTAAATTTTCCTTTCAAAAGAGATCAGAGGCAAAAGGCACCAACAAAATGGAAAAACATTTCTTATGAATGTCCAGGTTTTTGATAGAAGCAGAAAATACAGACATACGAATTTCAATATATATTGATCAAAATACCAGTAGTCTCTGGACAAACTCCTCAATATGAAAACAGTCATAATTTGAACGATAAAATTATTTCAATTATCAAAAGAAAACAGGGTAGAAAACTTTAGTCTCAGTGCAGTATTGCAATAAACAGATTTCTTCTGCCTATTGTTTTACTCCATCCACTTGAGTCATCTAAAGACCCTGTGGGTCAGTTACTGGTATAGTTGCTGGGTGAGTTTCTGGGTGAGTTACTGGGTGAGTTTCTTTGCGATTGTCTGGGTGAGTGAGTGAGTGAGTGAGCAGGGCCCCGAGACACGAAGGAGTGAGGCAGTCACCAGCAGGGCGGTCAGGACCAGAAGGGTCGGGGGCTTGACATGTCCATGTGTCCCCCTCCCAGCCTGTCTAAGCCTGCATCCCAGTCCACAGACACTTTAACAATGTTTGACTTTGCCTTCCTCCTGTTCAAACAGTGGTCAGTGGCTGCTGATGAATATAAAAGAAAGCCGATAAGATATACGTACAGGTGTTGATATGAGAGTTAGAACTCCTGTACCTGCTAACGAGAGCGCAGCACTGACCACAGTCTGACCAGGCCGGGCAATAGGCAGAGTCAACACCATGAGGTACAACATCAGGTCATGATGTCAACAACCCACCGACTTGGCACAAATAATTAGTATATAAATGGATATAGACTGTACACGTGTTGCACAACACCATCATTTACATCAGAAGGTAGAAAAGATAATATATTTGAGTTTTACGATGAGTACAAAAATAGATTGTTGTCGTTTTACCCTTGGCAGTCTAGAATGGTAGCCATGCCATGATTATAGAAGATGTCATAATTAGCGAACGAAAGGGCATGTGTGTGGGTGTGTCTGGTTTGGTGTGTGCATGTGCACACAGGCTGGGGTACACCACCCATCAGCCATAGAACCCCTCACACACAGGCCTTGATGCTAAACACAATCAGAACTCCCAATGTTCATCTTCACTAGATTCGATGTTTTTCTGTAGTTTTTCGATACTTGCATCACGGTCTATTTCTTCCCAGTTCTCCTCGACTGTCTCAATAGCACGTTGCAATTTCTCGATCTTGTCGACATGCTCGACCCGCTTCAAGGTCAGGTCCGTCACACTGTTACTATTACTGTCGTTGCTGTTCTCCTCAACATCCTTGTTTTCCTTCTCCTCCGCCTCATCATCACCGTCAAATTTTTCCGCGTTGGCCGCTTTCTTAATAGTTGCTGCTTTAATTCGTTCCAACTGCGTTCCTTCGTACACTCTCTGTGGGTTTGACCGTTTTCGTTTATTAACACCCGAGGCTGGTGTTGGTGGGGGAGGGAGGTTCTTGTCGTCCGAATCGGGCAACACCTGACTTTCACTCACACTGTCGACCCTTGACTCCTCGGAATCGTTCTTATCATCTGCCATTTCTTGTTCATTGTTCACTGAGTTGTTGTTCCTGCTCTCTGGTGACCTCTGACCTCCCGGATTAGCCACCGGTTCAAAGCGTGGAAACATCCACTGACTCGTTTCGTTGTTTTGATAACTTTGGTACTGGTTTGTGTCCCCTGATGCACTAGACATGTCACTTTGATTGGAGCTTTCATCCTGAGGCTCTGCCTTGATGCTGTTGACGTCACTCTGCGTGGGAGTGCCTCCTCCCCCGCCAGCATGGTGTTGCTGTTTCGCCCGCATCCGGTGATTGTGGAACCAGTTTATTACTGTCTTCACACCAACACCCAGATCATTAGCTAATGCTTCAATGGTGCTCTGGTTAGGGTACGGGTCCTGTGCATAGGCCTGGCGAAGTGAATCCTTCTGTTCTTCTGTGAAGAAGACTCGAGGACGTTTTGGCTGAGTGGGTGAGTCAAAGCACCGTTCATCCATGCTGCTCTTCCTGCGTCGGTGAGCTGAAGAGACAAGAAGCAAGCTCTGTTATAACAGAAGTAACATGAAGTAAACACAGATGTGTCACATGAAATAATCACAATTAACAAATTGAAATCAAAAGTGCAGCTTAGAAGGTTCACAAACTTGTCAAGATACTTCAATCCATTTCCACGTGACTTGCTCTACTATACCTCTAGCTAGGACTACTAAAAGCAGGCAGCTACAAGCTACTCTAGGTGGTGTGTGGCTACAGCTACAATAGAGGCCGGAGAGGAGGTCTGGTGGTGGGGATGGAGAGGGCGGAGAGATGGTCTGCCAGGTTTCTAAGTGTATTTCAAACTGTGGAACCACAGGAGGCTCTGTGACAGAAGGGACAGATGGGTGGGAGAGACAACATGTAACTCCAAATATCTCTAACACAGTGGTCTAGAGTGGACCAAATGGAGGTTCTGAGACAGGACGGATGGAGAGCGTGGAGAGACAATGTGTTAGTTAGGTAACTCCTATCCTGCTCTTTGTCTATCAAACACAGTAGTCTAGGGTGGACCAAACAGAGGTTCTGTGAAGGTGAGTTGGAGAGACTAGGCTACAGAATCAATGACTAAGACTGTAGTCAAGTGTGGTCCTAGGGGCTGTGACATGGATGGAGAGGGAGAGGGAGGAGAGGGAGGAGACGGAGCAAGGCTACTCAAAGTACCTCTGTCTTAAACAGTAGTCTTTTGGGACATACAGCTATTCTCTAACTACATGGATAAGAGCCAAAACTGACCTGAAGGCAATTCAGTATGGCCTAAGGCCCAAAGGCTATTCCCATGACCTAAATGATCTTTAGCATGGTCTAAAGGTTAATCATCAATGACTGATTGACTGACTGAGTTTGGTTTTACGCCGCTTTTAGCAATATTCCAGCAATATCACGGCGGGGACACCAGAAATGGGATTTACTCATTGTACCCATGTGGGGATTCGAACCCGGGTCTTCGGCGTGAAGAGCCAACACTTTAACCACTAGACTACCCCACCGCCCCTAATAATCATCAATGACCTAAAGTCCATTCAGAAGGACCTGAAGGCTGTTCACCATGACCTAAACGCTATTATTCATGACCTAAATGCTCTTCAGTATGGTCCAAAGGCTATTCAGCAATGATCTAAAGGCTATTCCCATGACCTAAATGACCTTCAGTATGATCTAAAGGCTATTCAGCAATGATCTGAAGGCTTTTCAACAGGACCTAAAGGCTATTTACCATGACGTAAATACTCTTCAGGATGGTGTAAAGGTTATTCTGCAATGACCAGTAGGACCTAAAGCTCATTCAGCAGGACCGAAAGCTCATTCAGCAGGACCTAAAGCTATTCAGAATGACCTGAAGGCTATTCAGTATGACCTTAATGCTATTCAGAGTGGCCACAAGCCAGTAGCTGTCAAGCAGTACTACAATAATACCCTAATGCTAAAGACTGTGGTGTTTCAGGACAGTGGGACGTGGGGACAGCTGTAAAAGAGCAGAATTATCCGGTACACAACATATAGGCTGTTCTGGAGATGTGATCACAACAATAGGCCAGTGAGGATGGACTAGTTAGTGGGACAACTTGCTCTTCCTATATTTACAACAAGATACTGGTCGAGCTGACAGAAGAAGGAGGGGTGAGGACAGAACAGAGTGGACAAATTTGACTTTCTGGAAATAGGAGTCCCCAAAACGTCATCAGTCGATAAATGACCACCTTTGCCTCTGAGCACATCCACATGGCTTTCATTCTTCAGTTAAGGTTATTGCATTTTGGATATGTTTGTTATACTTGAACTGGTAGTAAACTGTTTCCAGTATATGAGGATTAGTTTGAGAATCAGAAGTTTGAGTTTCTGTGTCTCTGAACATCATCAAAGATTTACAGCAAGCATTCTCAAAATTATATCATATTCCTGATTCTTCTATGGTACGAGTTACAATTCAATCGCTGGGTCATATATTTAGTTGTAGTGTTAAATCGGCTTTAAGATAAGCAAGTGCTTGTTTGACTTACACTGGTTTAAGAAAGTCGTTAGTTTGTTTATGGAGGCGCCTCTATATATGGGGCAGACCTACCTTTCATCTGACTTTGGTAATGTTTTAGTCGCTCTACACTCTGAGGGTCCCGTAGCCATAGATGCATTTTGATAAAGGGTTCTCTCCCCTTGATACTGAGCATGTGCCATGGTTTAGGTTTTGACAGAAGCTCACTAACTGAGCCCTGAGACAGGCCAAGTACAGCCTCGACGAAAAGCTTTTGTCCTAAGTTGTGGAACTGCAGTACATCCTTAACTCGACTGGTGAGCCCCAGCGTATCGATCTCAGACGTCATGGCGATCACCTCCAGAGTGGAGGAGGGGAAAGCCAAACTGCCCCAGTTACGTGGAGGTGGATCGTGAGGAGAGAAGACGACGTCACCTGCCGCTGCTGCCGCGGCAACAGCAGCTGCCGTGGCGAGAGAGGGCGCATGGCTAGGTGGTGCAGAGCTACGGTGGTTGGGGGGACGAGAGGAAGTCTTCTCAGTAGGAGGACAGGTGGTGGGCAGAGGAGGTGGAGGCTCTACGGAAAACAAAACGGTAACAGCAAACTAGAGACAGTCTGGAGGGAGCACAGCAGGTGACAGGATGAGTGAGAGATGGGCGCGATGTATGGCAGGAGAGATGGTGGAGCTTAGGTGGAGAGAGAGAGTGAAGGCTGATGTATGGCAGGAGAGATGGTGGAGCGTAGGTGGTGAGAGAAAGAGAGAGAAGGCTGAAGTATGGCAGGAGAGATGGTGGAGCGTAGGTGGTGAGAGAGAGAGAGTGATGAAGACAGCAGATGCATGAATGTAGGTAGTGAGAAAAAGTGATGAGTGGAGGCTGAAGTATGGCAGGAGTGATGGTGGAGCGTAGGTGGTCAGAGACAGTGATGAGTGATGTGTGAGATGTATGCCAGGGAGGAGATAGTAGGTGGTCAGAGAAAGTTATGAGTGATGTGTGAGATGTATGAATGAAGGTGCTGAGAGAATGTGATGATTGATGGCTGGAGTGTTGGTGGAGTGTAGACAGTGAGAAAAAGGGATGGTATTGGGCAAGATATATGCCAGGATATAGTGGAACATATGCAGTGAGAGAAAGTGATGTGTGATGTGCAAGATGTATGCCAGGGTGAAATAGTGGAACATAGGTGGTGAGAGAAAGCGATAGTGATGACTGATGTATGCCAGGGGTGATGATGGAACAAAGTGGTGACAGAGAATGATGAACGAAGGGTTATATGAGTGATGGGTGAGATGTATGTGAAGAAATACTGGAGTGTAAATGGTGAGAGAAAGTGAGGAGTGAGAGAAAGTGAAGAGTGAGAGAAAGTGAAGAGTGAGAGAAAGTGAAGAGTGAGAGAAAGTGAAGAGTGAGAGAAAGTGAAGAGTGAGAGAAAGTAACAAAAGTGAGTAACGAGTGGGCCAGGAGTGATGGTAGAGCATAGGTAGATGAAACAAGGATGGTGGAAAGTGGAGAAAAGCAGTAAGAGAGAGGTGGATAAGTGGGTGTGACTGGTGGATCAGTGAGTGATGTCTGAGTGAATATTGAGGCCAGTGATAGGAATGCCAGTGATGGGTTAGTCAGTGATGTGTGAGTGAGCCATGGGGGTTATGGAAGAGATGGTGGAACATGGGTGTAATGTAGAAATTCAACAGCATGCATGAGTTAGATACAAGGACAGTATCAGACAGAGAAACAAATGGCAGATGACCATATACCAGGGTGTGGAAGTGGAGGGAGGTTTGAAACTAAAAGGCCTTAGCGATGTCAGCGGCATGTGAAATGGATGTTGATCATTTGTTCATTTGTCATCACTTTGGCATGGTGACGTGACATCATGAACAATGCTATGATGTCGGGTTCCTTCTATGACGCGTTCTACATGCGCTTCTACTATGTTTGAAAGTAGGATTTACCTCAATTTGCGCTGGCCAGAATATTATGTACATATTTATGAACAGTATCGGTATTCACTTGCTCGCTTGGGAAATACCAACATTAAGGCACTCGCGTGGTCGTAAACATAGTATGACATGGACACTCATATAATATCCTCTATGTATGCCTTCCCACAACAAGGAGGGTAAACCACAAATACCATCATGTAAAATGTCTTTTGGTATGAAATGTCTTTTGATCGGGACTCCACTGATATCCACCTCTTGGCAGATGTTTTGATCTACTAGACCAACATGTAAGGATCAACTCAACTTGGAGTTGGTATCCTGTTCGTAACTTCGATGTAGGTGTCTGTGTAGAAGCAGTTGATAGAGGAGGTGGAGGATGGATATCAGCTGAAGGGCAGTAGGTGTTGGCCTTCAGACAACCCAGATGAAGCCCAGATGACACAACAAGTCATGATGGCCGCGGTGGTGAATGTGGATACAGTTGAACAGTAGGTGTTGGTGGTTTGACCCCAGACAACACAACAGTTGGGGCAGCAAGTGTGGTGGTCAGCGTAGGTGGTGAATGTGGATACAGTTGAAGGGCAGTAGGTGTTGGTGTTTGACCCAGACAACCCAGATGGCACAACAGTTAAAGCAAGTGTGGTGGTCATGTAGGTGGTGAATGTGGATACAGTTGAAGGCAGTATGTTTTATCTAGGGCAAGTGTGGTGGTGTGGTGTGGTGAGATGTGGATACAGTTGAAGGGCAGTAGGTGTTGGTGTTTGACCCAAAGACAATACAATGACACAGTTGCAAGTGTGGTGGTCATGGTGGTGGTGAATGATACAGTGAAGGGCAGTAGGTGTTGGTGTGTTTGACCCCAGACAACCCAGATGCAACACAACAGTTGGGGCAGTAGGTGGTCATGTAGGTGGTGAATGTGGATACAGTTGAAGGGCAGTAGAAGCAGTTTGACCCAAGAGACAACCCAGTGGAGGAGTGTGGTGGTCATGGTGGTGAATGGATACAGTTGAAGGGCAGTAGGTGTTGGTGTTTGACCCCAGACAACCCAGATGACACAACAGTTGGGGGCAAGTGTGGTGGTCATGTAGGTGGTGAATGTGGATACAGTTGAAGGGCAGTAGGTGTTGGTGTTTGACCCAGACAACCCAGATGACACAACAGTTGGGGGCAAGTGTGGTGGTCATGTAGGTGGTGAATGTGGATACAGTTGAAGGGCAGTAGGTGTTGGTGTTTGACCCCAGACAACCCAGATGGCACAACAGTTGGGGGGCAAGGTGTGTGGTGGTCATGTAGGTGGTGAATGTGGATACAGTTGAAGGGCAGTAGGTGTTGGTGTTTGACCCCAGACAACCGAGATGGCACAACAGTTGGGGGCAAGTGTGGTGGTCATGTAGGTGGTGAATGTGGATACAGTTGAAGGGCAGTAGGTGTTGGTGTTTGACCCCAGACAACCGAGATGGCACAACAGTTGGGGGCAAGTGTGGTGGTCATGTAGGTGGTGAATGTGGATACAGTTGAAGGGCAGTAGGTGTTGGTGTTTGACAACAGTTGGGAAGCAAGTGTGGTGGTCAGACAACCAGAGACAACCGAGAGATGACACAACAGTTGGGGAGCAAGTGTGGTGGTCATGTAGGTGGTGAATGTGGATACAGTTGAGGACAGTAGGTGTTGGTGTTTGACCAGACAGACAACCCAGATGGCACAACAGTTAGGGGCAAGAATGTGAGTGGTCAGTAGGTGTAGGTGGTGAATGTGGATACAGTTGAAGGGCAGTAGGTGTTGGTGTTTGACCCCAGACAACCCGATGACACAACAGTTGGGGCAAGTGTGGTGGTCATGTAGGTGGTGAATGTGGATACAGTTGAAGGGCAGTAGGTGTTGGTGTTTGGGCAGCAAGTGTGGTGGTCATGTAGGTGGTGAATGTGGATACAGTTGAAGGGCAGTAGGTGTTGGTGTTTGACTAGAGACAACCGAGATGGCACAACAGTTGGGGGCAAGTGTGGTGGTCATGTAGGTGGTGAATGTGGATACAGTTGAAGGGCAGTAGGTGTTGGTGTTTGACCCCAGACAACCCAGATGACACAACAGTTGGGGGCAAGTGTGGTGGTCATGTAGGTGGTGAATGTGGATACAGTTGAAGGGCAGTAGGTGTTGGTGTTTGACCCCAGACAACCCAGATGACACAACAGTTGGGGGCAAGTGTGGTGGAGCAAGCGTGGTGGTCATGTAGGTGGTGAATGTGGATACAGTTGAGGGACAGTAGGTGTTGGTGTTTGACCCCAGACAACCCAGATGACACAACGGCAGTAGGTGTTGGTGTTTGACCCCAGACAACCCAGATGACACAACAGTTGGGGGCAAGTGTGGTGGTCATGTAGGTGGTGAATGTGGATACAGTTGAAGGGCAGTAGGTGTTGGTGTTTGACCCCAGACAACCGAGATGACACAACAGTTGGGGGGAAGTGTGGTGGTCATGTAGTGAATGTGGATACAGTTGAAGGCAGTGTAGTGGTGGACCCCAGACAACCCAGATGGACACAACAGTTAAAGGGGCAAGGTGGTGGTCATGTAGGTGGTGAATGTGGATACAGTTGAAGGGCAGTAGGTGTTGGTGTTTGACCCCAGACAACCGAGATGACACAACAGTTGGGGCAAGTGTGATGGTCATGTAGGTGGTGAATGTGGATACAGTTGAAGGGCAGTAGGTGTTGGTGTTTGACCCCAGACAACCGAGATGACACAACTGTTGGGGCCAAGTGTGATGGTCATGTAGGTGGTGAATGTGGATACAGTTGAAGGGCAGTAGGTGTTGGTGTTAGACCCCAGACCACACAACAGTTGGGGGCAAGTGTGGTGGTCATGTAGGTGGTGAATGTGGATACAGTTGAAGGGCAGTAGGTGTTGGTGTTTGACCCAGACAACCCAGATGACACAACAGTTGGGGGCAAGTGTGGTGGTCATGTAGGTGGTGACGTACAAGGAGATCATGTGGAGGTGATCGTGATGTTGGGATGGTTGCTGTGTAGCATTACATGACATACAGTTGAAGGGCAGTTGTAGTTGGTGGTTGACTCCATGGACAACCAAGATGACATGACAACTGTTAGCGGTAAGGGGAGTAGGGGAAGATGACGTAGTGGTGGTGGTGTTGGTGTTGGTGTTGGTATGCTGACCCCAATGGTGAAGGGGAAGGTGACGTAGTGGTGGTGGTGGTGAAGGAAGAGATATGACATGTGAGTGGCCGAGAGGTGGGAACAAGTAGTTGTGGTAGTGGTAGTGGTGGTGGTGGTGTTGATGATGAAGCAAGAAGAAGGGATGACACATGAGTGGCCCAGAGGTGGGAACAAGGAGAAGCTGTGGGGCCAGTAAGAAGCAGGAGAGGCTAGAGAGTACTGCAGGTATTAGTATGGGCAACTGAAGGATGAGACATGCTGATACTGTAATGAAGGGGCCTACTCTACAATGGTGATGTGGTTATACTGGCAGCTTGAAGAATGGAACTTAACCCCCAACGATGGACGACATTATCCGACCCAAAAACACAAGTGCAGTTATCAGCCTACTGTAAACATTGTTTGTATTATCAGCTACTTGTGTACTGCACGTTGATGCAGGACAATTTTATTTCATACTGCTTGTTACTTCAAAACGTCACACTAAATTTTGTCAACAGCACTGATGATTATGTATAGGTCATTAGAATAAATTTCCCTTCTCGAAAGATACCAGGTATCACAAATGGAGATCATATTATACTTGGTTCTCTACCAGAACTACATGAATTAAATCAGGTAATAAACATTACAACTTGTTACTTATCGAATTACTGAATCTCTTTAGTTTCTGTGACAACCCGACAGAGTGTCCACTAAGCCACAAAGCAAGAATACCAGCCTACACCCCCTTTTCTTACTGCATAAATGTGAAATGAACCAACAAGTTTAGCTAACAGTCCAAAATCAAGTGTGGAAACTTTCCTTTTGTTTCAGTATATTTGAAGGGAAGATGGTCTTTGAGAACAGACCAAAAGCCACTGAAATGGACCTGAACACTGAGGTCTTGTAGAATTAGGTTTCAGGACCCCAGACCCTCTAATCATTCTTACTGATGGTTTTACTCAGCGTTCAGCAATATTCCAGACATCACATCCATGAAGGGACTCGAACCCAGATTTTCATCACGACGAACAAACACTTCAACCCACAGGCTACCCCACCACCCCTTTGTGTTAGGATGCGATATATAAGTTAAACCTACGAACTGAAGCACAACCCCGGGATCGCTGTGGTAGAAGCAGGTGTCAGCGAGTTAGACAAGCGTAGATTACACGTGGGCAGGTGATGGACAATGGATGACCGATGAATGATGGAGAAATGGATATGATGACAGAAAGTGAATGAAGAATTCTCAAGTGAACATAATGCAAAATATCTAAAGAACAAAAATAAGAGGAGAAACAAAAACTATGTTACAAGCAAAGAGAGATTCATAAATTATCAGATCTGTTCCTTGTGCTGCTCTTGCTCTGCCTCTCATGGGATGTGATGGTGATTCACAGTTATACTGCTGCTGATGTGATAAAACACATATTCCTGACTGTTTTTATGGGTCAGTGAAAAAAAAAAGACTAAAAAATACTATTGTAAACGTAATACAGGTTTCAATTTTATCATCATTATCTAACATGAAAATGCTTTAAATAATAATCAGAATTTATTTCTACATCATAATACAGAAAAAAAGAGACTATATTTGGTTTTACTAGATTTTCACAAATCATGGTTTTCCGAAAACAGTCCAAGATACCCAAATATGATCTATGAAATAAAAAGAGCACATTGAAGAACAAATTTTGCTGTGTTTAATTATATCATAAATACGATGATGTTGATCCAAATATTGACCAAAGCTGACTAAGGCCCTAGTTCAGTCCTGACCACCTTTTAGTGAATACCCCTTGTTATCAGAGGTCAGTGAGACAGGATGGAGCAAGAGGAGCAGAAGGATCAGATCAACTAGAGTCTGAGGATAAGGAAGGTTGCTAATCAGGATTTGCTACAACTCAACACGTGCAGTCACACAGTTACCTCCCCTGTCAGATCCACTCTCCTAACAGGGAGGTGAGTACAGCTTACAGATACCTACCATTATCTCCTAGATCAACTGTTTCACATAGATAAAACATCCAATGCTAACATGAAAACAATCTCTTTGCATCATCTGCTCATAGTATTGCATGAAGAATAGAAAACATATCACCATGAATCATCATGCAAGCTACTCTTATACTATCTACAACTGACTACAAATCCAGGCTCTAGCTAATGGTGGACAGACAGACACGTACCTGCCATGGAGACGGGCATCGGCATTGGCACTGGCACCCCTGACTCCTGCACGTTCGGACACTGGGACCGCATCAGCTTGTCCGGGGGGATACGGTACTGCGACGCCACCAGTTTGGGGATGGCCTCGGCATCCTCCAGGAAGATCTGCATGCGGATGAAGGGTTCTCTCCCCTTCTGTGTCAACATGTGCCACGGTTTGGGGCGGGCAAGCAAGTCACTAACACTGCCTTGTGAGAGTCCCAGCACATTCTCACCAAACAATCTTTGGCTTATAGAGTACTGACTAAGTGTCTCTTTCACTTTTTTCACCAACTCATCAGTGTTCACATTAGAATATTTGTCAAACTGTTCTTGTGTTATGGGTGGCAGCACTGCTCGGAGAGGCTTTGATGTTGGCACATTGAGATTTGGGCGTGAGCTGAGTGAGTTCGCTATATTCTGCATGCGTTGGAGCGGCGATAGGCTCTCAGCATGGGGTCCGTACTGGGCAAAGTGGGGGTTTTCGTAACTGTCATGCCCATTCATGCGTGGGCGGACAAGAAAGAAGGCACTTCCTGCATGGCGTGAGTCGGAGTGAGGCGTATCCGAAGAGGAGGATGTAGATGAGGGAGGTGAGTTATGCGGTTTGCTGAGATCGATTGGTCCACAGTTGTTGATGTGAGATGTAGTGTCATCCGATGTACTGTCAGGCGGTTCCGCTTTCACACTGAAACCGTTCTGTCCATCTGCAGAGCTCGGCTGGTCATGTGCACTCATGGGGCTGTGCAGGTTGGTGATTTGAGCCTGGTGGGCAATCCGAGCCAGCTCCTGCTGGTACATGGAACTGGCAGCAATGTTTCCCGGACTTTCTGCAGCCCGAGCCAGTTTCTCCAGCTCTTGTCTGTATATCCTTGCAACCATCTCCTGGGCAGATGCCTCACTCTCAATGGAACTGGTAGAGTTCCGCGATGTGCGACCCCCATCCAAACTCCGCCGTGTGCTCTCACTATCTCTATGGGGTTTGGAGGAAGAGACTGGTGTAGGTGGGGCGCTTGGGTATCGCGTTCCGACCCAACCATCTTCGACAGTTCACGCTGGTAGATGCTTGTCACAACCGCGTTCGCAACTTGTTGCTGAAACAAACAAAGTGGATGGTGTAAACAATAGGAAACACATGCTTTAGATTTACGTAATCATTACTGGGGTCAGGGAACTAAGTCTGTTGTTGAAGCTGCAACTCCTTCAATCATATCTGCTGCTAAGTCCATGTTAAACAGGACATTTCTACAAATTAAAGTTCACTTATACTGTCTGAATCTGTCTGGTGTCTGAACCTGTGTGTCTTTCGTCTGTTTCATTTGCGCCTGTTTTATCTCAGTCTGTCTTTTTGTCGGCCTATTCTGTCTGTTTCAAGGTCATGTATTATTTGAGTAGGTTCAAGTCTGTCCATCTCTCTTTGTCTGTCATGTCATCTGTATCTCTGTGTCTGTTGTGCCAAAGTCTGTCCAATGAGTCCATCTATAATATTTTGCCCTGGATGAGCCTGTCTGTGTTTGGGGTGTGTGAGTGAATCCAGTGTGTGCCTGCCTGTGTTCTGGGTGTGTGAGTGCATCCAGTGTGTGCCTGCCTGTGTTTGGGGAGTGTGTGTGCATCCAGTGTGTGCCTGTCTGTGTTTGGGGTGTGTGAGTGCATCCAGTGTGTGCCTGTCTGTGTTTTGGGTGTGTGAGTGCATCCAGTGTGTGCCTGTCTGTGTTTGGGGAGTGTGAGTGCATCCAGTGTGTGCCTGTCTGTGTTTGGGGTGTGTGAGTGCATCCAGTGTGTGCCTGTCTGTGTTTGGGGTGTGTGAGTGCATCCAGTGTGTGCCTGTCTGTGTTTGGGGTGTGTGAGTGCATCCAGTGTGTGCCTGTCTGTGTTTGGGGTGTGTGAGTGCATCCAAGTGTGTGCCTGTCTGTGTTTGGGGTGTGTGAGTGCATCCAGTGTGTGCCTGTCTGTGTTTGGGGTGTGTGAGTGCATCCAGTGTGTGCCTGTCTGTGTTTGGGTGTGTGAGTGCATCCAGTGTGTGCCTGTCTGTGTTTGGGGTGTGTGAGTGCATCCAGTGTGTGCCTGTCTGTGTTTGGGGAGTGTGAGTGCATCCAGTGTGTGCCTGTCTGTGTTTGGGATGTGTGAGTGCATCCAGTGTGTGCCTGTGTTTGGGGAGTGTGAGTGCATCCAGTGTGTGCCTGTCTGTGTTTGGGGAGTGAGTGTATCGAGTGTGTGCCTGTCTGTGTTTGGGATGTGTGAGTGCATCGAGTGTGTGCCTGTCTGTGTTTGGGGAGCGTGAGTGCATCCAGTGTGTGCCTGTCTGTGTTTGGGTGTGTGTGAGTGCATTGAGTGTGTGCCTGTCTGTGTTTGGGGAGCGTGAGTGCATCGAGTGTGTGCCTGTCTGTGTTTGGGGAGTGTGAGTGCATCGAGTGTGTGCCTGTCTGTGTTTGGGGAGCGTGAGTGCATCCAATGTGTGCCTGTCTGTGTTTGGGGAGTGAGTGCATCCAGTGTGTGCCTGTCTGTGTTTGGTGTGTGTGAGTGCATCCAGTGTGTACCTGTCTGTGTTTGGGGTGTGTGAGTGCATCCAATGTGTGCCTGTCTGTGTTTGGGGAGTTTGATTGCATCCAGTGTGTGCCTGTCTGTGTTTGGGATGTGTGAGTGCATCCAGTGTGTGCCTGTCTGTGTTTGGGGTGCGGAGTGCATCCAGTGTGTGCCTGTCTGTGTTTGGGGAGTGTGAGTGCATCCAGTGTGTGCCTGTCTGTGTTTGGGGAGTGAGTGCATCCAGTGTGTGCCTGTCTGTATCTGAGGTGCCTGTCTGTATCTGAGGTTCCTGAATCTGTCTATGAATCCATCTATTATATCTTGTCCAGAGTGTGCCTGTCTGTATCTGAGGTGCCTGTCTGTATCTGAGGTGCCTGAATCTGTCTATGAATCTATCTATTATATCTTGTCCAGAGTGTGTCTGTCTGTGTCTGGGGTTCCCGAATCCATCCAGTGAGTCATCTACTACAGTTTGTCCTGTATGTACCTGTCTATAACCCTGTTGTCATTACCTGCTCAAGGCTTTGCTTCATGTGCATGGCAGCCTGTGCCTCATTAAGGATCTGGTTGATGCGATCTTCTGTCGCATTGTCCTCTTTGGGAACAGTTGACACTAGGGGTTGTGAACCTGCAACAGGACCAGGATTGTTACAAGTGTCCCTTACACTGACATGTATCACACATGTACACAATCAATATCATTTCACCAGTAACAAACACTTCAAGATTACCAAACACAATCCTTCTCTTATAGATGCAGCCCTTCCCATAGTTCCTTTCTCAATTTTTGAAAATTGAATGCTTTTATTTTCTATTGTCAACTAGCAATATGGTTAACAAAACTGAAATGGTGTGTTAATTTGGTATGGATTTGTGTGACAAGAAAGCACCATAAAAAATAGCCAAACTACATTGTTCCTAAAATATACTATGTAAACAGCACATGGGTTGGGTTTTTTTCAGTTGTTTTCAAGACCAACTAACATTAAAAATACATAAATATATGAATTATTTGACTTTTGACCATTCCTGAGTTCAAATAGTTGAAATGAAAAAAACAAAAAAACATGTAATCTAAACAAGACCTATAGTGAAGAAACCACATGAAAATGTTTAATCATAAATTTGAAATATCAGTTATTTTCTGGTATCATGCTATGTCAAAACGTACACTGTACTGTTTAACTTAAAACTGCTTGTTTAAATTTTAAAATATAATTCCTCTGAATTTTACATGAAAAAGAATTGAAAACCAACTTATAATACTATGAGGCCTCACGGGTGATCTTCAAACATCAACTAATATCTGACTTATGCTTCATAGTTTAACCAACAACATCTCATTAAGACTGACTGAGTTTGGTTTTACGCCGCTTTTAGCAATATTCCAGCAACATCAAGGTGGGGACACCAGAAATGGGCTTCACACATTGTACCCATGTGGGGATTCGAACCTGGGTCTTCAGCATGACGAGCCAACGCTTTAACCATTAGGCTACCCCACCGCCCCCATCTCATTAAGAGTGATATGTAGGGTAGTAAATATTACCAGCAATTAGTCAAGTGTCCTAAACCAACAAGACGATGTCTGACACAAAGTTTGTGTGTCCAAAAAAGATCTTGCTGTACAACAAAACTATCCATAGATGATGAAAATGCTTTTGTTGTTACCATGGTGAAATGAATTATAAAAGAGATATCAAACTTGAAAAAATGAACACAAACAGAGTTTTTGTGAAGGCCAGTTTGTCATGCAAGATCTACCCACAGTACAATACAACTAGACCAAGGACTCAGTCAAGGACAATATCAAGGACCTATGTGATACTGGAAACATAAGCTGAATTCTGAGAAGTGAAGGGTGAAAACTGTTCAATTTCAAGAGTATTGTGGCACTCTGTATACACTAAATAGGTGAGGTGAGGTGAAATTGGGTTTAACGTCATGCTTGAGAATATTTCACTCATATGACGACATGCATGCGTGTGTATGTGTATGTGCAGCTGCTTGTACTAGCCCAGACTTAAGCTGGTTTTATAGTGCTAGCCCACTGAGATACCATGCTGCAGTGAAGCATGAATACCCCACTCAGACACATTATACTGACTCCGAGCCGACCAGTCCTTGTTGTACCCATTAATGCCGAGAGCCAGGCAGGGACCAACAAGTACCATATTTAAAGGTCTTTTGGTATGACGCGGTCGGGGATCGAACCCCGCGACCTTCCGCTCTCCGGGCGGACGTATACACTAAATAGGGGCGGTGGGGTAGCCTGGTGGTTACATTGTTCGCTTGTAACATCAAAAACCCAGGTTTGATTGCCCACATGGGTACAATGTGTGAACTCTATTTCTGGTGTGCTCTGTCGTTACCTTGCTGAAATATTGCTAAACGCAGTGTAAAACCATACTCACTCACTCACTTATAATAGTGAGTGAGCTGGGTTTGATGTCAAGCCTGCTGTGCGAGGCAAGTCCCAATTGATAGCATCACAGACAGGTAACCACTCAGGTAAAACCCATGAGCACAGGTATGGTGCTGATGCGCCTTGAAACCAAAACTGGGCAAACCGGGAATTAAACCCAAGTTTCTGGCGTGCACAAGAGACTCAAATTTGCTCAGTGAATCCCAGCACCTTTGATGATTCTGCTTTCAGTAGGGCGGTGAGGTAGACTAATTGTTAAAGTGTTTGCTTGTCACGCCGAAGAGCTGGGTTCGATACCCCACATGGGTAAAATGTGTGAAACCCATTTCTTTTGATATTGCTGGAATATTGCTAAAAGAGGCAAACAACTTACTCACTCATTCACTCTGCTTCCAGTGCTCCATACCAAAGAAATAAGCAATGACTGATAGCATGAGCACAGACAAATGCCATCTGGGTAAAGGGCCCAAACACCCAATCTGCATTTTAGCTGGCTCTAACAATAAATATGAGGTTTGTTTGTTCTCTAAATCCACATTTAGCAATATTTCAGCCATATAAGAGTGAGTAAGTGAGTGAGTTTAGTTTTACGCCGCACTCAGCAATATTCCAGCTATATGGCAGCGGTCTGTAAATAATCGAGTGTGGACCAGACAATCCAGTGATCAACAGCATGAGCATCGATCTGCGTAATTGGGAACCGATGACATGTGTCAACCAAGTCAGCGAGCCTGACCACCCGATCCCGTTAGTCGCTTCTTACGACAAGCATAGTCGCCTTTTGTGGCAAGCATGGGTTGCTGAAGACCTATTCTACCCTGGATCTTCACGGGTCCAGCTATATGAGAGCGACCTGCACCAGTCTTGACCAGACATTCTAGTGATTCACTGAGCAAGAGCACAGATCTTGTGACCAGCTGAGGTTGCTGGGACCTTTTCTAACGAAGATTAGCCACAGGGAATCAGCACTTAGAAATCTATTCTGACCCAGGATCACCATGGGAATTTAGTAACAGCTACAGTGAGAGAAATTATCTGAAACCTGAATATACGGATAATATTCATTGATGTGAAGTCAATTCAGATTCTATGCAAATGTTCCAAACTGACTCGAACATTACATTTCCATTGCTACAATTCAGGGCAAATCTAACATGGGAACAATGAGGCCTAGATACCAGAACACCGTCACAACACAACTTGGCACAAAACAACAAGAATCAAACTTAAGAAACTCAATATGGAACATGTATGCAACTCAAGATAACTGTTGAAACGAAAGTAGTAAAAAGCAATACTCACATGCCTTACCTTTCTTGGGCGAGATGGCCTTGAGAGCCAAAATGTTGCGTTCGTCTATCGCCCATCCATGCATCTTCCTGTACGATTCACGACCCTTCTCGGTTAGCTTATCCCACGATTTTGGCTTTGATAAAAGTTCGCTGACAGTTCCTTGGGACAGGCCCAGCACATGTTTGGCAAACAGTCTCTGCCCTATATTGTGTATGCTTAGGAGCTCGCGCACATTTTTGGCAACATAAGTAGTGTCCAAGCCCCCTTGTTGAGTGTTGCCTTCTGTCTTGACAACACTTGGGGATAGAAAGCCTGTATTCATATGATTGTTAGGATATGCAAAGTATGGTGAGGGTGGGGGGTGGAAGAGGTGGGCGTCAGGGCTGGCAAGAGAGTGAGATGTGGTGGAAGGAGGAGTTTCCGCGACTCCGTTTGACACGGGCGACTCGGCAGCTGAGTCGGCCAATGATGGGGTTTGTGATGACGGCGTTTGTCTCAGAGGTGCCACGCACTTTTCCGCGGAATCCTCGGGAACGGTGGTGGCCCCGTCGGGCACATCTTCAGCTGGAGAAGGAGGAGTGGGTGTGTCAGGCGGCCCTGCAAGAAAGGTGTAGAATGCGCATGACTTCAATATACTGGTCAGAGGTTAGGACGTACAAGTCGGCCAGTCGGGATAGAAGTTCACTGAGCATGCAGTAGATCACACGTCATCCGCCAATCTTCAGTCATCGGTAATTAAATCCATTAGCATTTATATAGCAGCTGGTCCTACCAAATTTCCTGATGTTATATGCGGTATGCTTACTGTTTGTCACGGGACAATAGCGGCCAAAAGTAGGGAAACTTTGGATGTCTGAGACATGAGCACATACACCTTTCTTACAGCGACGCACACGAGGACGCCGGTAACAATGGTCACCCAGGGAGAGGGCCCCACGCAGGTTTGCAGATTGTTCCCGGAATGAAAGGTGGCCTTCCGTCAAAGGGAGGCAATCTTGGGTAAAAGTGACGGCAGCAGTGTATTCAGGTGGTGAGAGAGCAGAGTCATGGAATTTGAATTTAGAATGGTAGCAAGAAAGCATTGCATTGAGATCTAGCACTAAAATCTAGTGATGTCTTGAGCGACAAAATCGATCCTCACAAAGCAGGACAACAACTGTCCTAATGACAGGAAGAGCATCTGGAGGATGCAAAAAATTGTATGTACAAGAGTTGTACAGCGTGGCATGTTTGCATTGATTTGTCTGTACGAATTAGTTAGTGCAAGAAGAAGGGGAAAGTGCACATCAACAAACCAAACTGTTTCTAGTTCTCAAATTAATATGACCCAACAGCCAAATCAATTTGTGTCTCTAAAGACCCTGTACAGTACAGTTTCTTGTCCCATTTGAATGTACAGTAACCTATATTTATCACTGTACGATGAGTGCAGGTTGACTATAGATCCATATCACCTATCTACTATGGAGTGATCTGGTGTGTGGCTATACTCATATGACCTGAGCTGAGGGAGGCTGTTTTGGACTACACTTGTTTAAACTATCAAGTGATATGATGTGAAATTACTTGTATCGCCCATCTACTGTCCAGTGATGTTGTGTGTGTCTACTTGTATTCCTTTCTGTACTAAAGTGACCTGGCATGAAACTACTCGTATCACCCATCTACTGTATAGTGATGTAGTTCTCTAACATGTTAGCCTCTTTGTGTGGCTGTCACTTTGACAGCAACGATGTTCACCACTTTCCATCGCAACACCTGAATCATAACCAATACAATCACACAGATGCTAAAACAGTCTACAACTGTGGTCATCATAAATAATAACAGATTGACAATACGCCAACAAAAAGTACAAAGAAAGTAAAAGCACAAAACCACTACCAACTGGCCAAGGAGCACAGGGCATCACTTCTATACTGAACATAAGGCTGGCAGGACTCGGGATTGCTCTTGACAAAAGGTCAATCCAGTTCCTTACCACCACCCTCCTCATGCTGCCTTGATCAACACTCAAACTATCTGCCGAAGCATGTTTTGGAAGAAGATGGTGAGTCTTTATCAGACAAGGCAACATGAAGATGGTTGTAGAGAAAGAGCTGTCCTACCTTTGATGTCTGCGTTGGCCACCTTCAGTTGGGTGTTCTCTGATTGTAGAGTCTTGTTCTTCTCCAGCAGAAGCATCTCAAGTGACTTGGATGACTGAGTTGTCTCCCCTTCCTCTTCTTCCGGACTGGCAAACTCAACCGATTTCATGACGCTGCAAGAACAAAGGAGTTAGTGAGGATTTACACCAGCAATATTCCAGCAATCACATGATAAACAGTAGAGACTGAACAAAATCCTGCAGACTTTGATGCAGCAACTACAGTGTGCTACTAGGGATCGGACGGGACAAATTTTACAACATTGATCAACATTACCCTACCCTCCCTGGGTACCCACCAGAGTTCTCAAGAACAAAATTAGTTGTACTAGAGCCCTGGCAAATAGTATTTAGATACATGTATCAAACAATCTAATGATGCAACACAGAAGTTGTCTGAAGTCTTATCATTACTTTTTTATCCCTGGTACTAAAACTTATTTAAGAGTGAGTGAGTTTAGTTTTACGCCACACTCAGCAATATTCCAGCGATATGGCAGCAGTCTGTAAATAATCGTGTCTGGACCAGACAATCCAGTGATCAACAGCATGAGCATCGATCTGTGCAATTGGGAACCGATGACATGTGACAACCAAGTCAGCGAGCCTGACCACCCAATCCCGTTAGTCGCCTCTTACAACAAGCATAGTCGCCTTTTGTTGCAAGCATGGGTTGCTGAAGACCTATTCTACCCCGGATCTTCACGGGTCACTTATCAAAGAAACAGAATGCGAACATCAGTGACTTGTGTCACCATTGTTGTTGCTATTGGACTATACAGTAATGAATGTCTGTATGTTTGTAATGAACACACTTTGGCAGACATAACAAACTTGTTGATTTTTCCAGTCTCTGGCTGTATATTTTAGTCAAAATGTGAATAATGAACTATGGTTATAACAAATTCATACCTGTGGTCCCGTTCTCTTTTTATTTTACTATATTGTTATGACCGTATCTTAATGTATCACATGACTGGGTGCGGGTAGTACAGTAGGTACCAAACTTATACTCAGGACCCACCGGACTCAAGGACCCAAGTTACCCATCCCAGCTCTACTGGGGACTCACTTCAGTTCCCGCTTGATCTCTTCATAGTCGTCTTGAGACTTGATTCTCTCCTCCAGCAGGCGGAATGCCTTGTTCTTGGCGGTCAATTCCTCCTCTAGCCGTGACACCTGGCTGGCTGCCGACTCTCGCAGCTTCGACAGCGATGCCTGAAGTCTCTGCACATCCTCCACCAGCTGGGCAATCTGTAAGTATAGATGAATATGTAACTATCTGATTAGCCACAGGATTACAAGTCTTCACAATACAGCAGTTTTTGTTTTTCCTGTGCTGTCAATACTGTACACAACTGACAACACGTCAAGTTGTGCAGGTCCCATGATTGCACAACCCTAGACAACTGACAACACCACAAGTTGTGCAGGTCCCATGATTGCACTACCCTAGACAACTGACAACACCACAAGTTGTGCAGGTCCCATGATTGCACTACCCTAGACAACTGACAACACGTCAAGTTGTACAGGTCCCATGATTGCACTACCCTAGACAACTGACAACACCACATGGTGTGCAGGTCCCATGATTGCACTACCCTAGACAACTGACAACACCACAAGTTGTACAGGTCCCATGATTGCACTACCCTAGACAACTGACAACACCACAAGTTGTGCAGGTCCCATGATTGCACTACCCTAGACAACTGACAACACCACAAGTTGTACAGGTCCCATGATTGCACTACCCTAGACAACTGACAACACCACAAGTTGTGCAGGTCCCATGATTGCACTACCCTAGACAACTGACAACACCACAAGTTGTGCAGGTCCCATGATTGCACTACCCTAGACAACTGACAACACCACAAGTTGTACAGGTCCCACCCATACTATCAACAACATACCCACCTGACCACACCATGAAGATGCCCATGCTGGCAACGCTGCATGGATTGAGTAACATACTAACCCCTGTCCTGTCCTACGAGTCCATCCCAGTGCTCCACCAACTACCTCCCACACCAACAATCTTCCAAAGTTGCAGCATTACAGGTCACATTGTAGGCCAGTCCAAGTGAGTCCATACATTAGTTTTCAGCAACCATTAAAACTTAATCCAGGATCCTGCCATCAAGCATGACATCCTTCCTCATAAGACACCTCTGCTGACTCAACCAACAAACATCTACTGCACTGCCCAGTGTAAACTGCCTACTGAAGACAAAGCCCCATCTCCAGTGCATGTTATGGAACCCTATTGTCACAGCTTGCTCTGACAAACTTGACTGATTACTCAAATCAATCATCATGATCAATGGTGCATAATCAATCACCCAATCGAAGATCAATCCAACAGTCACGTTATTGACTTCAAATCTTTATCTCAAAACACCCCAGGAACCGTTGCCATGGTAACCGACTGTGATCAATAGCCTCCCGTCAATCAATCTTCCAATCAATCAAGCTCCTGAGTTAATGATACGTTTTTTGGCCCAAACTCATTGATGTCACCAAAGTTTTTCAGGTCAATTTGATCGGTTTTAATGATTTCTGATAGACAGTTTTGAGGCCAGATACTATGAGAAGCAATACATCAGTCTGCATTGGTACAATCAAAGCCTGCCATTATTTCATGTCTTTTTCATGTTCATCTTAAATCTCCAACTGTCAGAAAGACGAATGGAGGGGTGAAAAAAGTAGGGCTTCAATACATCCACAGGAAATGAATGTACAGTGAAAGTTTTGGCAGGGCACTTTATGACATACTTATATCCCACACTGACAAAATAATGCACACAATCAAACTAGACAGTAGCTATATTCCATTGGGACAGCAGTTATATTCCCTTGCCAGAAACATCAGAGAGGTAATTTCCAAAATATATTGAGTAGCAGTTGGAATGAGTTGCAGAAAAGTTGAATAATTAGTGTCAAGCAGTAATCTTGGAATAAGCAATGGTTCTGGTCTGTCAGATATCAGTTGGAGCTCCACAACAGTCAGATATCAGTTGGGAGCTCCACCACAGTCAGATATCAGTTGGAGTTCCACAACAGTCAGACATCAGTTGGAGCTCCACAACAATCAGATATCAGTTGGGGTCCCACAACAGTCAGATATCAGTTGGGAGTTCCACAACAGTCAGATATCGGTTGGAGTTCCACAACAGTCAGATATCAGTTGGGGTCCCACAACAGTCAGATATCAGTTGGAGGTCCACAACAGTCAGATATCAGTTGGGGTCCCACAACAATCAGATATCAGTTGGGGTCCCACAACAATCAGATATCAGTTGGGGTCCCACAACAATCAGATATCAGTTGGAGTCCCACAACAATCAGATATCAGTTGGAGCTCCACAACAATCAGATATCAGTTGGGGTCCCACAACAATCAGATATCGGTTGGAGCTCCACAACAATCAGATATCAGTTGGAGTTCCACAACAGTCAGATATCGGTTGGAGTCCTACCACAGTCAGATATCAGTTGGAGTTCCACAACAGTCATATATCAGTGTTTGCTGTGCAAGTAAGATATCAGTTGGGGTCACACAACAGTCAGATATCTGTGTTTGCTGTGCAAGTAAGATATCAGTTGGGGTTACACAACAGTCAGATATCAGTGTTTGCTGTGCAAGTAAGATATCAGTTGGGGTCACACAACAGTCAGATATCAGTGTTTGCTGTGCAAGTAAGATATCAGTTGGGGTTACACAACAGTCAGATATCAGTGTTTGCTGTGCAAGTAAGATATCAGTTGGGGTAACACAACAGTCAGATATCAGTTGGGGTAGCACAACAGTCACATATCAGTTTTGATAGCACAACAGTCAGATATCAGTTTGGGTCACACAACAGTCAGATATCAGTTGGGGTAGCACAACAGTCAGATATCAGCTGGGGTCCCACAACAGTCAGATGTCAGTTGTTTGGTAGCACACCAGTCAGATATCAGTTGGGGTAGCACAACAGTCAGATATCAGTTGGGGTAGCACAACAGTCATATCAGTTGGGGCACCACAACAGTCAGATATCAGTTGGGGTCCCACAACAGTCAGATATCAGTGTTTGTTGTGCAAGTTAGATACCAGTCTACACACCTCCTTTTCCTTGGCAGCAAGCTCCACCTCCAGGTTGGATCTCTTCAGGATGTCAATGGCCTGCTCCATATCAGGTGCAGTCTGCATGTGCTCTGCCTGTGCTAGGTTCTGATTGGCCGATGCCAGATGTGTCTTCAATGTCTCCACGTGACGTTCTGCTGCCGCAGCACGCTACAACATAGTATAATAATAATGAGCATCATCATCAAAAGACAACTTCAAAATCAAAACAAAAAAGTTTATTAACTAAAAGAAAACTTACGTTTCAGAAACGACTCATATACTTAATTCCTATGGACTTACCTCATTGGCTCGCTCCAGATCTGCCATTACCATGTCCATCTCATCGGACCTGAAAGATTGCACAACAGAATAAAGGTAAACTGTGTAACAAAGAGGACTAAGAACTCTCCTTCACTGGAGACACAAACAGTCTGATTGCTCCTCCATAATCACTAACAAGTACAAAATCAATAAAACATGGTATTTATCCCTCTGTCACAAATTAATTTTAATCACACAATCAATTACCATTATCTACAAGTTGAGTATTTCAAATAACACAAATAAACATAATTTCTTCATCAAATCCATCCTGTGATAGACAGCAGTGAAATCATCCCTTTGTCAATTTTGTGTAAATTCATCCAAATCCTGAGATTAAGAGATGGGAGATTGTGTCGATTTCCAGCTATAACATTCCAGTCCACCAATCACAGCTTGGCTCACGCCTTGAAATCATTGATTTATTGATCTCAAGGATCGATACCTGATCAGATGGCGTCAATCACTTCATACCTTGTTAACTGGTTGCCTAGCAACAGAAGGTATCTGGTAATGTCTAAATACAGATTGATGCAGGCTGGTCAGCCATAGATACATCAGATCCTAACTGTTTAACGTTTCCTGAATAATGGATATTGTCAATTAATCTACAACAAATATTGATACTCACATCAATTATTTCAAGATCAATACCGTTAGGAATCAATATCCAGTAAAGGATGGAACCATAGTTGCAGCATCTATCTGTTCTTCAGTGTTATTGATCTTAACTCCCGCTTTCAATTAAGATATGCTCCCAACATTCCTCAAATACACCAACATTGACAAAGAAATAACAAAGGTAATCGAACAAGAAGATACTTGGGAAATGCAAAATTGAAAACAAGGCAGTGAGACGAAATACTAGTGTCACCCGATAACAAAGGCACATTGAAGACGAGTTACTAGTCTCATCCCCATCACAAATGCACACTGAGAATATGCTTGAAATGAGTTACTCGTGTCACCTCCATCACAATGGCACTCTGATACTATGATGTGCAATGAGTTACTCGTGTCACCTCCATTACAATGGCACTCTGATACTATGATGTGCAAGGAGGTACTTGTGTCACTCCCATTACATAGGCACTCTGATAATATCGAAATGAGTTACTAGTCTCCCCCTACCTCATTACAAAGGCAAACCGAGACTATGCATTAAGACCAGTTACCAGTCTCACCCTCATCACAAAGGCACATTGATACCATGCATTGAGAATGAGTTACTAGTGTCATTCTCATCACAAAGGCACATCGAGACCATGCATTGAGAGTTACTAGTCTCACCCTCATCACAAAGGCACATTGAGACCATGCATTGAGACCAGTTACTAGTCTCACCCTCATCACAAAGGCACATTGATACCATGCATTGAGACAAGTTACTAGTCTCACCCTCATCACAAAGGCACATTGATACTATGCATTGAGACGAAGTTACTAGTCTCACCCTCATCACAAAGGCACATTGATACCATGCATTAAGACCAGTTACTAGTCTCACCCTCATCACAAAGGCACATTGATACCATGCATTGAGACGAGTTACTAGTCTCACCCTCATCACAAAGGCACATTGATACCATGCATTGAGACGAGTTACTAGTGTCATTCTCATCACAAAGGCACATTGATACCATGCATTGAGACGAGTTACTAGTCTCACCCCCACTACAAAAGCACATTGAGACTATGCATTGAGACGAGTTACTAACGTCAGCCAAATAAGACACACACTGTATGTGACTGTCTTGTCAATGTAAGATACTCTGCTTATAACAGGAAATCTCAGGCAATTGTTTAAAGGTTGCCAGTATGATTACTGTAAGTTACACAGTTCAATAGCCGTGTGTTGACAAAGAGTGCGCTGCTCCCGAGCTGTGAGCAAGACCCTACAGCCTGCAGCTCTGACAGCCATATGCGTCAATCAGGCGTCGATAATGTCTGCTAATAAGATAAAACCATTGTACATGTTTGCACAACAGATTTCCCCAACAGGTTACAATTTATTACAGGCTTGTTAAACATCGCTAGTGGGGATTGTGATGATTTTAATCTTTAATTCAACTTGACAAATTATTCACGATATGCTATCACTAAAAATCAATAATCAAAAAGTGTTGCAAGGAAAATAGCTTTGATCGGCGTGAAATTGTTTCTTGTCAAAAGCTGACATTTTTCCATCACACTGCCCTCAGCAAACAATGTGTGTGTCTTCAATTCACACAACAACCCATAACCTCCATTGTGTTTGTTATGTGGTTTTTAAACCGAAGGACTTTTGAGATAAAAAACTGATGAATGTTGTTGAACCACGTAGCATTCTTTTATTTTGTTTTAGGAGTTGAAACTTCCATAATGGCCACCAGTCCCCGGAGACTGCTTTAGTTGGGATAAAAAGTTAAGTGCTTATGACGACAGCCTGTACTCTGTGTAGTGGGTCTGGGTCTGTCTACCTGATCTCATCTGGACAGGCACTCAAACACTGTCAAAATGTTGTGACACGAGTCAGTTGGATCATGAGGCTGGATCAACTATGGGTAAGAACTACACTGAATGGGTTCACAGTATTTATTGTCCATGCCTCCCTGTGTCTGCACTGTTTATCCTCCAACATGACCACTTCCCACTGTTCACTGCATTAATTCACCAACATGACCCCTCCCACATTTCACATTACATATCCTCCAACATGGCCCCTCCTACTGTTCACATTACATATTCTCCAACATGGCCCCTCCCACATTTCACATTACATATTCTCCAACATGGCCCCTCCTACTGTTCACATTACATATTCTCCAACATGGCCCCTCCCACTGTTCACATTACATATTCTCCAACATGGCCCCTCCCACTGTTCACATTACATATTCTCCAACATGGCCCCTCCCACTGTTCACACATTACATATTCCCCAACATGACCCCCTCCCACTGTTCACATTACATATTCTCCAACATGGCCTCCCTCCCACTGTTCACATTACATATTCCCTAACATGACCCCTCCCACTGTTCACATTACATATTCTCCAACATGGCCCCTCCCACTGTTCACACTGTTCACATTACATATTCTCCAACATGGCCCCTCCCACTGTTCACATTACATATTCTCCAACATGGCCCCTCCCACTGTTCACATTACATATTCTCCAACATGGCCCCTCCCACTGTTCACATTACATATTCCCCAACATGGCCCCTCCTACATTTCACATTACATTCACATTTCCCACTGTTCACATTACATATTCTCCAACATGGCCCTCCCACTGTTCACATTCTCCAACATGGCCCCTTCCACTGTTAACATTACATATTCTCCAACATGGCCCCTCCCACATTTCACATTACATATTCTCCAACATGGCCCCTCCCACATTTCACATTACATATTCTCCAACATGGCCCCTCCCACTGTTCACATTACATATTCCCAACATGACCCCTCCCACTGTTCACATTACATATTCTCCAACATGGCCCCTCCCACTGTTCACACTGTTCACATTACATATTCTCCAACATGGCCCCTCCCACTGTTCACATTACATATTCTCCAACATGGCCCCTCCCACTGTTCACATTACATATTCTCCAACATGGCCCCTCCCACTGTTCACATTACATATTCCCCAACATGGCCCCTCCCACATTTCACATTACATATTCTCCAACATGGCCCCTCCCACTGTTCACATTACATATTCTCCAACATGGCCCCTCCCACTGTTCACATTCTCCAACATGGCCCCTCCCACTGTTAACATTACATATTCTCCACATGGCCTCCCTCCACATTTCACATTACATATTCTCCAACATGGCTCCCTCCCACATTTCACATTACATATTCTCCAACATGCCCATTACATATATATTCCCAACATGACCCTCCCACTGTTCACATTACATATTCTCCAAACATGACTGTTCACACTGTTCACATTACATATTCTCCAACATGGCCCTCCCACTCACATTACATATTCTCCAACATGGCCCCTCCCACTGTTCACATTACATATTCTCCAACATGGCCCCTCCCACTGTTCATTCATATATTCTCCAACATGGCCCCCTCCCACATTTCACATTACATATTCTCCAACATGGCTCCCTCCCACTTCACATTACATATTCTCCAACATGGCCCCTCCCACTGTTCACATTCTCCAACATGGCCCCCCTCCCACTGTTAACATTACATATTCTCCAACATGGCCCCTCCCACATTTCACATTACATATTCTCCAACATGGATCCCTCCCACATTTCACATTACATATTCTCCAACATGGCCCCCTCCCTCATTTCACATTACATATTCTCCTAACATGGACCCCTCCCACATTTCACATTACATATTTCCAACATGGCCCTCTCACTAACAGTTTGACCCAGCAACATCACGGTGGGGACACCAGACATGGGCTTTCACATTCAACCATCAGCGGATCTTCTTTAACCATGACCTACCTCACCGGCCCCACTGTTCACATTACATATTCTCTAACATGACCCCTCCTCCACATTTCACATTACATATTCCCCAACATGACCCCTCCCACATTTCACATTACATATTCTCCAACATGACCCCTCCCACATTTCACATTACATATTCTCCAACATGACCCCTCCCACATTTCACATTACATATTCTCCAACATGACCCTCCCACATTTCACATTACATATTCTCCAACATGACCCTCCCACATTTCACATTACATATTCTCCTAACATGATCCCACATTTCACATTACATGATTCTCCAACATGGCCCCTCATTTCACATTTCACATTACATATTCTCTCCAACATGACCCTCCCACATTTCACATTACATATTCTCCAACATGACCCCTCCCACATTTCACATTACATATTCTCCAACATGACCCCTCCCACATTTCACATTACATATTCTCCAACATGGCCCCTCCCACATTTCACATTACATATTCTCCAACATGACCCCTCCCACATTTCACATTACATATTCTCCAAACATGACC